ATTATACGTGATAGTTTCTTAGACTCACTTTAATTCTGAAATTAATTGTTATCCTCTTACTGGATACAGAAAGCTGTCCTCTCATTGCTAGCGGATGTTCGAGGTGGAGATTTGGTGCAGAGGTCTGTTAAAGGAACCAAAAAGCGGACGTCCATAAGTGTATCTGATGTCATTATGAAGAAATGTCGTGCTGTATTGCGTGGTGTTGCAGCTGCAGATGAGGATAAAGTATTTTGCACTTTGCTCGGGAGAAAGCTGCTTCATTCCAGTGATAATGATGATGACGGGTTACTGGGATCACCTGCAATGGTTTCGCGTCCCTTAGACTTCAGAACTATCGATTTGAGGTTGGCTGCTGGTGCATACGACGGATCAACTGAAGCTTTTCTTGAGGATGTTCATGAGGTAGGAATTTCCCTCTTAAGTCTGGTTTTTTTTTTTTTTTTTTTTTTTTTTTTGGGAGTAATGATGGCATGATACTTTTTGTGCGTTCTAAGAATTAGTTTCTGAATGCTTATAGTATTAAGTGCTGTATATTTTTGAGCATTGCATGTTTGTGCTGTTAATTTCACACTAGTTTAGATGCATAAAAGTAAAAGTACCGAAGAGGAAGCTTTATATTTAGAATATTTTTTCCTTCCCTTTATGTCACAGCAGTTTCAGGTTAAACTTTTCCGTTGAATGCCAGAATTTTTGGTGGCTCATTGGATAACTTTTTAGCCATGATTAGAAGTCGAAGCAATTGAGTCTGACAGTTTATGAATTATTTTAAAATTTTCATTGTGATGGTAGATTCCTGGACGCAGTTCCTTTTGATGCATGCAACATTGCAACTTGATTTTTTTTCATGGATGGCATGCTAACTGTAACTTCTAATTTGCAGCTGTGGAGTAGTATACGTGTTATGTATGCGGATCAGCCCGATTGTGTAGAACTGGTTGCAACTTTGTCTAAAACATTCAAGTCATTATACGAGGCTGAGGTTTGTCTTCTCTCTCCTTTTTCTGCTATGTTCTACACTAAAAGATATATTCATTACTTGGTAGCATCTAGACGTGGAGATAATCATTTATATTTTGGCAATTTTGTGGAATAAGTGTGTTAAGATTTATCACATGTGAAAGTTATAGGCCTTTGAGATCAAAGAAGCATCATGTCCACTAACGCTATATGCTTTATAAGGGTCTTCCTTTTGTGTGCGTGTATAGTTGTCGTTTTGTTCGGCTTTCAGCAATTACCTGCTTAGTCTCCTTTTTTCAGAAATTGCATGCACTGTCTCTTTTTGTTAGTTTGAAAAGAGTTGCAGTATAGCGGTGCAAATTATTTTCTCAAGTTTCAAGCCTTAATTTTTTTCCTGGTATAGGTTCTACCACTTGTTCAGAAATTTGTGGACTTCAGGAAATTGGAATGCCTAAATGCAGAGATGAAGAAGGAAATTAAGGACATAATTGTTTCAATAAATAAACTTCCCAAGGCCCCGTGGGATGAGGGCGTATGTAAAGTATGTGGCGTTGACAAAGATGATGACAGTGTTCTCTTGTGTGATACATGCGATGCTGAGTATCACACATATTGTTTAAATCCACCTCTTATCAGAATTCCTGATGGAAATTGGTATTGTCCATCTTGTGTCATTGCCAAGCGCATGGCTCAAGAGGCTTTGGAATCTTACAAACTAGTCAGACGGCGAAAAGGTAGAAAGTATCAGGGGGAACTCACCCAAGCCTCTATGGAAATGACTGCTCACCTGGCAGGTGTGATGGAAGAAAAGGACTACTGGGAGTTCAGTGTTGAGGAGGTCAGTTTTGAAACTTGTCACATTTTTTGCTCATTCATTTGAAATGTGTCAACTTTTCATTCCCACTTTGGAGGTGAATACCATTACTATAATTTCATATATGACATTTAGCTTTTGCATTGCCACCATAATTGTATTTATATGGTGGCTAATTGTGCCAGTGATCCCTTTACCTATGAATTTGTACAATCTTTTGGTGCAGAGAATCTTGCTGCTTAAAGTTCTATGTGATGAACTGCTTAGCTCATCCCTTGTCCATCAACACCTCGAGCAATGTGCCGAAGCAATAATTGAAATGCAGCAGAAATTACGCTCTCTTTCCTCTGAATGGAAAAACGCAAAAATGCGGCAAGAATTCCTGATGGCTAAACTCGCAAAGGTTGAACCTAGTATTCTGAAGGAAGCAAGTGAATTACATAATTCAAGTCACTTTGCAGACCAAATGGGATGTGATGAACGAACACATGAGGGTGTTGGGGACGGAGTTACTCATGATGATGAGACTTCCTCTACTGCATTTCTTAACAAAAATCAAGGTAAAGCTCCACTTGAGACCAATTCTCAACCTGGAGATTTGCATGTTGATTCCGGTGGGAACAAGGTTTCCTCCCAAAAAAAAATTACATCCCCTGGGAGGCATGAGTTGCTCGTAGCAGATATCTCTCCTCGTGCAACGGATAATCTGACTTTTGAAAAAGATACCTTGCATAAGTCAGTTGGAAGGATTCATGAAACACATCCTCTACATTCCAATGCAGTGGAATTACAGTCAGTTCATGATGCATCTTCCCAGGCTTCTCAAGAGTTGCAGGCTTGTCAACAGGATTTGAATGCCACTAGTAATGAAATTCAGAATCTGCAGCTATCAATCAGAAGTGTAGAGTCACAGCTTCTAAAGCAATCTATACGAAGAGACTTTCTGGGAAACGATTCTAGTGGTCGTTTATATTGGGGTTGCTGCTTTCCAGATGAAAATCCTCGCGTACTAGTTGATGGAAGCATATCTTTGCAAAAACCTGTTCAAGCCAATTTGACTGGTTCAAGAGCCCCATCTCCATTTCTCCAAGCCGTTGACCATGGAAGACTAACTCTTTCGCCCTGGACATATTATGAAACCGAATCTGAGATAAGCGAGCTTGTCCAATGGCTTCATGATGATGACCCAAAAGAAAGAGACCTGAGAGAGTCTATTTTGTGCTGGAAAAGGTTACGATTTGGGGATGTTCAAAAGGAAAAGGAAAATGCTGAAAATTTGTCTTCTCCTATTTTTTCTAGGGGTCTTGTGACCAAGGCTGCCATGTCAATGGAGAAGAGATTTGGTCCATGCATCAAACTAGAAACGGAAACCTTAAAAAAACGGGGGAAGAAGACAAAGGTTGAGAGAGAGAAATTTTGTAGATGCGAATGCTTGGAAGCAATTTTGCCTTCCATGATTCACTGCCTCATATGCCACAAAACATTCGCAAGTGATGATGAATTTGAGAACCATTCTGAGAGTAAGTGTATTCCTTATTCGTTAGCAACTGAAGAAGGCAAGGAAATCTCAGATTTTTCGAAAGCAAAAGAGAGTCTGAAATCCGATTATCTTAATGTAAAGTCTAGCGCCGGCAAAGATGTATCTGAAATATCCAATGTTTCTGAACTTGATTCTGGGTTGATAAGATATCAAGAAGAAGAATCTATATCCCCATACCATTTTGAGGAGATCTGTTCCAAGTTTGTGACAAAGGATTCCAACAGAGATTTGGTTAAAGATATTGGTCTGATTGGTTCAAATGGCATTCCAACATTTCTCCCATCGTCATATACTCATCTTAACGACTCAATGCTTATCTCTGCCAATTCCAGTAAGCTTGATGGTGATGATTCAGGGGATCAGGTCGTTTTTGCTGGTTCTGAAACCAATGTTGAAGGCTTAAATTCTGAATTTAACATGTCATTTGATAGATCTGTCACACATGATCTTGGCGGTCCACCAAGTAAACCAAGCGGACTGGGTTTTGGATTCTCAGAGCAAAAGATTAAGAAATCTTTAGGTAGTGGGTTGAAAAGCTGCTGTGTGGTTCCACAGGCTTCTTTGAAACGAATAACCGGCAAGGCTTTGCCGGTTTTCAGGTTCCTAAAAACCAACTTGCTTGATATGGATGTGGCACTACCTGAAGAAGGTTTAAGACCATCGAAATCACATCCAGGACGTAGAAGAGCATGGCGTTTATTTGTTAAATCCTCGCAAAGCATTTATGAGGTTTGATTAGTACCTTAATACCTTTCCTCCTCTCTATGTATAGAAACACAGATTAATTTTAGATTTTCTAATTTTTATACCTTTCATATTTATTTCAGTTGGTTCAGGCAACAGTTGTGCTAGAAGACATGGTTAAGACGGAGTACTTGAAAAATGAATGGTGGTACTGGTCGTCTCTTTCAGCGGCTGCTAAAATATCGACTCTATCGGCGTTATCTGTCCGTATCTTCGCCCTTGATGCAGCCATAATGTACGATAAACTCTTAACTCCATCAGATCCTATCGATGAAACAAAGCCAATCATCAGCTTACCAGACCAGAAGTCGCAACCAGTTTCAGATTCACAAGAAAGAAGCAGCAGAGCAAACAGGCGATCTGGTAAGAAGAGGAAAGAACCCGAGGTGTCATAGTAATTCATTTGAACCCACCGTTAAAAGCTCAGCAGCCCAGCCTTGTGAGAATGTGAACCGGAAATGTGGATTTTTCTTATTTTCGGTTTACTCAAAAGTGGAGCCAATGTGTATGTGTAGATATAGGCAATGTTTCTTCTATCTATCTGGAACCGGACCCGTAAGTTGTGGATGTTGAGATCTGTTCTGGTGGTTCATCAAGAACGGCCTAAGTCCGGTTAAGATCTTTCTTGGTATGGAACGGCATGGTAGATGGCGGGTCAACAGGTGAATGAGCTTGAGAGAGTATCTCTGTACACATATATGTAGAAGAAGACTAACTAATGTGGAATTAATTTAGTATCAAAGTCGCTTTTTTAGGCATTAATTGATGTTAGAACGGAAACTTCAATTCTTTTATAAAGCTCTCTCTCTCTTAATGGATCGTTGTGAGGGTTTTCTGAAGGAAGTTGAACCGTTCTTCTTCGTTTTGGTTGCAATAGGTACAACAACCGATGAATATATTGGTAGTATTATCAAATTGAAGTGATTTCATAACATATACTACTACTAAAACTTATCAAATACCGTGAAATTGTTGAATGATCCCACAGTTATGCGGGGAGTGTTCAAACATGGAAACGAAACGACATATGACTGTTGTACTTAATAATAAACACACATATATAAATATATAGAATATAATTAAGGCCAACCCCAGAGTCCCAATGATTCGCCGTGATGGTGCGACGGTGAAGTGGTGGGCACGAAGACGTCAGAGAAACAAGTCCGGTCATGATCACTGTCGTCTTGTTGGGAATGGATGGGTACGATGCTTGGGAAGTAAGAGTCACAGCTGTCTAGTAGTTGAGGTGCGTCTTCGTCGAGTACCGCACTCCCAACGCTCCCTGAACTTAACCGGTCCTCGGTTTTGATTGCCGCCGGGTTTATGTAAACCGGATCAAGTAGGTTGGAATCGGGCACTTGACCCGGTGGTTCTTTAGCTGTCGTCTCTTCTTCTTTGCCCTGAAGCTTTTGGGTCAGTGAAGTAACCTGTGGAAAGATTCTTAACTTTTTTTAATCACAATGGTCAACACAAGCAACCTCCCTCCTACCCCAGGAAATAAAAATTTTTTTAAAAAAAAAGAAAGATAAATTAACAAATTCGTTGATCGATTTGATGATTCCCAATTTTCTTTCGTTTTTCTAGTATAATAATACATGTATAACATAATATTCTCCTATCGGGCTTGTCTTTAAAGAAAAGGCATATTCTTGTCTTTTCACTTGATGCGTTTCTCCTCTGGACCGAGAAGGTAAAAATCGTTGGGTTTAATTCATTCATTCATGCATTTATAAACCTTGTGGTGATGATTACCTCGGATCTGAGCTTATCGTTGTCCTTGACGATGGAGTCGTAGTTAGAGAGGAGGTGGTCGTAAGTGGACTTGAGAAGATCGTAGTCTCTCTCGAGCTGTTTTGTTTTCCAACGAGCTCGGCGGTTTTGAAACCACACGGCCACTTGCCTCGGCTGTAGACCAAGCTTCTTGGCAAGCTGAGTCTTGCGTTCTGGCTCCAGTTTGTTCTCTGTCTCGAAGCTTTTCTCCAACAGATGCACCTGAATTAATTACACACGAATGTATATATGTAATCATAAGTTAAATCTTTGTAATACTGAATTGGATAGTGAAGAAGAAATATACTTACTTGTTCGGTGGTGAGGCGACGCTTCTTTTCGGGCAACTGGTCATCGTAATATTCCTCGTCGTAGAGATCCTCAGGGGAGCTAAAGAAGGGCCTTCGCTTTGATGTTTCCTCCATGTTCATCATCATCATCGATCTTGCTCCTCCTAATTCCCAATCCAAACAAAAAAACAAAAAAAACAAAATATGTCAGTATGTATATAACTAGACAATAATCATCGATCATCATATTCAGTATTCAAACTTGTTCTCATGCATGTAGGCATTTATGGAGAAACAGTAAAAAACAAAACAGGGGAAATTCACTACAAAAGGCCAAATTCTAATCAATCTTGGTTCCATATGAATTAATAAGATTTGAGTGATTAGATCAAAGAGTATAAACCTTGGACGACTGGATTGAGATTGCCAAGGAAGAACATGTTGCCATGTTGTGAGGCAGATGGATCGAAAAAAAACGAATTGGATTCCATTTGAAATAAAGAGGGGATTGAAAACACAGCTTCTTGGAGAGAGGAAAGAAACCAAAGAAAGAGGAAGGGAGAGAGATGAGTTTATTAAATTAGAAGAGATATATAATATAGAGAGAAGAGAAATAGGATTAGAAGATCATGATCTTATGGCGGAAGAAGCTAGTGCTCCACAGTAGTCTCGCAGGTGACTCCAACGGGCAAATGCAAAATCCCATCATGAACTATACAAACAACAATTCCCCTCCGGTGCCAGAGGGATCAAGATCACAGCCAGTACGATCCCAATGACAAACCTTAATGATTTCCAAATTTTCGAATCTTATAACTAAAAAGACTTTGAGAGATATGAGAGAGAGAGTAGAAGAAGAAGAAGAAGTTGCCTCTTTGTGTTTCAGCAAATGTGATGAGCTAAACTCTCATTAGTTTCAACAAGCGCCTTTTTTTATACCACCAGGCCCTCGTCCTCAAATTACCTTACTACCCTCTCCTTCTTCTTCTTCTTCTTCTTTTTTTTTTTTTATATCAAACGGTAACGAGAGAGATGCTTGCTTTTTTGAAAAACATATATGTTTGTTATTTGTATGATAGTAAGATAAAGAGTTTATGAATTTTTGTAGGGTTCTATTTCTGTTTAATTTAATATAATTAATTAATTTCTCTATGGATGGATGATAGTTTCACATGAAGGGGGGGGGGCAAATGCGGTAATTCGAAATGTGATTCCTTTTTTTATTGACGAGATGAATGAAGGTGGACTTTTCTGAGCTCGGTAGGGCCCACTTTCTTTAGCGAGTGGACTCGACAACAGATCTCCGCCGTTGGATTTAAATTATACCATCTTCTTCTTTTTCTATTTTTTAACATATAAAGTATTTAATTCGGATTGGGTGGTTCGTTTCGGCGAGAGAGTGTATCAAAGTTAAGTTCATGCCCGACGGTCGGGTCAGTGTCGGATCTGCGCTTGATCGTAAGACATCCAACGGTCCGCGTCACACTGCGTTGAAACATTCTGCACAGCATTGTCACAGTATCTTCATTTCATTATATTTATATATATATAAACAATTCTGTAAAAAAGAAAAATCAAAAATCCAACGTCACTAGCAGAGCAGCTCCTCCTAAATCTTTTTTTTTTTATAATAGTAATATTTGTTTTCTTTGTCTTAATGCTGCACCCTTTGGCCTTTGATTGACGTCTTCCACAAACAAGCATTCATTATACTATTAAAATCATATCGTCACAATAATGTAATACAACGATTTATATATATATATATATATATCACAGTTTAGCTTTAAGCATTTAGTAACTTCGTTTACTGTCACTTTATATGTTTCATAACTGCATTTTTATTTCAGGATAAGAAAATTAATTTCTGTAATTTTTTTATTTTTTTATTTTTTTAAGTATATATACAACAAAAATATGGTGAATATCAGTTTCATGTCTTATGACGGAGAGAAAAAGAAAAGACTAATTTAGGCCCGGCCCCTTAAAAAAAAACACATTTACACATATACTATAGTTTCATTAACTTATCATATTACACACACAAGTCCCCCACAGTGTATATTTTCTCTGAGTTAATATACATCGTTACTACTTATTAGTTACTTACTAGTATTTCGTGATCTTGTTTTCGATGATACGACTAGAATTGACACATCTTATAACATTTTTGAAATTTATTTACCCATTAAGATAAATAATAATATATTCTTCCTTCGTTTTCATTTTTTCATGGTATGACTCTTCAGCTACCCAAAACCCAAATACTCTTCTATAAGTATATATTGTACATACATACATGTTTCTTCTATGACTTTATCAATAATAGATGTCTAGATGCTTCTTGCTTTGCAGTTTGCACCTTATATTGTTCATCACGAATACAATTAAGCATTCCAATTTTATAGATAAATCATTGCCATATATTAGCTCGGTTAATTACAAACGACTATTTCATGGATCTATTGGTACATGTTTACAATAATTATATGATCTATACTAGATTGAGAACAAATATGCTTGACTAATTTACGTACGTTTTATTGTCTCCTTCCAATTCCATGTGTTAGCCTTAGCCAGTTGGCTATACCAATGGACCTTTCCAATAAAAGGAATATCTTTCACCACCCAAATAAGAATAAAATAGGCAACACAAACAAAACCCTTTAGATTTTTTTTATAAGATCAAAACAAAAACAAAAAAAGTACGAAAGAAAGATAAAGGACTTTGGCAATTTCCCATTCTACGAAGGAATCGGTTGTTTTCTTTCTTCACTTCTCCCCAAAACGATAACAATCTCACTACTACAAAAATATACAAGGAGAGTAATATGCTATTACAAGCAGGAGAGTAATCATTATACTGATTGGTAGTATTTAATTTAAGCCACTTTAGATTTCATTCTTCTACTATATATATATATATATATATATATGTTTCATTCATTATAACACACCGATCGATGAAAGATGAACTTTAATTATTTTTTTTTGTAGTATATTAGATAGATCTATAAAATGAGTGGAAACTGTAAAACAATGTACAGTATTTGTTATTAGAGAAAACACAACTAGTAAGTTAAAAATTATACTTGTTAATTGAAACAACACATCTAGTAAGTTGACTCCTTATCTTTTATGATCTCAAAATGTTTTTAGAAAATAATCTTTTGAACCTACACTTAACTTAATAATGGTATGTATTTTTTATTTAACTTTTCATCGATTAACAAGTTTTCGTAACTTATCGCTAGTTAAACAAAAAGAATTCTGAAACTTGCTTAGAGTAAAAACTCGAAAAAAAATATATTCATGTTAGTTATTAAAAAATAGAGATATAAATAAGAATCAAGGTTTTCTTTTGGTATATTATTTTCTTCACAACTAAGCTAAAGAGACCATGCAAAATATTGGGTGGCATCTTTTTTGATTGGATAGCGTCTTCTGAGGTTTCCCTTTATATATTTCCAAAAACAGAGGACTTTTCTTCTTTATCACTCTATTATTTGCTTTACCCAAAAAAGGTGATTGCACGAATAGTTCGTGAAATTAAAGCATTAATCAAAAACACAAAAAGTATTAATTAGACTGAAAGAAAAAAAACACACCAGTTTCCAAAGATTGCCACGGATTATCGTTTTATAGGGGAAAAAAACAAAAATACACATTATTCAACAGTGGTGGTTCTTGTATGGGTAAATCAAAATTTCATTTTTGAAGAAAAATGGTGTCTAAGAAGAAAGAAAAGAAAAGAAGAAGCAGAACACCTGAGAGGAACAATGACTTTTTCGGACAGTGTGTTTGGTAGTGGATTGTGTCGCCATGTGTATGGTTCTGTGAAAAGAAGAAGATCAATCTCTCTATAAAGGTGTGTGAGCAGATCACCATTCATTTTTTTAAAATAAATAGTTTCCTCCATTATCTTTTTTTTTCCATCTTTTCTTCTTGATCTCTTCTTCTATTTTTTTTTCTAAATACTAAACATAATTAAAATCAAAACTACATAAATTAGAGGGAAACCTTTACTGGAATCGTTACTATCTGTCATGATATTCATCATATTAACCTCTTTTATTTTATTTTTGGGCCACGACCACGATGTCATTTTCAGAAAGTCCAAAAGGAAATAATGATTTAATTTTATATAATAAGGAGAAGAAAAAAAAGTAAAGTATATTCAGTCTTTTCGTTTGAGAAGGTCCATTCATTATGGTATGGGGTTTTCAATTCTCACTGTACGCGAACAGTGTGATATTCAACTTCTTGCATCTCAGACCACACACGTACACACACACACACACATTTATCTTTTACAGATACACACACATACATTATAGAACTGTAGTACAACAGTACATGTTACGTGTATGTACATGATCTTCACGTAACCCTTCAATAGTCTAGATCGTATCTTATTATTATTTAGTTGATCATTTCAAAACAAAAAAAAAAATGAAAATGAATTCTAGCAAATTTCTGTTAATTAGAGTGATGAATACTCTAAACTTTAAAGTGTTTTAATAGATAAGCTTGCGTTTCAATTTCAAGGACAACCTGATATGAGTTTATATTAGGAAAGAAAGTACATCAAATCACTTAACATAGAACTACTTATCTTTTTAAGTAATCAACTTATTAAAGATAAACGGATTAAAAGAGTGATTTATTTATAGCTACATAATTAGTTCCGCCTAAGTAAGTAGATAATTACATTTGGGTTGACTTCATATAAAGATGTGACTAATATTAAACGCAAGATGACGCTGCAAGACTCCTAAGTCCTAACACAGCCTCCTCGGGTAATCCTGAACTTCCTTCCAAAAATTTAAAAAATGAGATTAAAATTTCTCTTTACACAGAAAAATACGTTTTTCATGTAGCTCTTTTTTTTATTATGTAAATTGTGTGTGGTTATTGAATTATTTTCATCATTTAAAATAAAAAATACAAGAGAAATCCAAAATCACAAAATTAATATGTTCAAAATGAAATATGCAAATGGACAGGCTCACGTATATAAAGACATCGGACATAAAGGCCCAAAACTAACGGGCCATAAAACTATATAACATAAGAAGATGATAAAATAAAGAGAATATTATAATGTGGAAGAAAATTGCAAATCTTATCCAAAGTGTGAGAGAGTCACAAAACCCCTTATCCTCTTCTTCTTCATCATCATCATCAATTCAAAATCCGACGCAGACAGAGACATAGACAAAATATACTTTCTCATGTTCCTTTCGGACATAACTCCCTAATCCAATGTCAGTTCGTTTGTTCTGTCTCTGAAAACTAACTTCTACTTTCAAACCCCTTCTCAATTTAATTTATCGATTTGGGCTAATGGCGGCGTCGTTTGCCTCTGTTCCCACATTTAGTTTCGTCAATTCCTCCAGATTTCCCAGAAAAACTATCGATTTTTCTTGCTCCAAAAAACCCCTCGAAGTTCGATGTTGTTCCGGCAACAGCAACAACATTCGTGAAAATAAACAGGTTCGGTTTTTTTTTTTTTTTTCTTTCTGATTCCGTTGTCTGTTTCTTCTTTTAATCGTATGAATTGGATATAAGCACTCGCCAATGCAAAATGTGATTAGGCAGTTTGAAACTTAAAAAATTTGTTGATGGATATTGATTGCAGAGGGGCACATTCTCATCATTGAAAGAGTGTGCTGTATCATTAGCTTTATCGGTCGGTTTAATAGCTTCAGTTCCATCGATTACTTTGCCTCCCAATGCTTACGCTGTGGCCAATCCAGCGATTCCAGACGTCTCAGTGTTGATCTCTGGCCCTCCCATTAAAGATCCAGGGGCTTTGTTACGATATGCATTGCCCATTGACAACAAAGCCATCAGAGAAGTACAGAAGCCTCTCGAGGACATCACTGATAGCCTCAAGATTGCTGGTGTTAAGGCTCTCGATTCTGTTGAACGGGTAAAGTGTTGTGTTAACTTCTTATTTTCTTTGCAGGCTTCTCTTCTGTTTTCTTTAATAAGGGATCTGAGCATTTTAGTTGTTGTTGTTGTGTTTTGCGTATTGTAGAATGTGAGGCAGGCAAGTCGATCGTTGCAGCAAGGGAAAAGTATGATTGTGGCAGGTTTTGCTGAATCCAAGAAGGATCATGGAAATGAAATGATCGAAAAGTTGGAAGCTGGGATGCAAGATATGCTAAAGATTGTGGAAGATCGGAAAAGAGATGCGGTTGCTCCTAAACAGAAAGAAATTCTCAGATATGTTGGCGGGTGAGTTTTTAAACATTAGGGGGTAATGTATGTATGTATGTATGAATGAGGAATGAGGGATAAAGAGACCAATTCTATAAAGGAAGTGAGATGGGTTATGCTCATTTAGACCCTTTTGTGATTGATGACTGCAGCTGAGATCTTCGTGTGGGGCATTCGCAGAATAGAAGAGGATATGGTTGATGGCTTCCCATATGAAGTGCCGGAGGAGTACCGGAACATGCCTCTTCTCAAGGGAAGAGCCAGTGTGGACATGAAGGTCAAGATCAAGGACAATCCCAACGTCGAGGAATGTGTCTTCCGCATTGTTCTTGATGGTTACAACGCCCCTGTTACCGCCGGAAACTTTCTGGACTTGGTAGAGCGGCATTTCTATGATGGCATGGATATCCAGAGATGTAAGACTACAAGTCACAAATTCACTTTTGCCTTAATATATGGGATTAGAAAAATGTTGATTAATGTGTGCGTTTTGGCTTCAGCTGATGGATTTGTGGTACAAACTGGAGATCCAGAAGGTCCTGCAGAAGGATTTATCGATCCAAGCACAGAGAAAACGCGGACAGTACCTCTTGAGATTATGGTGACTGGAAACAAAACGCCTTTTTACGGCTCAACTCTCGAAGTAAAAATCTCTGCAAATCTCCCCTTTGTTAGAGACTTGTTATAGTTATCAGCATCGATTAAAGCTTTTTTGTTTGGATATTGGTGTTGGTGAACAGGAGCTGGGTCTCTACAAGGCTCAGGTTATGCTTCCTTTCAACGCATTTGGGACAATGGCAATGGCAAGAGAAGTGAGTCCTTTCTTCTTCTTCTTAGTTCCATCTTGTACATATTAAGTTGATGTGTATGCTTACGCTACATACATACATATATATAAACAGGAGTTTGAGAATGACTCAGGATCAAGCCAAGTGTTTTGGCTGCTAAAAGAGAGTGAGCTGACACCAAGCAATTCCAACATCTTGGATGGTCGTTACGCAGTCTTTGGTTACGTTACTGATAACGAAGACTTCCTTGCTGATCTCAAAGTCGGTGATGTTATCGAATCCATTCAAGTTGTCTCCGGTTTAGAGAACCTCGCTAACCCGAGTTACAAAATCGCCGGTTAACTCCCCCACCTATCCTTTCCCTTTTCTCGGTTCATAAATACTCTGTTTTGTGTTAATTATGTGAGAGAAATTTAAAGGTGCATCACTTTTTTTCCTATGAAAAGTTTGACTTTATATGTCAGTTTAAAAATATATATATATATATATATATATATATATATATATATATACTGTAAAACAAGCAAAGAAGCAAGAAATTAGGTTTTGTGTGTATGAGATGGATCGTTTGAAATAGGTACGACATTCATCCTATAAATAGATCAAACACACCGACTATTTTGATAATCCCCACCACAATCAACTTAAAAAAAATAGTTAATCATCTATCTAGCTACTAAGAAAATACAGTACTAGTAAGAGTTGATATTTATGATAATGGAAACGTAGGTTTTGTAGTACTACTTCATGGGCCTCGGTGTCGGCGGAAACAGAAACAGCCTTGTTGTTGGTCAGGAGGAATCATTCCTCCGCCTTTAGAAGTATCAATAGCCTCCAACATCGCTACCACTTCCTCCATCTCCGGCCGCTTATCCGGATTCGCATCCCAACACCTTTTCATCACGTTTGCCAACGAGCTCGGACAACATCTCGGTATCTCCGGTCTCAGATTCTAGTTATATATATTTATCAAATATTAATTCTTTAGCAAAAACAAAAAAAAAACATAAATGTGTAAATTACTACAAAAAAAAGGCAAGATTGAAAAACCTGGCGGACGACGGCTGAGGTGACTTCGGAAAAACTGAGGTCAGGGTAAGGCATGTCGCAACAGTAAATCTCCCACAGACATATACCGAAGCTATAAACATCGCACTTTCTGTTGTACGGACTCCCATTTAACACCTCGGGAGCCATGTAGCCCAAGGTTCCGGTCTCGCCGGTCATGTCGTTAGGGTTGGAGGCCTCGAGGCGAGCCACACCGAAATCTGCAATCTTTAAGGTGCGTGACTTGTCCAAAAGCATGTTCTCCGTTTTCACGTCTCTATGCACAATCTTCTGAGAGTGCAAGTAACTCAACCTAACATATAAACCAATTGGCAATGTGGGTTAATAAAAATTCGTAAACCGAGTTATACCGGAAGCAATTGATGAATACAATATGTGATTGTACCCGCGAGCAAGATCAAGGGAGAGTTGGATAACGACTTTGAAGGCGAGTTTGCGGCGGCGGGTTTTGATAAGGAATGACTTGAGAGCGCCACCGGGACAATACTCAACCACGACGCAGCATACATTACTCGGCATTCCCATATGTCCGTTTTCCGTCTGTATGCTCATCTCCGATGTTCCCATCGCCGCTCCTATAAACTTTATTTTTATTTTATTTTATTTTTACATATTAATTTCCCTCCAAATAAAATTAATACACCAAAAATAACACATGACATCTTTTATTTAATGCTCAAAAAAAAGACGTAACATTTGTATTAAAAACAGACATAAACGTATACCTACTCTATACAGTATACATCATACGTACATGTGAGTGTTTTGGTTATTAACAACTCAATTAGGTGTAATTCGATTTTGATTGGATATATAAAAGAGTGAATGATCTCTATACCTTGGTGACATTGGGATGGTCAAGCTTATGCCAAACAGCAACTTCTTGAGTAAAAGCAGCTCTTAGCGAAGCTATCTCTGCGTCTGACCTGTGTCCCTCTTCTCCCCAATCTAGTAGTTTCACTGTTTTTTTTTATATATATATATATAGAAAACAATAATTCCGCACATAAATTATGAGTTACATAAGAAAAATTATTCACATGAATACATCCAAATATTGGAAGGAAAAAGTTCAATTATTATATAACTCTCTGGTTTAAGTATTCCCTGAATATCGCCTATATATTTTAAAGAATAGATTCAAAAAACTTAAAAACTTGGTTGATCAATAATCACACTAATTACGAACTAATAATGATGATATATAAAACATGTTTTTGTTAGTTTCTTTACTTTAACCACTAAATTATACAGAAAATAAATCAGCGGCATTTCGCATGTTAGCAAAACTTAAGTAAATTAAAAAACTTCTCATTACACTGCTAATGCATGCTTGTTTACTTGATCACCTATTAAGACATGTAAGTTAAGAATGAATTTTCACCAAATTTCAATTTTTATTGTTTCTTTTTCCGGAAAAAAAAAGTTTCGATTCTTCCCGAAATTATTTGACCAAATGGGTACGACGTACGTATATAGATATCTAAAACAAACTATATAAATATTTCTTAGAAAAAAAACAAAAAAAAGTTATGAATGACGGATGAGAGAGAGAGATGGGTACCGGCGACATCTTGACCATCGTAGAGACCACGGTGAACCGTACCAAAAGTACCACGAGCAATGACACTTTTAATGATAAGCTTAGAAGGATCAATCTCCCACTCTCTTCTTGACCTCCCTGCAACCTCCGTCGACCTAACTATGTCGTTGTTGTTGCTGCTGCTATATCCACCTCCAAGAAGCGGTCTCTGGAACACAAGCTGACGATGTCCGAAGCTGTTCTGGTTATGTCGGGTGTTATGATTTACGTTGTCTTCACCGTCACTCAAACTCTTCCTCTTCTCCATCGTCCATGCTCTGCTTAAGTGTCTCTGCAGTTGCTCGTCCAGACTCTTTAAATCTATCTGATCTGCTCTCACGTATCCTACTCCTCCACCACTCTCCCCCTTCTCCTTCATTTCCTCTTTGCAAAAATTTACAAAACCCTTTCAAGATACTCTCCAGAAATGGTTTTTCTCAATTCTTTTCCTTTACTAAATTGGGGTTTTTTTTTTTTTTTTTTTGGGGGGGGGCTTTGCTTGAGATTATTTTATCGTACGTTGGTTTGTGAATTGTGATTGGAGTTGGAACACAAAAAAAGCAGAAAATGGGGAAGTTGTGTTTGTGTTTATTGCAACAAACAACTAAAGAAGAGGCTTAACTCTCTCTCTCTCTCTCTCTCTCTCTCTTTCGCTTCTATCTTAAATTTGTATGAGAGATGAGACTTCTTCTCTCCGAATACTTCAAAACTTACAAAAAAAAAAAAAAAAACTTTCTTTCTATTAAGACAAACCAACGATTACACGTGACCACATGGGGTGTCTCTAAGCTGCTATAGGGTCGACGTGTGTCGGCTCCACTTCTCACAACTCTCTTCTTCTTCTTTTTTTTTGGATAATTATTTGTATCCCAATCCAATAAAATTATGTCATCTATTATTATCAAATACAGTAGTTTTTCTTTTCAATTTTTTTTTTTACTTAAGATTTTGTTATGAAAAAAGTTTTTAAACTCTTCTCTTTCTTTTTTTTTTCTTTCTCTATCTCCCCAATATGACATTTGGCTATTGATAATTATTAGTTCTATTACTTGTCCATCACTTTCTAAAACAAACTTTCTTAAATCAATTTGTCTTTTTTTTTTTAACACTTATAGAGTAAATTGATTTGACATTATAATTTTAAACGGTGTGTAGTGTGCACAATTGGCAAACATAAAACTACTAATTTTGTAACATCAATGATAATATTTCTTTTGTTTTGTTTTGGGACTAAACATCAAATATAATGTATTAATTTTAAAAGAAAAATGAGTGGATATATAGTTCACGAAATCATGGGATTCTTGGTCACTTTGCTACCTTTTCGTTAAGCCTTTCCATTTTGTGGGTTTAACATGTCAATTTCAACATTTATATATTTTTTTACTTCATTCTAATTAATTTATTTGGCTTAGTTATATACGTACTACTTTGTTATTTCTGTTTATATATGCTAATTCGTTTTTTAAATATAAAATAGGGACATGCTTCAAATGTCAGTTTCTACTCTCCGTAGACATATATGTATGAGAACCTCAAATTAAAGGATCTTAATATATATAGGTTTATATGATACTTTAAGGTACAAAGGTTAATCCGATTATTAATTATTTTGGTCCCGATTTCAGTATATCTGTACCATCTTTCAGGTACAAGAAGTAAACTACAATCTCGGACGTTGACATTTATTTTCATTTTTTTGTTTGGGTCTGTGGTGTGTGAACGTCGTCTGGAATCTGGATCGTATATGCTAATCCGGCCGGGAGTACTACTATTAGTTAATACGGGCAATCAGTAGGATATGTATGGGATAAATCTAACTAATTAATTGGACCAGAAAGCAAAATGCACTGACATCATTTTCCATGCCAATTATGACTGTCGCATGCAATGAGAAATAATATACAATTAATAATATTGTCAGTCGCCACAAAGATTAAAATTGAACAAACAAAAGAAAGAAAAAAAAGTTTGTTAACGCCCGAGAGTGTGTGTGGTTGCATATAACAACTGAGTAAAAGTATATTTAAATTTATTACACAAACTCTTAATAAATATCAAAAACGGAATATGACAATTGATGTTAATTCTCTTTTTCGTCAGGAAATAAAAAAGAAGGAAGAAGATTAGACTGTCACAAGTTTAGTAATCTGGCAGGATAAGAAAACGACCGAACATAAAATTGAAATCAAGATTTATTATATTATTATTATAGTAATTTTTATTTTTTTTAGTTGAGTTGAGTTTGAAAGTTGTTTCGGATATAAGGAGGAGGAGCCGCTGCTGGTTTGCGTCGACATGCACGTGAAATCTTTGACCAAACCTACAAATACAATTCATGTGACCCAAAACCGAGAAAAATAAAAAGAGTTTATGCACTGTTTAGTCAGCAGTGCGCACATTCAGTATATATATACGTACGGGGTCATTATTATTTGTTCATTATTATTTGTTGTATATGTATACATAATGTACCATATAATAGTATTATTATATATTTTAAAAACTTTTAATTGGTCCATCAAATCACCCTTTTCAACTTTAAATATTCTAATTTCATGCATAAACCCTATTTTATCGATCTTAATAATGTAGGACGAGTTTACATATATACCACTATTAATATATCGAACTTTACCCCGATTGTTGCACTCGTCGAAGTCGCACTAACGAAGATGCTCAGTGGTTAGTCGCAAGAAATTAACCAGAGACTCAAGTCATTGAAACACTTTTTTTTTTTTTTTTGCTAAGAATGTAAATATTTCATTAAAATGAAAATGGTTTAGGCTTATAATCAATGAAAATGGTTACAGTCATTGAAACACTTGCAGAACCACAGAGAGATCAAGGCATTTTTAAGTTACAGGAGTATATTAATTAGTTACCAGTCAAAAAAAAAGAAGTTACTATGAAAAATATATCCTCACTTGATTTACTTTGCCATATTTTATTATGAGCTAGCTTATATTAAAATCGATCAGCAATCGTGAGATCAAAAAAATGTGACAGACCATGCATCCGAAGAAAGATTATTGAATAATGTGAAATTTGATAATAAAAGCATTCTCGGAGATGATGGATTGCTTATGAGCTAAGAAGGCCTTAATTGGCATTCTCCATCGAGCGAGTTCGACGCTAATTTGGGGTTATCATGTTCATGAGGATGCTTTTGAGCCTAGCACACTCGCTCTACATGATGGATTTCATTGATGGACATTGTTATTAATGCTTTTTTTTTTTTTTTGTCGTATGTCTTTCGTTTTAAGTTATTTTTCTCCTTTCTACGTTATATAAAAATAATAAAGACAAAAAAAAAGCACTAGCTAGCGATCGATACTACTATATAGGACAGAGCTTCAAATTCAAAGGTAGATAGTATTAGAGATATGATTGGATTCACAATAACTACTTGATATCACATGTCAGAGGTATGTATATACAAAGAGATGAGAGGCTCCTCTAGGTTATCACAATGACTATAGTTTCCTAAAGCAGAGATATGTGATATCAAGGAGTTATTGTGAATCCAATCATATCTCTAATAGATAGAGCTCAAAAAGGTTACTACTTTTATAAGCGTCAGAACTGTTTGGCACTTGGCAGTAAAATTGTCGGAAGTATTCTTGTCGTTTGATTTGAGGATGGCCTTTTAAGTATTTTACGATTCTCAGTCAGTTTCTTTTTTTTTTTCTTATGTTTTCCTAAGATATCATTTCTCTCTTACTTAAATAAACCCAAAAGACCATTTCATTTTTAAGTATTAAATATAACGTGAATGGTTGTTTTTTTTTTTTTTTTAATATATATGATCTACATAGAAACAACAAGTTGGTAGGATTGAACTGAAAATGTGAAATCTGAACAAGGCTCCAAAGAGTTCCTACAGCTTCCAATGTAGTATGGTAGCCACATCTTTAACCTACCAAACAACATAAGACAAATCAAATCAAACCGTAAATACAACTGATCGATTTGATGATATACATCATGAACACAATTTTCAAAACCGTAAAGATCTATATACCATTTTGGTTTCCTTTTTTCTTTTTATTTTTATTGATCATATATAAAGAAAGTTGGTAGAGAGGATCAGAAAAAGAGAGATAACTCATCACAATCAAAGGCACATTACAAATTACAACATGGCTGGCGTAGTTGTATATATATGGTATATATGATTATAATAATGATGATGGATGGTCATGATGATGATGGATTGGTGGTTCATACAGAGCTAGTTTCGGAGAGGCCAAATTCAAGTCCCCAAAGCTCGAAAGCACCCTTAACGAAGTCATAGTAGCCTCCCTTCAAAGCAAGTGTTCCCTTCACAAGTCCTTCCCTCACAAACGGATATGTCAAAAGGTTTGCTAGTGAAACATTCACTGCCTCCTGCATTTATTTATCACAAAATTATATTATATAATCTCATCTCATCTCATATATATATGTATATTGGATTATAGATTGAATATATATCGAATGAACATGTGTATGTACCCTTTCACATCGGCCACACTGGTCTTCGAAGCATGAATCTCCAAGTTCTGATATAACCTTTGACTTGGCTGGCAAACAGATTTTGACCCAGTCCTCTATGAAGTCACTGCAATTAACATAACGTTTAATCCAAAAATTTCTACAAATTTGGTGTCAAAATATTGATAAATGGGGTAAAAATATATTATACGTGGAGTTGTTTCCATCTAATGGGAAAGACATAAGCCCCTTGATTCCACCACATGCACTGTGGCCTATCACCACAATGTTCTCCACCTACATTAATAAATTCCAAAAAAAAAAAAAAAATAGTTATTATGATTTTATATTTTCAAAATTATTTTCGGTTGAAGTACGAGGAATTTGTTTTTCTTTTTAAATCATCAAAATCAGGTCGTTGTTGTTGTTAATTAACGTGTGATTGCCTTGTATTGTATCAGTATGTATCTCTTCTCTGTTTTGGTTATGGTATTTAGGTCCACCTTAGCATGAAGATCCGATTCGGCCCATATTCTAGCCTTTATGGACCGGCCCATTAAAAATAATTATTAAGAATTAGGAGTTCACCTTAAGGTGCAAGACCGCGTATTCAATGGCTGCTCCAACTCCACTGTATTTGACCTGCAAATATAAAACGTCAATGCTACGGCTCCTCAAGCGAAAGGTCAAGTACTTGGGTCTTAGACAGAAGGTTTATATGTATAAACAAAAGCAAGTGTTGACTAACCTTGTCAAACGGAGGAACCATGTTGGCTATGTTACGAACCATGAAGGCATCACCTGGCTGAAAGTTGAGAATGTGTGATGGACACACACGTGAGTCCGAACAAGCAAACACCATGTACTGCACCACCATTCACATTTAAATGTTTTAATATTGTGTTAGAATCTATAAAAATGATCATGATATCTCTCTACAGTACTCCTTATGTGAATTAAATCATGCATGTACCTTAGGACTTTGTCCCTTGGCGAGTTCACCGTACAAAGCAGGGTTGGTTCTGCAAATTAAAACGTTAATAATATGAACGAGTTAAAAAAATCTATAGTCAATTTAATTATTGTTGAAGTGAGTTAGAAAAGAAAAAAAGAAAAGGATTTTACTCGTATTTCTCCTTCTTGAAAGTGATGAAACCCTGCTTAATGTTTTCGACGGGGTCAAAAGCCTTCTTGTCGGAAGAGGTACCTGTCTGAAGCTCCGCCGTGGCCTGCTCAACCTTTGCCGCCGCAACCGTTTTTAGCTCTTCCTTCTCGCTGCCCATATTTATATATACCATGTTATTGATTTTTTTTTTTTTTTAATTATAGCCAACCCCGTTATTAGTTTATAAAAGTATTTAGCCATTTTCAATTAATACAATAAAGCTAATCATATGTTTTAAAGAAGATGTATAGAGTACTTACATGAGAAGCTTCTTGAGAGCTTCAATAGCCTCGTCGTATGATTCGCTTCCCATCTCTTCGCTCTGCAAGTTGGTTGACCAAATAAAATTAGAAGACAGTCTAGTTATATATATATTAGTGACGTCGTGACAGTAATAAAGTAGGGAGAGCGGGGCTTGTCGTGTTTTAGATGTTGAAACTACAATCAACCAGTTCAACACTTTATTATATACGATGAAATTTTAAGTACACTTTTATCGTCTTTTATACTATGATTTTAATTTTGGGCTGGGAAGATCGGTAATGTGGTTAGGAGCCATATCGGTAGGTTGAATGAATAAATATAGATGGCGACTTCATCACAACTATGCTCCACACCCTCTCATATGGGTTTATGCACAACACACACGTATCAGTTTTTAAAAATAGTTTTGATGAAGCTACTAGTAAATTATTTTTTTTTTTTTTTTTTTTTTCTTTTATCACGTGGATCCTACGTACGTTCCAGCTCCCAAATTTAAAAATGTCGGATTTTGAGTAGAGATATGCAATACAACGCTTTTAATATTTCGAGGTCTTTTTTTTTTCTTTTTTTGACATCATGCATTAAACGAGAAGTTGTAATCGCTTAGAGCATTTGGAAGCTGAAAATGAACTCATCACTTGTGATTCACTACGCTACTCTAATCAGTCTTGATAATTTTGGGTGGTATTGTTTCAGTGTCACGCTAAAAACCAAAAGTAAAAGACGGATAATAATAGTAAGGATAATAAAAGGAAATGTGAAACACACGTGAGAGTTTCCAGGATTTGTGGAAGTTTCGTAATAAGATAGTTTCTATTTTCTATGTAGAGAAGTAATGTTATATCGAGTACCAGTCTCTCTACTTATCTACGTGATTAGACCGAAGAACCATGCATTTAGCTTTTTGAATAAATATTAAATGAGACGATTAATTACTAATTAGATAATTGCGAAACTTATATATATATATATATAATTGTAAATGCAGAAACAATATAATGGTTTCATAGAATCGTGAGACATAATTAAAAACACGAACTATTCCGTAATTTATCGGATTACTACTGACTAATGCGAAAAGAACTAATTACCATCAAGTGAAAACTTCGCAAGGAAGGGTAATTTTGTTTTCTATGTAGATATAGAAAACCCGTATTAGAACCTAAAACCATCATTAAATGCATTATTAATGGAAGTACAGTATTTTATATAAGATATTTTCTTAAAGAAATATTACCCTTATGATACTCCTATTAATGATGCCTTAAGTAACCAACAGCAATGTAACTATATATATGTAAGAAATAACAAATGTAGGTTAAGAAAAAGTAAAGGGAGCGAGGAATGTAAAATGTATACCCAATAAGGGGCGATGACAGGAGCAGGAGCGGCAAAAACGGGCTCGTTGCGGATAAGGGTTGGAACGGAACGGGAAGAAGAGGAGGAGGAGGAAGAAGAAGAGGAGGAGGGAAGGCAAGCGACGGTGGAAGAAGTGCGAAGAGAGGCTTTTTGGAGAGATGATTGAGAAGGAGTGAGAGAAGTGAGGAAGAAGCCGGAGAGAGGAGCGGTCGACATATTTGCTGGTGAAGAGAAGTGTAGTGAAAGTGATCAGAGATGTATTAATTATAGTTATTATACTCTCTTTATGGAAGCTACGTTACGTACTGCTAACTAAGTGAATGTATTATAGGATTGGTTGAAGGAGTTAGAGCGTTTGTGTTCCTCATGGACTTATGGTAAGGTTTGTGGGAACGAGGATAACGAAAGCGATAGGTGCGGTGAATAAGAAAGTTTCTTCTTTTCTTGTGGATGAGGAATATTTGCACAAGATTTTCAAAATTTTACGTGCTCTTCTTCTTTCAGTTTTTTTTTCTTTTTCTTTTTGTTTAATTAATATAAATTTTTTATTTTTAGAAAATAAAAGGTCTCAGAAAGGTTTAGAGGATAAGGCCCCTTATCATCAAAACAAGGATCAGCCTCTTTCACTTACCCTCTTAGGCTTCCATCTTAAATAACCACCACCCACTTTAGATGTTAGGACACTGTTTGTGGTGCATATGAAAGGGCCATACTTCTCTAACCCCTGTGGCGACCAGAGATTGTTATATTTTGCAACATCTAGAAGATGAACACGATCCAGGTAAGGAAAATGTGCAAGGATTTGGATCAATCATGGACTGTTTTTTCTATCCTGTGAAGCAATAGACTCGGTGAAAGTTCTTAGCATAAATAAGAAAAAAAAAAAAAAAAAGTGAAGAAAGCCATATAGAAGAAGCTTTCCCTCATATCTCCCATGATATATGGGCCATGAACATATAAATCATATAAGCAAAAGTAGGGAAAAGAGTTTCTATCTTCTTCAACATGTTAGGAGAGATGGAAACTGAAGAAGAAAGACAGGGATGAGCAATGCATTAGGTTTGGTTTTTGGGACTTATATGTAAAGTGGGGAATGGCGAAACTATGTCGACATTTTTTCTTGCAAATACAACACACAACATTATGTCAACACTCTCTTGTCACAGAGTGTGGCTTTTATTTGATTCATTCGGAGTAAAAAATGAACATAGGCTATGTTTTTTCACAAACGATATTAGTAGAACCTTGAGGAATAGGATAGAGACAGAGGAGTGATGTAATATTTTAACTTTTGCCGATTAAAAAACTTCTACTTTGGGCATAGTCTTATTGGACAAACTGAGAATGCAATACACCGAGCTGCTTTTGCCAGCCTAAATCTTTCGCTCTCTGTTAAAACTCTCTCGATCACCTTTATGATATTTGCATCCTGCAACACATTGTCAAAGTAACTTCAGATATACGTCTTCCAGCCATCAGGCAAATATAAATTGGAAGACTTATCCAAGTTTATCCTATTGTATGAAGAAGAGACTACTGCATTGTAGGAGTAACCTTTCTTGGTTCTTGAATTGTAGGCCTAACGTTAGCAATATCACCAACTATAATTATATTGTTCGTGTTTCCTCGTTCATCCCTTTCCGTTGGTGAAGTTGTTGAATGCCTCCAGTCACCATTGATTATGTACTTGTAGTAGTATCTGTCACATTGTCAAATGTCAACCATCACCAAGTTATACAACACAAATGCATTTTCATAAGTTTCCAAACTAAAACGCCTTTACAATCCCTCAAAAGTCACAGTTAAACCTTGAGCACAAGTAGCAACGAGAAAGGTGAACGAAGAATGACTTACTTTCCTTGTGAAAGTCTAACTTCAGTTTCAAAACGTGGGCCGCCCTTGTGCGTTGCTTTTATCGGTTCTTTCCAATTTCCAGTGAAATCCCCAACCAACAATACATCCTCCCCCTGTAATAGAGCAACCCAAGGTGTAACTTAAAACACAGAGGCCAGTCCCGTTGGTTGCTCAACCCTACAGATTACGAGTTCCTAAAGAAGTGCATCAAAATAGTAAAAGCATGTGAAGCAATAGTCACCTCGTGTCCATTCCACACAAAGGTTACAGAATGTGTTGGACTCCCATCATGCTTGCCATCGTCCACCATTGCAATAAGATCCCATGTAGCCCAAGCAATTGCAGGTCTGTGAAAAAGTACATATAAGTCAACTGATATTTCCATCAAAACAGAGGAAGTCATCCATGGTCTGCAGGTTAATGGTCAGGACAGAGATGAGATGGAAAAACCTGTCAGGTTTGCAAGCGTGCAAGCCAGTAACGAAACTATAAGCAGCATGAAGAGAGGTATCAGTCATCCAGTGCAGATAAGCAATCACGCAAGCCGATGATCGGTCAAAACCAGTGGTACATGTTACAAAGACACGATGGTTCTTTTTAAGTAACCGTAGTAGGAGCCCCACACAAAGTGGGAGCTTTTTCCTTAGATCAAAGGAATCTGCATCCCTGGCACGAAAGTATAAAAACTTTATTACTCTTGTTCACACCTTATTAGAACGCTAGGAAAAGAAAGCATGAAAGCACATGATATGACTTTGCATACTTTATAGGATAGTTGATCATTAAGACTTGAGATTTTTGGCATGCATCATTGATTTTTTGTGAATCGATTCCCCAGTTTTGAGCTTCAGTTCCACCTTGGAAATTCAATATGGCAGTAATTCCCTATAGTAGAAAAGCTTGACCAGTTAAAACCATAGATAATATATATCTCGATAATAGGTCATGTAAAAGACTCACTGATTCCGACAAATTTTCCACATCCTCTTCTGATTGTATACATGAGCCGACATATATTTGCTCTGTTATCTGAAAAAGGCAAAGAGAATAATGGTGTTGAGAGATTGAAGAGAATATGAAACAAGACTAATGGGGAAAAGAGAAACAAGAAAATTCAGACCTTGCTGTAGCGCATTCCAAGAGCATGGTTATACGACAGCTCTCCTTTTGATCGGTCAAGCGCTTTGATGTATTCCTCTAAAGGAAAGTTACCATAACCCCATTCCCCATCTCCAGAAACTTCTTCTGAAAAGACACAGATCAGTGGACTGATAGGTGGAGAAAGGATGTTCTTCTGTGTCCCTGACTGAAAGGAATTGCTGTGTCTGGTCAAAAGTTTCCATCCCCGAGAAGTAAAAAACTTCGAGGAAAATGCAGCATAGCCAGAATTTCCATTGCCTTCAGATGCTCTCAGATTCGACGATAAAAGGTTTTTGTTCCAAGTAGCAAAGGACACACGTCCTCTATTATAGAGCATATCAAGGTCGCTCAAATGAAGCAGATACTGGATTGGAAATGGAGAGAATGGTCTTTCAAGAACAAGGCTAAACAATCCAGTTCTCTCTACCAGCATCTTCCTGAATAAATAAAAAACTGGAAGAAATAAAAAAGAAAAATTCAAAAACATAACAATGGAGTCGGCATTCAGCTCACAGCACTGCACAAAACGAATATATTGAAAAATCCAAACGTAGAAGAATGAGTTTTTGCAGATCAGAAAGTCATAAGTAAGCAAATCATTGGTAAACCTACCATCCAATACATGGTAAGTATGTAGCCAATAGCCATGTAACAGAGTATTAGCAACACACAATTAAAGTGGAGCAAAGATCCTAGAAAGTATCAATCAAGTAACTCAGACCAAACTCGGTTAAGGACTAAGCAAACCCATGTTAACTAGTCAGTAGTCAATAGGTAAATGTCTTACTTGGTATCACCAAAATCCTTGATTTCGACAAGAGGACCACCAGAAGAATCACTGGCCTTCTTTAGTGAATCTCCAACCATGATGATTCTTGCCTTCTCCGCATTGCTCTACAAAAAAAGAAGAAAAAACAATTTCTTGTACAGAGAATAAGAAGGGAGAGCTAGAAGCTCCAGAAAAGAGCGAGACTTGCAAAGAATTACCCCTTTTTTGATGGCGTGGACGAAGATGGTGCCATCCGCAGAAAGCGCGAATCGAATCCCGAGGGGCTTCTCGAGGGTGACCATATACTCATTCAAATTCATCTTGAACGGAGACGAGGAAGACGACACCGCTACAACTCTAAGTAGGAGTCTTCGTCTGTTGAATCCGACTTTTTCCCTAGAACCAAAGTAGGCGATTCCTCCTCTTCCGCCCCGGAACGGCGATCCGGTCAGAATCGACGGGGGAGAAGACCGTTCGAGAGCTCCGAAACCGGAGATCTGTTGAAGAAACGCCATAGCCGGAGATCCCAATCGAGGAGAATGTGTGTGAGGAGAAAAAAAAAAGGCAACTTCGAAATCGAAGCTGTGTGTGTGAGAGAGAGCAGAGAAAACGAGGCGGCAGAGCAGAGCAAGCAAGTGAGAGGGTAAGGAACTAGTGGTACACGTGTCTTCTCGTGGGTCCCGCTTTCTCATGGAAGTATCTAGCTTCCTTTTTCTCCACACTTGACACGTGTCTTCTCCTTTTATCAGCGCCAAAAAAAAGGAAATAAATATCTTAACACCCGTTTCGTTTGATTGAGTCACTCAGTCAACGAACTTAATTGGACTTACGATATCAATATATCATAATATCACTGAACAAAAGTTACATGTACAGTAGTAACAAGTATAAATGAAATACAATAATGTTTAAAAACAATATATGCACCTAATTATTTTGATATAATAAAAGTACATAATTTAGTCAAGTTGTTGTAAAATCATTCATTTTCCCAATTTAATTAACGACGAAATCCTCGAATTCCGGCGAACACTCCGATCAAATCTTGCTTGTAAGGCAAGTAAGATTTTCTTCTCTTTTCTCCTTCCCCGACCTTGAACGACGCCGTTTTGTCCTTCCCTTTCACCCACGGCGGGCTCGTCTTACTTGCGTCGCCCCCGTCGCTGTGGCTCCTCCTCATGAACTCCTTCAGATAGCACCCTTTTGATGCGCTTGGCACCAAAACGCCACCGTCGCTATGGCTTCTCGTTAGGAATTTCTTCAAACGGTGGCGTTTCGATGTGCTCGTTGACAATCCCGAGCGTTTCGAAGCAGCCGGGGATCTGAGCGGACTCCATAGACAGTTTCCGTAGAAACTCTCGGACATGTTCTCATGAGCGGCGGCTTCGAGGTCGTCGTCGCCTTTCTTCTTGTTAACGACTAAAACGGCGTCCTTCTTGAACGGCGGGAAGTGGACAAAGGTTTCTTCGTGTAACGGCGAGGTCTCAAACTCGAAGTCAGCGTCATCGACGGAGTCAACTCTAACGGATCGATGATGATCTGCGCGATTGTAGTTCATCTGGCTCTCACGTGAAACTCTAACGGCGGCTGCGGCGAATTCACCGGAAGCATAGCAGCTGAAGCTTGGGCTGTACGACACCGTTGATGAAAACTCATGCATTTTGTTCTCTTGTGATCTCTCCACTAATCTTGCCTTGCTCTCCATATGATATTATATATATCGTCCTTACTTACCTACAAACGAATCGTGTCTTTTTAACTTTTTATGTAGGTATCTCTGTGGTACTATAAATATATATATATATATACTACGTATAGGTGGTGGTCTTTGTTTTTATGGCAACATTTTGGAAATGATATATATAGACACGTACGTACGTCGATGCTGACGATTAATTTTCGCCAACCTAGCTAACTTAAACTTTGATCCATTTTTCTTCAACCAACCTAATATTTTATTTTAGACGTGTAATCAATCAGATTTGACATAATCATTTTGCGATTCTGTAAATTCTTTATTTAATATATTTCGTATGAACTCGTGATTCATTCTCTGTTTTATTATAATTATCAATCTATTCTCTATTTTCTTTTTCATATTCTGTGACTTTACAAATATTTTGAAATGGTTTTGCTCTAATTACTTTTACTTGTAGCAGTACTAATTAAGTAGTAACACGTTTAAGCTACAGTAAATGGTTAGTCGAATTAATAGATACTACCAATAGTCATTATTATTCTATGTCTTTATAATTCACTCATGCTAGGAGTCCAGTAGTTTTAGTAGTTGCTGTTATTCTAGAAGATTTAAGAAAGCGTCATTGAATCAAACACTTTGAACGTCTCTAGCAAATTTACAAATGATTATATTCTTTTATAAGGATCGTCGTCGGCACTAAAAAATCTACATGACGATGACCTAAGGCCAAACATTCTTATTTGATATAATTGGGCATAAAAACAAGCATATGATTATACAGTATATAATTGCATCACATGCTAATATGGCATTTCCTCAACGGATAGCAACATTGAAGTCCATTTTGGCATGTTCTGCTTTAGTTTTATAAATTATACAAGTGCATTGTTAATTAGCTGTTGGAATTGTAATCTGTTATATTCTTTCTTTAAAGACTAATTCAACGATTGTTTTTTTTTAGTGATCAATAAATATTCCATAAAAGATTGTTCTGCATGTTACATATATATCTCAGTTACATGTGGAGCAATGAGTTGGCATGCAGCTTAAACTATAGTCGTTTTTAAAAAATTAATGTTTGAGTTTGATTATTGCTACTGCCAAATCCCAAATACTACATTCGATTTGATTATTTTGTAGCCTCCATCAAGCATTTAAGCCCAAACTCGGGGCCGGCCTTCTCCAGTTATCAGTTTCTGTTTACTACTCGTTATAGGTACGTGATGGATTGTAAAGACTAAAAATAATAATCGAATTGTTTCAGAAATAAAATAAAATAAATAAAAATAATATATAATACTATCGAACCAATAATATATAGGAATAAGGAAGGTAAATATATACATTGAGGTCTAAATTAGCATGAATTGAAGAAGTATTAATTCGACTAAACCAACCTATTATTAATTGGCGTTTCTTCTATGCTTTATAATCGTTTTAATTAGTTTGTCAACATCTTCTATATATGCTTACTGATTAGCCAACATCTTGTGTGACTGTGAGTTCAACATTTTTAGATAATATTCGTAATAGGGGAACGCGTAAATACATATTATATATGAAGCTTTACTCTGATTACTCATACTAATCTCAGAAATATCAAGCCACTAATTTGACAAATTATCGGCTAATTGCATTAATTTATATGTATATCGTGCGTGGACTGTGATTAGTAATTTTCTAGGAAATGGATATTCCAAAATGTGCCCACAACACGGCCAGCTCACGGCGTTTTGACTTTTATTTTTCTTAATTTCCAGTCAAACCACAAAATGAGAACGTATGAAATCGATCGATCGACGCATTATGCATACATGATGAAGAAGAAGATATGTGTTACGCTGCGGTCAGGTCAGTGACGCAAACGCAGATCGCGACTTTTGTTGTAAAGGCAAACGAAGACTGTTGCGGTACGTTGGGTATGAGTGTGCGTGTCATTAATTTACTGTCACTACTCACTATACTGACAGTTTTTGGACGGTGAAAACTTTCTTTACCTAAAAACGAATGAATATTAAAGGAAAGAGCCTCTCGGTTGCTGACGTGGCCGTCTTTGAATCCCGACGCACGTGCATGGCTCAAGCAAAGAGTGCTCTATTCACATGTGAGAGTAAAAGGCGTCTCAACGACGCTGCTGCTCGTTATATTTTGAAAAACTACTGCGACATTATTTTAATATCATAAGTTTTTTGTTTTTTTTTTAAAATATCATAAGCTTTCATTTTGTTTACGTACGTAAAGCTCTGCGCAAGTACTCAAATTAAATCTAACTTTTTTTGGAACTCCAAACTACTAGCTACTATAGTACTAATTTCGTTGATATATTGTACCTGCTTATAAATACATCCAATTACTGGCTCACAAAGTTCAGTTAATTAATTGTCCTATGAGACTAGTACTGTATATCCAAAGAAAAGAGGGTAATTAATTCATCGTCGAAACACTAACGTAATAAAGGAAAACATATACTAATCATTTCAAACATGCCCGGATATATATATATATATATATATATATATATATAGGAGTATTTAATTCGGAGTGCTATGAATAAGTATGTTGTTTATCTTATACTAAATGAGTAATGAGTATAAAAAAAAATATATATATATATACTAATAGAGAATAAAATACGAATTGCATAGGAATGCACATACAATAAGGGGACGAGTTCCCATAAATTGATTCTCTATGTCTTCGGGACTCATCAAACACAAAGTTCCGATATTTCCTGTAAACCCGTTTCCAAAACTATAATAATATATTGGCTGATTAATTATACTATTATACTACTCAAACCTTAATTAAGTATCTAACCGTCGACCCACTTGAGGCATTTTATTCGAATTAAACAGGGGATTTGTAACCATACATTTCACATAATTAATAAAACATTTATTTAGTATAGTGAAAATGCAAATACCCTTTTCACTTTATAATTTAGGTAATAAGTAAAAGTACTATATTATATGTGTAGAATAATGATGCTTTAAGAGAGCTTTTTGTAGCTGCTAAAAAATGGATTAAAATATTAGTGTAAGAGTCTTGCACATATGAGTCTGTATACTCTCATGAGACCAGGAGAGAGAGAGAGATGATTTTCAAAAGATAAACATAGAAAAAGAGAAGCTCTTGTTAACCGAAGATATAATATAATGCGTATTTATAGATCAGATCACATCTTTATCCTTCTTCTTCTTCTTCTTCTTCTACTCTTTCTCTTCCCAAACCCATTAGAACAGAAACTTTTACTAAAGACCCGAAAACAGATCTGAGATTTTTGCTTTTGTTTTTGTTGATGTCTTCCATACAGTGGAGGTTTTCAAACAGGATCCCTTGCTTTTGAGTTGGGTTAATTAATTACTCGATCTGACATTAATTAAGGTATGTAACCATTTGATAATCCTCCCTTTGATGTCTCCATTGCTGTTGTCTCGATAATTTGTTTTTTTTTTTCATGTTTTAGTCTCCTTTTAAGACATTTTATAGGTAAATGGGTAACTAGAAAATGTTGTGACTTGGCAAAAAAACGCAAGAAATTGTTAACAAAGCTTAACTATTAGATATATATGTCATAAATTGTTAGGTTACATCATCCATTTATTATAGGCGTTTCAATTTGAAAGAAGTAGGTAATACTTTATATATGCAATAATAATGTTCGGATTCATATCCAAATTGAATGTTGCGTTTACAATTGATTGGCTTATTATGTACCTAGTTAAACACAGCATTTTGGTTAGCTAAATACAGTTTTCCTGGTATGAAATAGCATCATTAATATAAGAGTACGTACTGTCTCAACATAAAATCAAAATGTGTGTTATTTTCTCTAACTAACTACATTACACTACACTAAATAAAGGATATTGCACTATATATAGATGTAGCTAGTGGTTAATATTGTTGAATTTTTTGCATCAAGTAAATAATCTCTTTGGACAAAAACAAAAACTCGATGGAAAGAACATGTAAATAGACAAACTGTATTCTATACGGGTTCGTACATGTCAGGCTAATTATTTATTCTACAACGCCGAAGAAACTTAATTTTTTTTTTTTTTTTTACTCGACTTAATTATTATGTACAATTTTTTTTTTTTTTTAACCTTCTTACAAGTGAAAAAGGGACAATCGTACTTTTTCACCTTTTAACTTTCCTTTTTAGTAACATGCATATCGAAAGATAAAAACCTTTTTATTTATTTATTTTTCGAGAGATTTTTTTTTTTTTTTTAATACTGCTAGTATGATAAATGCTACTATCGCATACTAAATCATAAAACGAATCTAATCCTTTAAAAATCCTACTAGATTTTATTATTATAGACATTTTGTTTCGTATCACATTAATAATAATTAATATATTCTTATCACATTAATAATAATTAATATATATGTATATATATATATTGTCTTGTTATGATATTGTGTAATACTTGTAGCTTTGAATGGGCCACGTAATTGGGCCATGCTAGGAACCGGCAACCCATGTGAGATATGATCTCCCACACTATTATAATCAAAATCAAACGGATAGCTCTAATTATTCTGTTTAAAAATAAGATCGTCTTATTTTTACTCCGAATACTGTGTTACTTATATGTGTGTATAGTTTACAAGTATATGGAGAAAATGTTTAAAATCAATAGGGGGAGTAGTTAGTGTATAAGTGTGTATATTTTAAAAAGCTACCGTACCATAAGATTCTTACCATAAAGAGCCAAAAATATAATAAACTTATATAGTATTACTCATCTCCACGATAAGACACCTTTTTTTTTTTTTTTTTTCCCTAGCCAACAAAAAAAACTTCAGATTCATCATATCTCCAACGCGCTCGCTAGCGTTCTCAGTTTCTTTCATTTTTTTTATTACAACCTAACAGAGACCAGTCAACTACTTGTCTTGACCAAACCAGTCTCAGTTTATATCAAAAGTAAACAGAATTTGTAACGTTGAAACTTGAAATGTAATTCTTTTACCTCAACTCGGCACAAGGGTTTGCGGCTAATTTCTAGAATTCTCGTTGACGCAAGAAAAATATTGTCAGCATAATAAAGTGGAAGCAGTGGAGAAAACGCGCCAAAGAGGGAGCGTGAGTGAGATTTGAATGCACCTGAAACTGTCTGGTCAATAAGTTAAAAGTGCATGGGAAAAATCTTCGTTGCTGTTTCCAATATCCCTCTCTCTCTCTCTCTCTCTTTTAGTCTTTCTAGTGAGTATTATTATTATTTTTCTTTCTTTTACAGTATCAACATAGTGTAGTATACACTCGTATTCATATATGGACAAAAATATGTATATCTGAAGAAGGAAATGCTTATTATGGTCGCAAAAAATGAGAGTATCATAGTCTATTATTATATGTTGAGTTTGTAAGCTTTTTTTTTTGTGGTTTGTTTTATAATATTGGCAGGCAGGTTTATTAATTTTTTAAAAAAAAATGGAGGAGGAAAGGGAAAAGCCGCATCGAGTTTCACGTAAGTTAGACCAGAGTGGATCCCACTGGATTCAAGGAGCCGTTGAAGCGCCGAGATGCTCCGGGAAAAGGTGCCGGTCTTGGGCGGCGGCGGCCATCGCTGACTGCGTGGCGCTCTGCTGCTGTCCCTGCGCCGTCGTGAACCTCCTCACTCTCGCCTTCGTCAAGGTCCCATGGATGATCGGGCGGAAATGTATAGGCCGTAGTGGCCGGAGTAAGAAGCGGAGGAAGAAAGTCAACCGTTTTCATGAGAGGTCGGCGGAGATGGTGGGTGGTGGGTGCTGCGGTGGCGGAGATGGAGATGGAGATGGAGAGTTGGACGACCACCGGTTTGTGGTGGAGAGAGATGGGAGTTTGACAAAGGAGGAAGACAAAACGGCGTCGTTAGAAGAGACGAGAATAAGTGCGAGAGTGGAAGCGGAGAGAGTGTGGTTGGAGCTGTACCAGATCGGCCATCTTGGCTTTGGCAGACTCTCCTTCTCTGGAATTCATCCTTCTTAATCAAATTATTCTTACATTATACAATTCATTCCTTACTCTCTCTAGCTATACAGCGTCTTTTTTCCAAAACATAACAAAAACTAAATATATACATATATGTTTTGTGAAATTCTTTTAGGGCAGCTAATAAAAAAATATATTCCATTTAATTCTTCCTACTCATAAAGTTATTTCATTAAGAAAAAAGAAAAAAATGTAAATACGAATGTTTTTGGTTAAATGGTTTTAAACTATTATGATACAATATGTATGTAGTATAGATATGGGCTCATTAATTTGGGCCCTTACCGTAGGGCTTGCACAATGATTAGTAATAAATAAGAGGGTCATTTTGGAAATTAAAGAACTTGTTGTTGATAGCTGTCCCGTAACAGAAACAACGCGTATTATAGCATACATATGAGACTGCTAAGCTAAAGTACGCATGTAAACGTAGTGCGCGCAATAGAATAGGTGTTGTGTTTCCCGATCATCTGCTCTCTGACCAAAGTCGAGAATCCCCCAAATTCCCAAAACACAGAGAGAGAGAAAATGGGGAGCGAGGCGACAAAAGTGATGGTGGCGGTGAACGGTTCGACGATAAAAGACTACCCTCACCCTTCGATCAGCAGCAAAAGAGCTTTCGAGTGGACTCTGGAGAAGATCGTCAGGTCCAACACTTGTGACTTCAAGATTCTCTTGCTCCATGTCCAAGTCGTCGACGAAGACGGTTCTTCTCTTCTCTCCCCCCCCCCCCCCCTTCTTTTTATTTTATTTTATTTTATCACCTTCCTGCTTATAAGATCTCTGTGTGACGTTAATTATGATCGTAGATTGGGTTGTGGGATGGATGATCATGTCGGTTTGAGTTTCCCTAGAGTTTTTTTTTGTTTGCTTATCAAAAAAAAAAAATGATCATCTTACTTAGTTCGAATTAACTCCATAGAATGCGTGACGTGATTCCCATTTGTATCACAAGTGTCGGTCCGTGAGATCATCTCTTTCTCGGCTTTCGTTTTTGCTTTGATCTTACATTTAATGGTTAATTACCATAATCTTGAGAATTCTTGTTTGTGTGATGAGAATATATACACATATCAATCTGATGCCTTCCTTGATTGTTGAGAGATATGTTAGTGGAGAAAATTAAAGATTCTTGTTTTGTTCTGTTTCTCACCCCCCTTGAGTGGGGGAGATGTAAGTGGTTTTGCTTATACGATTCTTAAGGTGTTTACTTAAAAGCTTGTTCTGTTTCTGAATTGGAAACCAGGTTTTGATGAAGTTGACAGCATTTATGCTTCCCCTGATGATTTCCGAAACATGAGAGAAACTAACAAGGCTAAAGGTCTTCACCTTCTCGAGTTTTTCGTTAAAAAATGTCATGAGATTGGGGTATTAACTCTCTCTTTTTTTTAGCCTCCTCCTCATCTCATCCACTTATATCCTCCTCTAACTGATAACTACTTTCATCTTGTGATGTTCTTCATCAATGCAAAACTTGTAGGTTGCTTGCGAGGCCTGGATTAAGATTGGTGATCCCAAGGATGTAATTTGCCAAGAAGTGAGCCGAGTCCGACCAGATTTTCTGGTTGTCGGAAGCCGTGGTCTTGGCCGCTTTCAAAAGTGCGTAAACATTACTCACAACCCCTACTTGATTTATTGCTTCAAACCAGTATGTATATATCTCAACTAGTTAGTTATTAAACTGCAATGGTGAAAACACCAATCAGACTTTTAACTGATGTAGTGTAAAGGATTGCAGCTTGATAGGATTTTCACTTTTGACAGAAATTTGAAGTTTGAATAGATTAGTAGTGTTAGACGAGACAGGAACAGAGCCCAACAAGGGAATTATCATTCTAAGTTTTATACTAGCATTGACCTAGGCATACTAGACTAATAGTTTTGTTTTGTGATAATAATATGGGTCTGGTCTTTTCTCACTCTCTTGGCATTGCAGGGTCTTTGTGGGGACTGTGAGCGCGTTCTGTGTGAAACATGCCCAGTGTCCAGTTATGACGATCAAACGCAACGCCGATGAAACTCCCAGTGATCCAGCTGATGACTAAGAAAACAACAACGTCCTTTCTTTGATTTATTGCAGAGAGTGCTTTTGTGTGTACAAAAATACAAAATTCATACCCCTATCCCTATATACATGTGATCTGTGTATGTCTGTATGTGTGCAGCCTGCTACTTTTTGGAATTGGCTTTCAAACTGAAACAACTACTACTATATATTTCATTTCTATATATTTATCTTTCATATACACAGTACAGATTGAAGAAAGAAAAAACAAATCTCAACATAAAAAACAGCTCGAATTTGAAAACAAAAGAAAGACTAGTACACATATTTTCTTTAACGAACAGAGGTAACGACTTTCATATGTATAATATGTATATTAATTGCAACAACACCAAAGAACGTACCATACCAAAAAAAAAAAGAAAAAAGAAAAGAGATCAGCTCGGGGATATAAATAAAGAAACGTAGGACTATCTTAAATCACATGGTGGTCACCATTGAGCAAGTGGACGGGCCACAGATCTTCAACGTTCCAGTAATTCTCGTTTGATTGTTCTACCACATTAAACGTTGTCGTCGCCGGAGAGAAGCTCTCAGCCATGTCGATGGCTTTGCCGGAGCTGCCTTGGTCAGTCGTCGTCATCCCTGAGCTCTGTGAGTTTCCCGAACAATGTTGATGCATCATATTCTTCGGCGGTACTTTCATGTGTCTCTGAATCTTTGTCCTCCAAAAGTTCTTTATCTCGTTGTCCGTTCTTCCCGGGAGATGCTTCGCAATCTTGGACCACCTATATATACAACCAGACCACAATTTAGTTTTTCTACTTCGTATTACGTACGCACGCATGTAGTCATGATGAAACTATATATGTAAGACCTGTTTCCAAGCTTAGCATGAAGCTGAATGATCAAAAGTTGTTCTTCTGCGGTTATGTTCCCTCGCCGCACATCTGGTCGGAGATAGTTCAGCCACCGGAGCCGACAGCTTTTTCCCGTACGTTTTAGACCTTAATTAATACATGTAAACAGGTAAATATATTCATTGCATATATAACATATCATTAAAAAAAACATACATAATACGTGAGAGTGCAAATCCATATATATACCAGAGGCTTTGGCGACAGAGTTCCAAAGACCTTCACCGTGATTAAGAATGTAATTAAAGAGGATGAAGTCTTCTTCCATAGTCCATGGCCCTTTCCTCACTGTTCCTTCTTCTTCTTTCTGCGATGTTATCGTCGCTTTGCCTCTCCCTTTCTTCTTCATTGTCTCCATCGATTCTTTTTTTTCTTTCAATGCGCTATGATCAAGATCGAGAGAGATACCCGAGGCGGGAAGATGAGCAACAACTGTTTTGTTTTTATAGGGTTGTGGCTATACTCCTATTGATTGGAAATAGAAAGCAGAGTTTTTCAAGTGAAACTTATATTACAAAAAAAAAAATCAATGAAATATGTAAATATTTGATTACAAAAGTACTTGATGATATAACTCTTATATAACAAATTAATAATCAAATGAGAACTTCACGTCCACACAAATTATAAACAGTGAGAAGAAAGAAAGTACAAAATATTGAATTAAAGCAAAGCTTGACAGAAACATTACACATATCGTTTATGTAAAATAACGACTTCTTCCTAACCCTCTATCACTTTTCTGAGCCAATATTTTATTTAGTTAACAAGATAAATGAATTTCTTTTCGTTTGAAACACAAATTGGCATTTTTGTTTCATCCTTGCTATATTTTATTTTACCACATCTAAAATACAACTGTGTTTTGGTCACATATTTTTTTTGTTTGTGTGTATGATTTTGATTTAGCATTTTAAATTGAAGAATCTAAAATATTAGAGAGGGAAAATAAAATGAAAGTTGTAAAAATAGCGTTAGCTTCTGGGAAATTAATTGAGAAGGTTCGGTGTAATTCATATGCCAAATTTAGTAAGTGATGTTTTGTGGCTGAAATTTTTAATGATGTGTCAGCTTACAATTCAGTTAAATTAATTACTGTAACCTGTAAGACAGTAGTAACTATTGATATTATAAACCAAATTAAAAGACTTTGCCGGGTTTCTCCAAAATATACATAGAAAAATAAGGCTGTACTTAAAATAGTCGTTAAAAAAATTAGGATTCGAAAATAAACCTTTGAACTGTCTATCATTCCATATATGAAATAATTTTTACAATATTAGTTGGTTGTGCTCGGTTGATAATTAATTAATTTGAAGGATACAAGGGTTTATCTCGTAAAGACCAATGAGATAATTAAGATAGATTTGATACTAGTGGAAAATAAACCATGTGTGTGAACATGTACAACTAGCAAGTGAGCTTTGATTTTTAAGATTTGAGGAGTTCATGATTCGTTTAGTTGTAAAAGGAAAATTAATTTGTAACCACAAAAAACAAGACTCTGTTTGTAGACTAATAAGGCTGTCATCAATTATATTATCATCAAAGTACACAAGACACACTCTTTCCTCCTTAGACTCACCAAACTTCTTTTCCCAAACTTTTTATTTCTTTCTTTTTTTTTTTTTTGAAAATAAAAAACTAATTAGATTATCAAATAGTCTTAGTATTCACATTAACATCGGTGATCATCGGTGATAAAAATGCATGATGAAAAACAAGAAAAGTGGGTTCGGTTGAGAATGGTTTCAGGAATTTGAAGTCGGGACTTTTTTAGTACCTCTGTAAATTTACAAGAGTACCTGTAAATTCCGCAGGCCAGATGTCATGCAAGTTTCCAGTTAAAGCAAACTGCACTTGTTATACCAGATTGAACCTTACGTAACCGAGATCACAAACACCACTCTAATTTAATAATTAAAGATGCTACATAATCCCACAACACGTAAAAGTTACTCCTATCGAATAAAAAACAGTCTTTACCAGTCTCTGAATTGCATGATTAAAAATATTTGAAATACAAACTATAAGATATCAAATGTTGATTGTGAACGTAAGTTTTCCAATGGGAGGTGTCTTCTTGATCTTGTTTTTTTTTCAAATTCTTCACCGGCCAAAAAAAAATATATAATGTCGGAGGTAGTAAGGGATATATTTCCATCCAATAACAACACATTCTTCTGTCACTTGGTCTTTATCAGGCTTGTTTCTCCCTTCTTTATCTGTGTTTCATCATGGCCTCGTGGAAGCTGCGAGGAGGAGATCCAGAGGAAGACGGTGGTGGAGCTCTGTTGAATCTCTCAGGGCTACGGCTCCTTTCACGCTCTCTTCCCCATCCGCTACTGCTTCTGTTTCTCATCCAAAAGTTATACAACATCTCTCAAGTCACAACCATAATTTCTATAAAAATACAACATAATAGTATATTTTAAAAGAAGACGTCATTATGTTAATTTACCTGTCACGCGGAGCAAAGCCACCTCTGCCCCCATAACCAGAATCGCCACCTCTGGCACCATAACCAGAGTCGCCACCACGACCACGGCCTCCGGATGGGGGACCCCAGCGACTGTATTTGTTCATTCCACCACCACCACGTGTAGCCATTTCACGGATCTGTTGAGGAACTTGCTGGTTTGCTCCTTCCAAGATTTTGATCAGATCCGAAGCATGTTTTGAATCTTGATCACCAAAGAATGTGAATGCATGACCAGTCGCTCCGGCTCTTCCTGTTCTTCCAATTCTATGAACATAGTCTTCCACTCCATTGGGGAAATCATAGTTTACGACCGCCCTGTGATATCAGATTGTGTTAGCTAATATAATCATATCAAGTAACAATTTCATGATCTGTTTTTGAAGTTTGCGATATGGATTAAATTAATACCTGATGTCCTTTACGTCCAGTCCACGAGCAGCAACATCGGTTGCAACTAGAACCGGAGTCCTGCCACTGCGGAACTGATTAAGAACATTGTCTCTCTCAGGCTGGGACTTGTCTCCATGAATAGCAGCAGCTCCAAATTGGCGGGTTAGATTGCGTGTTAGTTGATCACACATCCTTTTGGTTGAGCAGAATATTATCACCTTCGAACCTGGTTCCTGAGACCGCAAGATCTGCTCTAACCTCCTCTGTTTCTCCATTGGTGCTACCACTTCAATGTGCTGTCCAAAAAAGCACAACAATCAGATTGAATTTCATGAAACGTCAGCAGAATCAATAAATTCAGGTCAGGCCAAACCTGTGTGATTGACTTGTTAGCCACAAGCTCATCAACATTGCCAATGTTGACTTGAGCAGGGTTAACAAGTAAGTCGGCTGCAATTTTCCTAACTCCCTTAGGCCATGTAGCTGTGTACATAAGGGTTTGACGCTTAGTGGGAATTTCTTTCACAATCTTCCTTATCTGTGGTTCAAAACCCATGTCCAACATTCTATCTGCCTCATCTAACACAAGGTAAGAAATTTGACGCAGACTAATTCTCCTCATTTCAAGGATATCATTCAATCTCCCAGGAGTTGCAACCACAATATCTGCTCCTCTTTCTAAATCCCTCAGCTGAGGGCCTTTAGGTGCACCACCATACAAACACTGAAATAGAGGTAACAAGACCAGGCATTTAGTATCCATTAGACAGAAACTATGAAAGTAGCATGTCAAAGGTTTACAAGTTCAGAAACTTCTACTTACAGTACACGAAATTCTTGATGACCTTCCAAACTTAACAGCTTCTTCTTGGATTTGAGTGGCCAGCTCCCTCGTTGGAGACAATACCAAAATTGTTGGGCCCATTCGCGAATCATTTCGGATGCGTTGAAGATGCATAAATCCAGGAATCAAGTAACCCAAAGTTTTTCCCGAGCCAGTTTTAGCAATGGCTACTATGTCCCTACCTTGAATAGCAATTGGCCATGACTGAGCTTGAATTGGAGTTGGAGCAGAGAAACCTGCACTGAGTACCTAAGAAAGCAGAAAACCAGGCTTTCCAATGAGAAGTGGAACACCAAGGTTCTTTTGGGCTTAGGGAGTGGTAGCTCATGTCAGAAGAAGCACCATCCCCCATTTGCAGGCGGCAAAAGATTACTGATGAAACCTGCAGCAGGAGGACGCCTCTTCTTCTGTCTGGACCCGGTGGTGAAATGAATCATCACACCATTAACAGGCCCTGCCACGAGCTGGAATGATTTGGGAAGCCCTTTCCAAAAAATTTGGTCCACCATATAGGACACTCCAAATAATTTGCAAGGACCTCAAAGAAGTGGCACAGTGTACGACATTAGCTCCTCCCAGGAGCAAACATCGCACCTGGGAAAAAGAAAAAGAAAAAAGGGTGCATATGGCATAAAACTTTGTCTCTAAATGTTAAACCTAAGTCGATTTAGCTTGGCGAAAAAATTAGTATACTATTAGGGAAACCAAGCTAGGTTCAAAAATCAAACCCCAGCATAAAACTCAATACAGATTTGGCTCATTGGTAGAACAGTTATAAAGGAAAGAAAGGTTTGAGGGTTCCTAAGTCTTTACAATTTACTATGACAATATAAATTCATACCTCCCGCAGAAGCTCAGGAGGAAAACCAGTAGCTTCAAAGGACATTATAGGCGGTGGAACTTGCCCCCCCTGAAAAAAAAGGGAAAAGAGATATCAGTTACTAGAGGAAATAAAAAAGGTTTATAGAAATGAAACATGTCAAAGCCAAATAGGCTGTCTTAAGTGATGACTGCTCAAGAGGAACACATAATTTTTTAAAAAAAAATTGAACAACTAAACTGTTGAGGCAACTTGGTAGGGAACACCAGCACAAGGGTCTACCAACAACAAGAAATACAAACGACGGTTGTTCAAGGAAGCTTTTAGATACTTACACTGACAGTAATTTCATGACGGCGAGAGTAGGCCTCAGGGGACACTTCACTTCTGGGAGCTGATGAAGGAGGAGGACCTCTGGCAGATGTTGCACCATATGCAACTCCGTTAGCAGCACCATTGGAATAAGGAGGTCCATTCCTGCCACCCTTTAATAGATTTTGAGCAAACAAATAACATTTCGTTTAGCAATCAGTAGCAAATAATGCAAGAGAAAGGGTATAATAGTTGTTAAAGAAAAGCAAAGGTACAAAGAGGAGAGAAAAACTGGTGAGTACCTCACTAAACCTGGAGGCAGAGTCGTTCTTAAGGGAAGGTTCGGTGCCTCTGGCATACTTATCATCATCCTTGCGAGGAGCATAGCCGCCAACATTAGGTAGGGATGAAGGAGGTTGAGCCTGAACGGAAGAGGTGACAGAGACAGCAGCAGCAGGTCTCTCGTACTGAGTAACGTTGGTCTCAGGATTCCAAAAGTACAAGTAGCCGGTTCGATCATCGACAAGGCCTTTCCATGGTTTGGGGAGAGAATGGTCCTCAGGTGCATAACGGACGGCAGAAGGAGCAGCAGCGGTAGCAGCCATAGCAACACCAACAAAGAGTATTCAATCTACAAATTCAAGTTAATTAAACAATCAATTAAAAAATAATAAAGGCATCCAAAAAACGATCGAGCACAGATCTGGATTAGAAAGAGAAACCCTAAAACGTAAAAGTATAAAATCCAGAGGATTCGATCGATCAGAATACAAGAAAAAACAAAGAGCAAACGGAGAGAGAAAACTCGGATGACAAAATAAAGGGAATCAGAGAGAAAGTAAATGCAAAAGGAGATGAGAAACGCGGGTACCTGATGATGATGTTCAAGTGTTGCGGAGAAGAGGATGCTGGATGTGGAAATCGAACAACCACCACCACCAGGTTATAGATTTATTAACTAGTGTCGGGTCAAATCCTCCTAACTCGACAGATTTGAGATTCCTTTTTTTCTCCCTCCTTTGCTAATCTCTCTCTCTCTCTCTAAAAAAGAACTATCTACGCCACAAGAAGGAAGCGTAGAGAGAGAGAAAAAAAGAGAGGGAGGTATGTGTGTGAGTCGTCCCGTTTCATTAGGTTTATACAACTTACCAATCTCAACCAAAAAAATATCTGCGTCCCTTCCTTAACGAGCCGCCTCCTTCTCTTTTGGGCCTTCTAAAGTCTTCTAATAACTTTAAACCCAAGCCCATTAATTCCTCAGACGGAAATACAAAAATACCCCCCCGGATGGTGGGATTGGGGGATATCTTTCTTTCTTTCTTTGATGATTTGTGAAAGGAATTAACAAACATTCTCTCATGTAATGGTGTATAAAACGACGACATGATTGAACCAACAAATAATAACACCAAACTCATCAGGCAGAATATAATGATTGATTAGAGAGCCTTCTACAGTTCTTTTTTTTTTTTTTTATACAGACAAATTTTCAACAACCTTTTGGATTTGGTTTTACTTTTACTCTTTTGGCTCTGCTGTACAAATAAACTCCAGCTAGTGCAGTCGCCGTACCTGTTTCAGAGTTTATTTAGAAACCAAAACAATAAACCCCTCTCGCTCCCTTCAACACAAAATATTAGTCGTGTACCTATAGCATTAAGAGGTGAAACTGGAGTTTGGAAGAACATTATGGATGATGTTATAACCACCACACGCTTCACGCAGTTCCCTACCGAGTGTGTTACTGGCGACACCATCTCCAGTATCATATACGATACCTATATCCCGATTGTTAATTTCAGACACACTCTACTTAATTAATGCTCTGATATTTATTGTGGAACCAAATTAGCATTAACTAGATTTACCAAAACACCTAACTTGATACGCAGTTAATTAATAGGGACTAACCTGTTGGTAGCTATGCAAGCAAACACCAGCAAGAAGAGACATGACGCAAAACTCTTTCACTGACACTCCCTGGCTTGTCTGTCAAGCAACCAACCACAACAAAAAAAAAACATATCTCATCACTTCTTTAGTCTGTTTCTTTTGGAGACCTAACTATATCAGTTTACTTACAGCTATTTGTAACTGCGAAGGAGTAAGCTTAAACCCATCCATGATGATTGCTACAGGGACCAGTAAGACAAAGGATATAATGGTTATTACTGAGAAAAGGTTGATGTTGTCCAAAGCTTCCTGTTTCGACAGAAACATTAGCATCTATATTTGTCGATTACTATAGTAGGCTTCTTCTCGAGAGGATAACTTATTCGGATCCTTTTTTCTATACCTTTCCGACCATGAACTTTTTACTGAGAACATTCCGTGATTGGTTGGTTACATTAGACGCCATCGCACTGCAGAAACCAATCCTGCTTCATCAGAAAGAAACATCAGTTAAAATCCTATAGAAAGTTCATCAAGAAGATTACTTTTTTGTTTGTTTGTTTGTTTGTTTGTTGTTGTTCATACCAATTGAAAGAAGCTTCTGTAAAAGATGCTAAAGAGACTCCAGCGACAATTGGTAACAACGAACAAACAATCCACAAACTTGGCCACTGTGTCATCAATCAAAATTTCAAATCAAAACCCCTTTATTTTTGTTTTTGTATAGATAAAGTCTGAAGACGTGTGTCTCTCTGTTTTGCGTACCTCACCAAGCAAGAGAACAGAGAACAAGACGGTGAAGAAAGGCTCCATTGCTTTGATTGTGTGTGTGAAAGAGACGTTTACTCTTCCCAAGCTCACGTTTGTTAACAAGTTTCCTAACGTGTGAGCAGCTGCTAGTTGTGCGATCGCCGTGAACTGAATATAATAATTTGACCAAAAATTACGAAAACAGAGTATCTCCCCTGTTTTAAGGAATCGGTAATGATTTTACCTGAGAAGGAGCAAATTTGGGGCGTGGATGGAGTTTGAGGAGCCACAGTATTGCAATCATCAAGGTTCCACACCCTAATTGAAAAGCTGTTACAGTGGCTGGATAAGGATAAACCCTAAGAACCTGGGATGAAGCGAAAGTAGGTTCGGAGTCATTCTCACTCGGTATGTATATATATATATATATGGATTTAATGAAGCAAAGAAGGAACCTGTTTGTTGAAGATGTTGTAGTAGATATTGAGAAGGTACCAAACCCCGAACATGCCTCCTAGCTTCAAGCCTTTGACCAAACTTTCGGATTTCGAATCTCCTCCATCCACATCCTCGGGAGCAGTAGCTGACTTGAGCTTGAAGCCATTGGATCTGTATAGGTTCGGTCTCCAAGGAAAAGAGGTAGAAGATGAAAAAGGTATGCTTCTCCTGCTCAACGCAGTAGACTTGACAACGAAAAATGGAGATGGAAGTCTTGGATTTGAGGTTACAAATGTAAGAGGAAACATAATTAAAATGTTCCTTAATTCTGAAGAAATGTGAATGAGAGATCGATGGACCAAGATCTACATAAAAATCCTAAGGCAATTGTTGTTGTCGGGTTTCGACAAGTTACCATGGATTCCTTGAACTTTCTTTGTCCTTCGTACTCTGTAATGGGTAAGAGTATGTTTAATGAATGGAACTAATAAGTGTGTGAGTGTCTCCTCATCTTTTCATGTAAGAAGAAGAAAAAAGAGAAGTTTCAGTGTAATTTTGGATCCATATATAATAAATTTATTTACAAAGAGTATGGTGTGATTTTTGTCTCTCGTTCTCTCGTATGCCGCCGACATTTATTTTCCCCAATACATTAAAAATAAGATGGATAAACTCTAAGAATTGTCTTCGTTTCAAATCAACAACGGTAGAATGTATTATATATGTAATTAGTTTCGTTAAAAGTGTACGTAAAAGCAGAAGAGGGCAAAATTATCCACCACAATTAATTCAAATGGGTTTTGATTTGTGTATATGGAAGAAAGGTTAGGGGAAGATGTGTGGATGATATGGAAAGGGGCCTGGTGTGTTTAAACATGTGGATGTTGTATTTGCATGCACCTGATTGGTGGGGTGCCCATTGCCAAAAATGCCAATCAATTTCATTTGTTGTTGCCTTGTGTTATTTTCTTCCTAAACAATATGTATTCACATTGCGATGGATGATGGAAGGTGATATATAAAAAGGAAAAAGGCCCATAGAACTCTTGTAAGCCCACAAAGACAGAGATCGAGGGTCCAGAACCTTCTTGGGAGCCAGTCAGAGGTTTATGATGTCCAGAGGAGAAGAATCTCTCTCTAGTAAATTAAAATTGAAAGCAAAAGAACAGAATCTACAAGCGTCCGACGAGAAAATTCCGATGAGTAGTCAGTTTATGGATAAACAGATAATGGATCCTCCCTCTTTATCCCCTCCACCTTCCACTGATTTCACCCATCTCATCAACAATCAGGACCACTACGATCACCAGAAGCATCTGCTCGGCGATACCGGAGGATTCGACTCCAACATCATCGTTCCTAGCTATGATTTCCTGCCCATTCGTCCTTCCTCCGCCGCTCCATTGTCTCACTCTGCGTTAGATCTCGCCGCCGGATCTACCGCTACTACTGAGTCTAGGGTTTATTCGTCCGCCTCTGATTTTAAACCTATTTCCACTTTGCCTAACAACACGGTACTTGTTCATTTCATACTTCTCTTTGGATCTTCCTCTTTTTTTTTTTTGGGTCTTCCTTATATTGATATTTTTATGCTCTTGGTTGACAGGGTTTTGGATCTCTCGACTCTATTGAACCTTCAAAGCTTGTTCCTGACAAGGGTCACCACCATATGTCTAACACCACCATTTTATCTGAGATTGATAGGACTATGAAGAAGCATACAGATACCTTGCTTCATGTAATGGAAGCTGTCAATGCACGTCTAACTCAGCTTGAGACCAGAACCCAATATCTCGAAAACCTGGTCGATGATCTCAAAGTTTCTCTTGACAACACTCACGGCACCACTGATGGCAAATTCAGACAGCTTAAAAATATCCTTTTAGAGGTACCGTAACTTTTTTTCCCAGAATACTTTTCGATAGTTATCATCTCAAATTAGAATTTAGATTTTGCACATGTTCTGCCTTTCGGATGATGACAAATTGGTATTAAATCCTTGCGTATTCTTTTCCCTGGCAAATTTTTATCTTTATTATCCCTGGCAAATTGCAAATATTTAGCTTATAATACGTTATTGTGAATTGCGTGCAGGTGCAGAGTGGTGTGCAACTATTGAAGGATAAACAAGAAATGGTCGAAGCTCAGCCTCAGCTTTCAAAGCATCATTTATCCAAAGTTGATCCCAATGGTCAATCGCCCTCACCAGTCCCTGTGAAGCAAATACCGCAGTTTCCTCTTACTTCCTTCCAACAATCACCATCTTCCGCTGCTGCTCCTTCCCAGCCACCTTCCTCTCAACTACTTGCTCAGCTACCTACTAAGTTTTCTCCTCAACAAGAGCCCTATTGCCCTCCGCCTATTCATTCCCAACTACCCCCGCCAAACCAGCCTCCTTACCAACCACCTTACCAGTCACAGTACCCTCCACAGCCACCGCCATCATTAGGCTACAACCTCGAGGAACAACCGTCACATCCAATGCAGTCTTACCCACCAAACCGTCCTGGTTCTGCCCCTTCTCAGCACTTGTACAACCCTCCCCAACCACAGCCATCAATGTACGATGGAGCAGGTGATAGATCTCATTCAGGTTTTCCTTCTGGCTACTCGTCTGAACCTTACCCATTCACTGGTTCACCAGTGGCATCAGCGAAACCGCCACATATAAGTAACAGTGGAACTGGTTACCCACAGCTCTCAAATCCACGTCCATTGCCAATGGCTTCAGCCGTCAGCAGCAGCAGCGGTTCTAGTTCCACGAGATCCGAAAGCAGAGTCCCAATCGATGATGTAATCGACAGGGTGACAACCATGGGATTTCCAAGGGACCAAGTTGGAGCAACAGTGAAAAAACTGACTGAAAACGGCCAGGCTGTTGACCTCAACGTGGTTCTGGATAAGTTGATGAACGAAGGAGGAGCTCCACCTGGAGGTTGGTCTGGTGGTCGGTAGCCATCGGTTTAGCTGACTCTGTACAGAGAACTATATACCAATTATCGATTTTCGGATCACCCTAGTGACCAACCAAATATCGAGCTTGTAACCCATTGTGAAGAGAATGTCAGTTACTCTGTGTTTGAAGCTTTGATACAATACTTTTTTTGTTTCTTTTCTTGTATATGACCATTCTGTAAATAAAATGAGCTACCAGTCAAATCTATTACCGATGGAAGAAAGTACTCATCAATAAATAAACAAAGAACTGATTGAAAATATAGAAGCAAAACGTCTCGGACATTATTGTTACAGATAAAAAAAAGAAAGAAAACTAAACTCAAAAGGAGCGTACAAGCAAATGCAAACACTTAAAACAAAACACAAACATCAAAAACTAACAGTCGATCCTTTTATTCACCATTGTTCACTCAACACACACGCTTTACGTGGATGCCACTCGGACCTCGTGAGTCTTGGTGTCTCTGACATTATGCCCCTTGGTGGTGTCTCTAACATCGAATGTCTTGGTCTCTCGGACATCATGAGCTCTGTCTTCTATGGTTTGTCCAGCATCTTTAGTCCTCTGTCCCACGTACTCTGCCATGTCCGCCAAACGCTGCTTTGCTTCCTCCAGCTCTTCCGGAATGTGCTCTCCAGCCCGGCGGATGTAGTTGAGTACCCACGACATGGATGATAGTCCAGTGAGACCTATCGCCCCTGACGCCAAGAATCCGGTCATAGCTAGACCGATCACAAAGGCTGCTGGTACGATTACCGGACTGAAGATGAGAAACAACGGGAATGCTAGCATTAGTCCGATAACTGTACCGGCTAATGTCAAACCAGCTATAGTCAGCAGCGTCCCTCCAACAGGAACACCGACAAACACAGCTAGCACCTGCATGCACGTGCGTCACGTTAAAATCACATACATATGCATAGCTGAGATTCGAAGTAGGAATGTAAAAAGGACCTGAGTGGAAGAAGGGCCACTCTGGGGATAAAGGACTTTGATGCCTCCTTCGTGCTGGCGTTGAGGGTGCACTTGAAGCTGATGTGAATGTGTGCGAACGTCCGCCATTGATCCTCCAAAAGTTCAAGCTTAATTAGAGAGCTTCTGAAAAAAAGAGAGTGTTAACTTAATCGATGGCTTCATGCCTTTAAGGCTTGAGAACTGAGATCGGTTTTGAGCGAGATGGTGTGTGAACATGACACGTAACAGAGTGACGTGGCATCTGAGAAGCTTGCATGAGTAACAAGTTTCGTTTCCTCTTTTTATTTAACCTTCACTGCGAATCCGATGATACCAATGAGATGGACAAAGAAGACTACCTTAGTGTCAGGTGGTGGAGCCATTATTATGAAAATGTCTGTTTTACCCTTCAAATCAGAGTTGAACAATATCATCGAACTCTCTTTGAATCTCCTCATCGAAAATCTTCTGAATTGACTTAACAAGCATGTGGCACTGCTCGAAAATGGTTTCACCACATTCAGTTTACAGCTTCAGTGGAACAATGAGGATGCCATAAAAAGAGCCAAGGAAATAGTACCTAGTGTGTTTCTCCTACGAAAGGGATTCCTCTGGTTAGGTATGGTTTCAAAAGCAAACAGACAATAATATTGAGATTGTTGAATAGATCATGCAGAGTAGTCAAGATCTGATCTGCAAAACTCAGTACATACCTGTGATGAATTCAAGACCATGTATGATGTATCGTTCCCCAGAAAGAGATCCGTCGTAGGCTTAAATCCCCACACTTTTATTGCTTTTGACAGAGATCTTGACGTCAAAGCTTATGCATGCACTGAATCACAAGCTATCTCCCTCATATTCTAAGGACACAGATTTTTCCAAGTCTGCTTTCATATGCATATCCAGCTCTCTGAGCAATCCATAAACCGGCTCTTTGTCAGGATGCAAATCATCATCCGCCACAAATCTATGTACCTTTCTTGTTATCTCAATCAAACTCTCTGCCAGTCCTTTCTTAATTCCTCTCTGCTTCACTGAGCTTCTCAACTTTTCCACATTCTCCCATCCTCCTTTAACCCCATACAGATTCGACATTAACATGTAATAACCAGCATGATTGGATTCCAATTCAAAAAGATTCTTTGCTACAGTTTCTGCCATCTCACTATTCTGATGAATCCTACACGCGCCTAAAAGAGTACCCAAGATTTGAGGCGTTGGTGAAAAAGGCATCCGCTTTGTGATTTCAATGGCAGTATCTAGTTCTCCTACACGACCGAGAAGATCAACCAATACAGCATAGTGTTCTAAGTTAGGAACAAATCTGTAGTCATTCACCATCAACTCAAAGATTCTCAACCCCTCGTGTATCAAACCTGCATGACTACATGCAGATAAGATTGAGAGAAATGTCACTTCGTTAGGCTCAACTTCTGAGCTGTTGACCATGTGATTAAATGTCTCCAGCGCTTTAAAGCCCTTCCCATGAATTCCATAACCAGTGATCAAAGAGGTCCAAACCACAGTGTCCTTTAGAGTAATCTCATTGAATACTTTAGAAGCATTGCCTAGACTGCCACATCTCGAGTAAAGCTCTACAAGAGATGCTCCTATGAATGTGTTACTGTCAAATCCAAATTTAATCACATAACTATGAAAGCATTCAGCTTGCTCGAGAAAACCCAACTCTGAACATGACCCTAGAACCTTGACCATAAGAATAGCATCAGGCCTGGTATTATTTTTCAGCAGCATCATGGAAAACTCCTCAATTGATCTGTGAGCCATTCCATTTAATGTAAAGCCACTTATCAAAGCAACCCAAGAGACCGCATCTTTCCTTGGAATCATGGAGAAAACAGCATAAGCTTCGTCGGGGGAGAAACACTTCATATACATATCAACTAGAGCAGTAGATACTTTCACTTCTGTCACTAAACCTTTCGTAATGGCTAATTCATGAGTCTTCCTACCTTGCTCTAAATCACGAGCAGCTGCACAAGCTTGTAAAACACAGAGCACAGTAGCTACGTTCGGTTCTGTTCCGCTAACCATCATTTCACTGAAGACACGCAATGCTTCAGCGGCAGCTCCATTTTGAACGTAGCAAGCAATCAGTGTGCTCCAAGATATAACATCTTTCTCTGCCATCATCTTGAACAAATTAACCGCTTCCTTGAAAGATTTCGACTTTGCATAACAGTTCAATAGCGAATTTACTAAAGACAAATCGTTTGAAAACCCACGCCTCATCACAAAACCATGCACACATCCCCCAAGCCTTGAATTCGATAACTTTGTACATGCAGAAACTAGTGTGACTAGAGTTACCCGATCAGGAGTAACATCCGAAGCCATAGCCATTCTCCTAAAAAACTCAATGGCCTGAACAGGAGACCCGTTTTTCTCAAACCCAGAAACCATAGAAGACCATGTCACTAAATCAGGCTTCTCCAACTCATTAAACACCTTCAAAGCTTCGGTCATTCTCCCACATTTCACATACATATAAATCAGAGAAGATCCAACATAAAGGTCAGACCCAAAAGTGAAATCCTTTTTCACAAACGCATGAATCATTTCCCCAAACTTAACTTCCCGCAACTCCCCGCAGGCTTTGAGAGCAACTGGAAGCGTGAAATTATCAGGCTTTTCTTCATCGCGAAACATTTGACTAAACTGACAGAGGACATCTTCCCATTGTTTATCTCTAGATAAACTCTTAAGAAAAGTATTCCACTGGTATAAGCTTCTCTTCGTCATTTCGCCGAACACCTGGCATGCACCCACGGAAGAAGAAAGCTTACGCAACAAACACATCCAAATCCCCTGAAATTAAAATTTATATTTGTGAATTCGATAGAAAAAAAGTTCCATCGATCTTGTCGCTTCTACATTGTTTGAGCAATCCAAAATTTTCTTCTCGTAGTAACATTGCGACGGAGAGAGTTCAAACTTCAAGCCTAAACATGAAGCGCCAAATAGACTACATTCGACGACGACGTTTAGTGTTATACAGTTTGGGCCTGACTCCGCTGCACCAGCAGTACTCTTCCTTTTTATCTGTGGACCTTTTTGATTGGTCGACCTTTATTGTATTAATTTATGAGTGTCCTTCCCTTTGTATTATAATGATATTTAAACTTTTGAAATATCAACCACGGATAAACATAACAATTAAAGAACAATAAATAAAGATCTATTTAGTAATTAAGGAAAGAAATAAAAAGACACGTGGCAGTATCAGAGCTAATACAGTTATTGAGAATTGGAACAGCTACAAATACGCACAAAGCGTCCTCCTCCTCCTCCTCCTTGGTTCGTCTTCTTCAAGCTCTTCTCTGACTCACATAACCCAGATTTTGAAGAACTCCGAGGTCTGCATTTTCTACTCTCTCGATCTTAATTTCTCGCTCTCTCCTCTTGATCTCTTTTTATCTCCGGTCTACATTTGAGCTACTTTTCTTGTTATTATCGTCACGTTGTGTGTCGCCTAGTGTATAGAGTCGTCTCTGATTTTGATTTTTGAAGAAACGCGTAGAGTTCGGTGGAAGTTGTTCAGATCAGAAGCCGATCGCGGAGTCGTTTGATTACGTCGCAGTCCCCACGATTTCCCCAAAATTCGATCAAACGTAAGCTTGAATCTTTCCCTTTTGCTTTTGTTCGATGCTCTTCGATTTCTTTATTATTTCTTGATTTCCCCTTTTTCCGGAATTGATTCCGTTTTTTTTTTTTTATCTCTTCTGATTATTCTAACTATTGATTTGTCCGTATATTCCCATTTTTATTATTATGCTAGTTTGGTAAACGGTTGTGTGTTCTTATAAAGTTGCATCTGGGTTTTGGTTGTTGGTGTAGTTTCGAGTGAAAAGGAATCGATTCTTCAAGGGAATAAAAGCGATGCCTTTGAATTTAGGCAACGATGGCGATGGTTCGTCCCGCATTATTTTGACTGAGCCTCGCGGTTCAACTGCTGAGGTTTGCTGACTGTTTTACCTTCCTCTATTGTTTTTGAGGATCTTGAATTTCAGTTACTACTACTTTTCAGTTGTTAGTATGAGCCTTATTACCTTTTTTAGTATGAGATGTTTATCCTCAAGGAGTATAAAAATGAAACATGCTATTCAAATTTTCTGCTTCCATTGGTTGTTTTCATGTTTAGAGAAAACTCTTTGAGGTGTTGTTGAGTTACATATTCTCGGATTCAAATCTTCCAGGTGCTTCTATTTGGAGGACAAGTCATTTCTTGGAAAAATGAAAGGAGGGAAGAACTGCTTTATATGAGCAGCAAGGTAAATTTCAATCCAATATTGTCTTTAGACTTAAATCGTAAAGAGCTCTGATGGGGAGTCACTCAATTAACTCCAAACCCTCTGAGGAGCTCTGCCTCAGTTCTGAATTTTTGCTCCATAGCTTCTCATTTTCTGTCACCTGTAACTTTGACTTGTTGACAGAGATGAATCCATGTTCCTTCATAGCTTAAAATATATATAAATAGACACAATCACTGCCCATTGAGGAGTGAGGCAAAAATGTTTTAACTAGTATATAATCTGGTCTGTCTCATTAGGCTCAATATAAGCCACCCAAGGCGATCAGAGGAGGAATACCTGTTTGCTTTCCACAGGTTTGTCATCTCCTGTATTTTGAGATAGTTGAATAACCTTCTTCCGTAGTTTTGTACTGCCATTAAGCATACTGTGTCATATTTGCAGTTTGGAAACTTTGGTGGACTTGAGCGGCATGGATTTGTCCGGAACAGATTCTGGTCATATGATGAAGATCCTTCGCCTCTGTCTCCTGCTAACAAACAATCATCAGTTGATCTGATATTGAAGTCCACAGAAGATGACCTGAAGACCTGGCCTCACAGGTGTGTGCTTTAACTTATACTCTGATCTATGATATGGATGTTTTGTATGTGCTTTCTTATTATCATCTCTCTTTGTCTAACTTCATCTTTCCTCGGTGATATTGATGCAGTTTTGAACTCCGTATTCGCATTTCTATCAGCCCTGGGAAGCTTACTTTGATCCCCCGTGTGAGGAACATTGACTCAAAGGCATTCTCCTTTATGTTTGCACTGCGGAACTACTTATATGTATCAGACATAAGGTGTGCCTTTCAAATTTCTTCTCATCTGATTTCCTCTACTTAATACTGCTTTCTTTTCTGAGTAGTAATTCATGTGGGTATTGAATTTTCAGTGAAGTACGAGTAGAGGGATTGGAGACACTGGATTATCTAGACAATTTGATGGGTAAAGAAAGATTCACAGAGCAAGCAGACGCGATTACCTTTGACGGCGAGGTGAGTTTTCCCCTTAAATTTTTTCGAAGAAAGGAAAAAAATTTCAGCAAGATTGATATAGAGTCAGTTATGAGCAGGTAGATAGAGTGTACTTGAACACACCAACAAAGATTGCGGTGATAGATCATGAGCGAAAGAGAACAATCGAGTTGCGAAAGGAAGGCATGCCCAATGCAGGTAAAGGAGAACATTTCTTTCTTCATACATTTTGAAAGAAAATTTGTTTTTTGAGTGTTGGTTTAATTCTAATGGATGGAGTTGGAAACGGGCAGTTGTGTGGAACCCTTGGGACAAAAAGGCAAAGACAATAGCTGATATGGGAGATGAAGACTACAAAACAATGCTTTGTGTAGATTCAGGAGCAATCGAGCCTCCTGTATTGTTAAAGCCTCGTGAAGAGTGGAAAGGCAGACAAGAACTATCCATTGTCTCATCCAGTTACTGCAGCGGACAGCTTGATCCACGCAAGGTTCTTTACGGAGATAACTGATGATTTTCTTTTTTTTTCACTTACTTAGTAAAAACAATAATAATAAGCCATGATCTCATTATCAGTCAACAACAACTCTCTAAGGCTAAAAGTCTAGATTTATGTCTTGTATTGGAACTTTGGAGATATTATCCTTTGTGGATTGTTGTTGTTGTTGTTTACACAGAGAGGTCGCGGTCACATTTTGTAACGTTGACTCTTGTGTTTTGACCGTCACATTTATGTACTGGGTTTTTTTTGATTCGTGAAATAAGAATATTATCATCATTATCTCTCTGTTATACTTTTGAATTTGTATATTAGAGAACACTAGAATGAGTTTGTTTTGTCAAGTACTACTCTACTTAATGATAGATAAAGTAGATAAAAAGATGAAAACGTGTTTTTTACAACGTATATTTGACGTTGGTCATAGCAGTAATTGCATCTATTTTCAACGGATAATGTGAAGTACCAACGGTAAGTTGTCCTGTCTCAGCTTTGGGGGTTAGTTTTCTTGAATCATCATTACTAGTTAGTTCAGAAACTACTACAGTGCTAGTCTACTAATACGCAATTAAAAGATTATAATTAATTACTCTAGTTATTTAAGTAAAAGTGTGAGTTTTACTGTATCTAGCTTGAGGAGCAAGGTAGTTGGGCCCCACGTAAACCAGTAATTTACAAAACTGCCATTAATTCCGACTTACCAAGCTCCCAAGTGCTTCGGTCTCCGAACCAATATCCCCTAGTCAACACGAGTCTTCTACGAAGCTGAGGTTCGTCGGTAGTGTTCTTAAGAAGCTTTCCTCGAAGCTCAGGTTCGAAACGTACGAGCCTCTGGATTAGCTCTTCTTTCCCGCTCACCTAGTCTCCACGGTCCTGTCCTTTGTCCTGACGCGTTCACTCCATTTTTTTTTTTTGTTTTGTTTTTTACTTAGCCTAGTGAACAAGCTCCAAAGCTTCCTTCTCTCTCCCTCTCCCTCTCGGTTTCCTCCTTGTTTGTTTTGGGAGTCATGGCGAGGTAAGCTTTGAACCCTAATAATATAAACCCCCAGATTTGATTTCACCCAAACCCTGAATCGATTGCTCCGCAGAAAAAGGGACAATTTTTCAGACCGGGTTACGATTCTGCTTTTCCTGGCAACCAAAATGTGAAAATTTCCCCATTACGAAGATTGATATTTTAGATATACTTTGTCTGATTAGGCATTGTCTGTATCTCTCTGTATATAGCTTTTAGTTAATTACAGTACATATGTAGGAGATTTGTGAGCACAAAAACTTTTATGTTTCTGTTTTAAGTATGTATACCCGCTTGAATCTCTCTTGCTCTGAAGAAGATGACCCATTTATTGTCTAGTCTTTGAGCTGCACAGCTGCTTATATATAAATTGCTCATCTCATCGTTTTGTTCTTGTCACATATATATATTACAGGGCTTGGATTATCGATGGCCGAGGTATTGCAACCAAAGTGAAAAATGCTTCTCTTTCTTCAGCTTTGCAGATCCAAGACTGCGGTGCTCATATCAAATGCCCCAACTGCTCCTACCGCATTGACAACAGCAATGTGAGTCTAGGCTCACTTCCCTCTCCTCTCTTGTCTGAATCACACGACTTTGCTCACACACTCACTTGTCTTTTGTTTGTTTCAGGTACTGCTTCCATGGCCTGGCCTTCCTAAAGGTGTCAAGTTCGAGCCAACTGATGAGGACATCATCGAATTTTTGGAAGCTAAATGTGGGCTTGGTGACTCGCAACCTCACGTGCTTATCGAAGAGTTCATTCGTCCTGTCATTGAAGATGTTGGAATCAATTACACTCACCCTCAAAACCTTCCTGGTAACATTCCACCATTATATCTGCAATTTTACTCTGTAATGACCTTTACTGAGCTCATAACTGTTGAAAACTACATTATTATCTCTGAGTCTCTCCTGCTTTATTGATCCCTGTGATCTTTCTGAGCTTTGCTATTTCAGGTGCAAACAAAGATGGAGTAAGTGTCTTCTTCTTCCACAAGACGGTGCAAGCATATGGAACAGGACAGAGGAAACGTAGAAAGATCACACCGACTCTTGTGAACGATGAACCAGTTCGCTGGCACAAGACAGGCAGAACCAAACCTGTGATGCTCAATGGAATCCAGAGGGGTTGCAAGAAGATAATGGTGCTTTACAAGAGTGCTAGAAAGGGATCAAAGCCCGAGAAATCAAACTGGGTTCTGCATCAGTACCATCTCGGAACAGAAGGACAAGAGATAGGAGACTATGTTGTTTCCAAGATCACATATCAGCAGCCGAAGCTTGGGGAAATTCCTGATGAAGGTGAGAGTTCCGGGGTTAGAGGTGGCCCAAGAACACCAAAGACGAATACTCCTACACCACCTAGACCTGTAGAGGGTGTTGCTGGAGATGAAGAAGCTTTTGATGATTTAAAGATGTTTGATCCATTTATTGAGGTTGGTAAAATCATGGGAAAGAATCAAGTTCGTGTTTTCTAGAGACTAAAGTCGTTGTTTTGTTTTGGTGACAAACCAGGGACTGGACAGCATTCCAGAAGCTGCATTAGGGAAAATGTGGTCCAAAAAAGCTCGAATGGATGAGGAGGATTTTGTTGTAAACCTCAGTGAAGATAGCTTAACATGCAATGAGAGCATTGAGGCTTCGTCTGTTTGGGAAGATCAGGTTCTCCCCAATCCTAGCCTTGGAACTATTGGGGAATTCGATGGTTTCTCCATTTCAGATCTGGAGAATGCAGATCTGGGGACTCCCCCTGATTTCCTCACTGTAAGATCCTTCTAAAAGAACCTTCTTTACTTACGAAAATCATTGGAATGTTTTAGATTATGATTTCTATGTTCGTGGGTTTTTGTAGTTGGCTTCTCAGGAGAGCTTGCTGAACTGGATTGGATGGCTGTGATTGGATTCTAGCTTGCTGCTAAACCAAGAACCTCTGAAATGTGTATAGATTAAGAAAACTTTATAAAGTCTCCCTAACTGAAGTCATATCTCTGCGATAGTTTTACTTCAGGAGATCATCAGGTTTTCTCTCGGATTCCCGGAAAGTTACATCAATATTTCCGGGAATAATCATTTTCAATCTCGGAATCTGCACTTCATTGTAATTCAGAAAATATATTTTGACCTTTGTGCTCCTTGCTGTGTACTTCTAACTGTTGTTGTTATGGTTTGCTCTGTTTTGTTTGGCTCAAGGTCCAACAACGGTTTAAATATTTTTTGATGTTTTACAATTTTCACCATACATTCTCAAAAGATGTCATTATTACCCCAAATAAATTAATTAATCCGACAAACCATCTTACACACACACACACGAAATTAGGGGTTTTCAAAGCAGCCGTCTACGGCTCAGTCGGTGGTGGCGCTTCCAAAATTTACCCTTTAGTCTAAATAAGTTTGGAAGATTCAGACTTTCGCTATTGAAATCCCACTCTAAGCTCTAATTCAGTACGATGGCGAGGAGAGGTCGCGGCGGCGGTGGTGGTATGGGCGGAGGAATCAATCGTAGATATCTGAGTCAAGTTATGGATTCATGCGGGAAGGATTTAACTACGGCGGAGGATATCGTCGATGATCTCCGTTCCAGGTACGGCAACTTTGCGAGGTTGACTCGGCAAGTGCTTCTGCTCAATGTTAGACAAGTCCTTAATGTAAGAAACAACAATAAGAGGGTTAAAGACGACGAGGAAGATGACAACAATGGGGATGAGGAAGGTTCTGCTGCTCAGAGAAAGAAACAGAGACGGGTTGACGAGAAAGAGGAGAAGTTGCAGCGAGCGGAGCAGTCACATCTCAGGAAGAGGAATATGGAACGTGCAGTGTCTTCTTCTCCGTCGTCTTCTTCTTCCTCAGAAAACAGTGGCGATATCTCTACCTCCGAGGACGCTATTTATGGCGAGAAGCTTAGTCCGCGGTTTGATTTGATTAATGACAGCCTACGAGATAACTACGCTAAGGTAAACAGCTCCTCCAAGAAACCAATTGGGCCGCCTGTCGAAAACAATGTCGAAGTTGAGACTGTGAGCAACAAAGGTAGAAGCAAGTTGGCTACAATGGGGGCGAGAAAGGAGGCTAAAGGCTCTCTTTCCCTCAGTGGAACTAGTGGTAATGGTGCTTTGGAAGTGGAGGGTAATAAAGGACCTACTTTCAAAGATTTTGGTGGGATTAAGAAAGTTTTGGATGATTTGGAGATGAATGTTCTATTCCCGATTCTCAATCCTGAACCGTTTAATAAGATTGGAGTGAAGCCACCAAGCGGGATTCTGTTTCATGGACCACCTGGCTGTGGAAAGACAAAGTTGGCCAATGCCATTGCCAATGAAGTTGGTGTTCCTTTTTATAAGATTTCAGCCACAGATGTGGTTTCTGGGGTTTCCGGTATTGAAATTGCATTTCCATTTGTTCAGTTTGTTTTGGCTCCCTCTCTCATCTTATTATCGATGTACTAATCTAATGTGCAAACTTTGTTTTCAGGTGCTTCCGAAGAGAATATTAGAGAGCTCTTCTCTAAAGCATATAGGACTGCGCCTTCGATTGTGTTTATCGATGAGATTGATGCAATCGGTTCAAAGAGAGAAAATCAGCAAAGGGAGATGGAGAAGCGGATAGTAACACAATTGTTGACTTGTATGGATGGACCTGGTCACAAAAGCGATAAAAATAGTCCTGATTCTAATACTGGATTTGTTCTCGTCATTGGAGCTACAAATAGGCCTGATGCTCTTGATCCTGCTTTGAGAAGAAGTGGACGATTTGAGTGTGAGATCGCTCTAAGTGCTCCAGATGAAGACGCAAGGGCTGAGATTCTCTCTGTTGTAGCCCAAAAACTAAGACTAGAAGGGCCTTTTGACAAGAAAAGAATAGCTCGTCTAACACCGGGTTTTGTTGGAGCTGATTTGGAGAGTGTTGCTTACTTTGCTGGCAGGAAAGCCATAAAGAGAATCTTGGATTCAAGAAAATCTGAACAGTCTGGAGACGGTGAAGATGATAAATCTTGGCTGAGGTTGCCCTGGCCAGAAGAAGAGTTGGAAAAACTCTTTGTCAGAATGTCTGATTTCGAGGTATGTCAATTGCAGGGGTGATATGGGTCTACTTTTCTGTGCTTCAATGTTTACAAAATCCTTCTCTTTGGTTCCTAAATCCTCTGTTATCTACCAGGAAGCAGTGAATTTAGTTCAGGCATCTTTAACAAGAGAAGGATTCTCAATCGTGCCTAACGTCAAGTGGGATGATGTTGGTGGACTTGACCATCTACGACGTGAATTCAACCGTTATATAGTTAGGCCTATTAAAAAGCCTGAAATTTATAAGGTACTAAAAATCATATGGCACCGTTACCTGGTCAATATTACGTGCTAGTTCTATTGAGGTCTGAACTGTTTCTTTGGATCTTCTTAGGCTTTTGGGGTAGACTTAGAGACAGGATTTTTGCTCTATGGACCACCGGGTTGTGGCAAGACATTGATTGCAAAGGCAGCTGCTAACGAGGCTGGAGCTAATTTCATGCACATCAAGGTTTGTCTTTCACGCCATACTTTATAAATTTTGCTTTGTGTATGAATGGTTCTGAATACTGTGATTTTCTCTCTTCTATCATTGGCTTTCAGGGTGCAGAACTTCTAAATAAATACGTCGGAGAAAGCGAGCTAGCTATTCGGACATTGTTTCAGCGCGCCCGAACATGCGCACCATGTGTAATATTCTTTGATGAGGTTGGTTTATTATATTTTTAACTATATGAACAAAAAGAGACCAATTTCTATGTACGCAGACAATAAGATATGAGATTGAGCAAACAAAATTGATCCATTTTTGGGTACTTTGGCTGTCTGATTCTTATAAATGAGTAATGTTTTTGAAGTTCAGGTGGATGCGTTGACAACAACTCGTGGCAAAGAAGGTGCTTGGGTTGTTGAACGGCTATTGAATCAGGTAATATATGCTTTCTTCATCATATTGAATGGTGCAACTGAATACTCAGGTGTTGATCAAATGAATTTTGATGTTCCAGTTTCTTGTGGAGCTGGACGGTGGAGAGAGGCGCAATGTGTATGTAATTGGAGCTACAAATAGGCCAGAAAATATTGACCCTGCTTTCTTGAGACCAGGTAGGTTTGGAAATCTTCTTTACGTACCCCTCCCTAACGCGGATGAGCGTGCTTCAATTTTAAAAGCCATCGCAAGGAAGAAACCCATAGATCCTAGTGTTGATTTGGATGGCATTGCAAAGATGAATTGTGAAGGTTTCAGCGGAGCTGATCTCGCTGGCTTGGTAATTATCAATCTCCTCTTTACCGCTCTTGTCTCAGTGTTCATGAAACTTGACATGACCCATGTTCTGTAATGTACGTGATTCTGATGGTTGGTTTAATTTTTTTGGAAGGTTCAAAAAGCTACATTCCATGCAGTGGAGGAGATTATCGGCTCCGGTGAGTCGTCTGAAGATGATGTTATAGATACAACTCAGTGTACCATCAAGATGACTCATTTCGAGAAAGCTTTGTACTTCGTCTCACCCTCTGTGAAAAAACAGGTATTCTCTTCTCTCTGTTTGCATCACTTGTTGATTTTGAATTTGAAACTCATTTTGGTGGGGTTTGCAGGATAGAAAACACTACGAGGCACTATCAAAAAAGCTTCAAGAGAGCATTGGAAGGAACACTGAACAAGTCACCATAGGACCATCTTTTGCCCTCGAGTAAAACTTACTTATAGAATGTCTGCAAAATCCCATTTTTCCTGAGGGGGTATATACGTTCTTTAATTTAATATATAGACTCCTCTGTTTTTCAACTTGAGACACGTATTAGAATGAAGTTATGTTTCCAACTGTTCTGATCAGATCCGTAATACTACAAAAATTCTTGAGACTGTAAGTCGTGTACTCGTATATACAGAGATGATAAAGAGAGAGAACAAAAGCTTTAAGCCGTTTTAAGACTACCTAAAGAGTAAAGACATAGAGGTCTGATATGTGATAAGTAGAGGTCCTTATTTATCAGCTAGAATCTCGTTTGCAGTTCCCAGGTAATAAGTATTTGTAGCTATCAGCATTCTGAATCAAGTATCCAGGGAGGTGAACTGCTGAATAAGACCGTGGAATCGGACCTAGTTTCCCAATAATCTCCCTAAACGTGTGTTCTTCAGGAAGCATATCGAAAAGATCAGTTCCTTTGCAGATCACGTCTTGGATTCGTCTCGGGTTGAGGTAATGCAAAAATCTAACCCGGTCGGTATGGCTATAAGCTTTCATCTTGAACACAAAATCATTGATGTGTCTGAAACAGAAACTGCAGTGCCAACCTGAATCTGTCAAAAGATTGTTGCTTTGGCGGAAATGAGCGTACCGAGTTTTCCCAGGCTTGTAGAGATGAACTGAAGCTCTCCAGCTTTTGCTATCGACATAGTACTCATATGAGTAGAGGTAGTTTCTCAACTGAAGATGAAGAATTGGCGGGAATCCGTCACACCATCTAAGCAGGTTTATGGTATGGCCGCTTGGGATCTCATCGACATCCGACATTATCAGAAGATCATCTTCTTTTATACCTGCGAGTTTGATCAATTGATCCAGTGCAAGCCTTTGGAATGATTCTTCCACAAAGGGGTTTTCGCCTTTCCTGAACCTTCCTCCAACGTGCCCGTAAGTCAGGCTTGGCTCGACGAATTTGAAATTCTTCTCCCGGTTGTCTGCGAAAGCCAATGGTTTTGAGAGTCCGGTAAAAGTAGAGTTAGATTCGAGAAGCACAAACTGAGTAATGTAAGGGTGTAACTCCTTCCAGCGGATGGTGAGCATATCGATCTCGTTACTGAACAAGACAGCATCAAAGACTCTTCGTGGAGATTCACGGAGTTTCCAGCCATGGAGATTGCAGAGCATATCCATGGAGGTGTTGTGGTGGTAGTAATGCGGAAGGATGTTAAAAGGTTTGGGAGGTGATTCCCAGAGAGGTCTCAGGAAATATGTGATCTTCTGACCATGTAAGTAGATGCCGAAGATAGAGATTGGGAGGAGAGCGAAGAGAAACAGAAATGTTTTAAAGTCGAATCGTTTAAGAACACATGGAAGCCTTGACATGAACTTGCTTGCTCGAGAACCGTCCTGTAAAAAGAAAAAAAGAGAGAAAATAAAACCTAAAAAATGCAAGTTTTACAAAGTCGGGTCGTTAAAATGAAAGCCGATGAGAGGAAATAACCAAAACCGAGGAAAGAGTCACCTGTCCACAAACATGGTCGCAGATAGTATCCGTCTTCTTAGAACCAGAATAACCATCGGACATGATCATTGGACCTTGAGAGTTGTTGCGTCCCAGAGAAAGTTGAAGAATCCAAAAAAGAAAAGCTTATGAAAAACAAAGAGAGACAAGTCAGGGAGGAGGAGAATCAATGGTGGATCAACCAAGTCGGAAAAATTACGGTCTTCATATATATCGATCCATGTTATCTCTCTCTCTCTCTCTCTCTCTCTCTCTCTCTCTCTCTCTCTCTCTCAGTCACAGGATAATTGTAACCCCTCACCCCAATTATAGCCGTTTGGTGCTTTTTAGGCTTCTCCAATAATTATTATTCTCAAAGCTATAATTACCATTTTACGGTACTCAACGTCCCCTTATTACATTTTAGTTTCCATATTAGTTGATCCCAAATAAAGGTTTCATCCGTTAGATCTCGTCGAAGCGCTCTCATCTTACGGCTTCAAATAATTTCCTTTTTAAAACTTTTGAGAATTGAAAATAGTAAAAGGAATTCTATCTAAAGTAAACAGAGCGTTAAAACAAGGAAAACAAAAAGAAAATCTGCAAAAGTAGGTAAGTCTGTCTGATGATAATGAGACGGCTTCACGATGAAACCCCCAAAGACGATAATGACGGCGGGGGAGGAACCAACCATGCCACGAGCCACTTCTATGCTCCAATGGTGGCGTAGATGGACGGTTTTGGTCGCTGCTATCTGGATTCAAGCCTTCACCGGTACTAACTTCGATTTCTCTGCCTACTCTTCCGACATGAAGTCGTCCATGGGGGTTTCTCAATCGCGCCTTAATTACATGGCCGTTGCTTCTGACCTCGGCAAAGCATTGGGCTGGTCCTCTGGTTTCGCCATTGCGTATTTCCCTGTCTCCGCCGTGCTTTTCGCTGCCGCCGCTATGGGACTCCTCGGTTACGGCGTCCAGTGGTTATCCATCGCCGATGTCATCGATCTCCCTTACTCTCTCGTTCTTGTTTGCTGCTCCTTCGCCGGATTGAGCATCTGCTGGTTCAACACCGTCTGCTTCATCCTCTGCGTTCGTCATTTCGAAGCGAACCACTCGCTCGCCTTGTCTCTCGTCGTCAGTTTCAACGGTATCAGTGCTGCGTTGTACACGCTTGGCCATGAAGCAATTAGTGGCAAATCATCGGCGAGCTCTGACATCTACCTTCTCCTTAACTCTCTCATCCCTCTCATCGTCTCTGTTTTAGCCCTTTGGCCGGTCCTTACCGACCCTCATGATTCCGATCCCAGCTGCCGAACCCATGACGAAGTCCGAGTCTTTATCGTCTTTAATGTCTTCGCCTTGATCACATGCTTTTACCTTCTCTTGCCTTCCTCAGGCACCTACTTAGCTTCATCGCCTCGTTGGCATTTCCTCGGGGCCATTTTCCTTCTCCTTTTCCCGTTATGCGTACCGTTTCTGGACTATGTTCACCGCGCTCTCCAGTCCCTTGGCAGCTCTGGCTATGCAGTGGTTGACATAGAGGAGCCCAAGATCCTCAACAACGTGACCTTGGATCATCGGACGAGCAATGCGGAGGAGGGGTGTGGTAAAGTGAGACTAGGGGATGAACATTCTCTCGGATTTCTGGTTCGTAGTTTTGAGTTTTGGCTATACTACGTAGCTTATTTCTGCGGCGGCACGATCGGTCTTGTTTATAGCAACAACTTAGGACAGATCGCTCAGTCTCTAGGACAAAGCAGCTCGAAAGCTAAATCCTTAGTCACGCTCTTCTCTGCTTTCTCCTTTCTCGGAAGATTGCTATCATCTGCACCTGACTTCACACGCAAGAAACTAGACTACTTGACAAGGACAGGATGGTTCACGATATCGCTAATGCCAACACCTATAGCCTTCTTCATCCTGGCGTATTCACCAAAGACCAACCAGACAGCGCTGTTAGAAGTGGCTACAGGGCTAATCGGATTAAGCTCGGGGTTTGTGTTTGCGGCAGCAGTTTCCATAACTTCGGACCTCTTTGGACGCAACAGTGTGGGTGTCAACCAGAACATCCTGATCACAAACATTCCAATAGGATCGCTCTTCTATGGGTACATGGCTGGGACAGTATATGACACGAATGCGAGCAGGATAGGGAAGAAAAGTGTGTTAACAGAGTCGGTAGTTTGCGTAGGAAGTAAATGCTATTTCGTAACGTTTTTGTTTTGGGGTTTTCTGTCGGTTATGGGATTCGTGTGTAGCTTGTTTCTCTTTATAAGAACCAGACCGGTTTATCACCGGTTAGGAAAGAACAGAATTTAAAAAACTGTCTAGTCTATATATATAATGGTAGAGATGATTGTGTATATAGGCTCTTAATTTGGATCTTTGATTTATTAAAGTAATTGACGTTACAATCATATCATTGTTGACAGACTACACGACGCACGACTCGACTCGGGCATCTTATTACTGGTAGTGGGGCGTCCAACTTAAATTGGTCTTTCTGAAAATAAAAAAAATAAAAGCTGTGAACGAAACATTAATAAATGTTGTAACTTGACATCACAAGTTCACAACCTTGAAGAACGGCCCAATAGTGGAAGTGGTTAGGCCTACAGAGGTAAACTAAAAGAAGAGAAGAAAGAAAGATTTTCTGATCATCTATCATTAATAAATAAATAAATAAAAGAAGAAAAGGGGACCGACCGGGTTTCAATGTTGTCAAAGGTAAGGGACGGACCACCACCTGTAAACTCTATCTCTGAACTAAGATCGTGAGAGAAGGGGTCAGTGTCAGGCGATGGTCAGCGTAGCGTACTTCCTTCGTGGTCCCACCCCCACCGGTCGAGTCGTTATTTTTATACAAATATAAAATTAAAATTTAATAAAAAAAGGAAAGTCAGAGTTATCAAAAGACAAAAAAAAAAGACAGCGCACGGGACGGGAAGGTGATGGATCCTAAAACCACGGAGGAGGACCAGGTTGAGCCTACGGCGGCGATCGAGCACCGTTCCTTCGCTCGGATCGGGTTCCTCGGTAACCCCAGCGATGTTTACTTCGGCCGTACCATCTCCTTCACTATCGCTAACTTCTGGGCCTCCGTCAAGCTCCAGCCTTCTCGCCATCTCCTCATCAACCCTCACCCGTTCCACGATCACGTCCGCTTCTCCTCTCTCCACCATCTCGTACGTTCCTTTTTTTCTTTCTATTTTCCTCTCTCGGATCTGCTCTGTATATTATGTATGCTCCTTCCCGATCCCTTCTCAATAATGGTCTTTTTAGTTTTTTTTCTTGGATTCTTCCTATCATTATATTACTGTGATTTTTGGGTATTTTCAGCACTAGATTCTGAAACATCAGGCTTCATGGTTCTTACTTACTTGTGAGATTGTATTTTGGCTTTTTTCTTTTTGTTTTTTGTTCCTTAGCTGGATCGTTTGCAAAATGAAGGCTACTACGGTGGTGTAAGGTTGCTTATGGCCATTTGTAAGATATTCTCTAACTATTGCAAAGATAACGCCATTCAGCTTCATCAAGGAAACTTCTCCCTTTCTTATGATACCAATATCCCTAGGCAGGTATATATGTACACCCTCGCCTTGTGCAAAGTAACTCCCCCTTTCTTTTCTTTTCTTTTCTTTTCTTTTCTCTCTAAAAATTTGTTTCTTTTGATGTTCCAGACAGGGCTTTCGGGTTCTAGTGCTATCGTTTCCGCTGCCCTTAACTGCCTTCTCGACTTCTACAATGTCAGGCATTTGATCAAAGTTCAAGTTCGCCCTAACCTTGTTCTCAGTGCAGAGAAAGAGCTTGGTATTGTTGCTGGTCTTCAAGACAGGGTAGCTCAAGTGTACGGTGGTCTTGTTCACATGGTCAGTCGCACCATCTTTTACCTTGTATATATTTTAAACATCCACATCAGTTTCATTAACTGACTTTATCATCTTCACTTTGCAGGATTTTAGTAAGGAGCACATGGATAAACTGGGACATGGGATTTATTCTCCTATGGATATCAGTCTCCTCCCTCCTTTGCATCTCATCTATGCTGAGAATCCTAGCGACTCAGGGAAGGTACTGTTAATGCTTCCATGATTGATTGAAAAGAGTGAATTTTCCTCAAAATGCTAATTGATATTTCGGGCATTGCTCTGTGTAAATATTAGCATTGTTTTCTAGTGCAGGTACATAGTAAGGTTCGGCAAAGATGGTTAGAAGGTGATGAGTTTATAATCTCATCAATGAAAGAAGTTGGAAATCTAGCAGAAGAAGGTCGAATTGCATTGCTCAACAAAGACCATTCCAAACTGGTGGAACTCATGAACCGTAACTTTGACATTCGAAGGTAATTATAATTCGTGAATCAAAAAATTAAACTCCAATGCACACACATAATGGTTAAACAGAGAGAGAGGAGAGGAAACATGTAGTGATGTCTTTTTCCTGATAGGCGGATGTTTGGGGACGAATGCTTAGGAGGAATGAACATAGAGATGGTGGAAGTAGCAAGGAGGGTTGGGGCAGCTTCGAAGTTCACAGGAAGTGGAGGAGCAGTGGTGGTTTTCTGCCCTGAAGGTCCGTCTCAAGTAAAGCTTTTGGAAGAGGAATGCAGGAAATCAGGATTTACGATGCAGGAGGTAAAAATAGCCAGGTCGTGTTTGAATGATTCCGAGATAGAGACCTTGTAAAAGCCTTGATCGAGTCTTTTACACACGAGTAGAGAAAGAAAGTCCCACATGCACTTTACAGGGAAATCAAACATCTTTATTGTCTCAAGAGGTTTTCATGATGAGCTCTGCTCACAGCATAATCAAGTTTCTTTTTTTCCTTAATACTTATATTTTTTGTTATGGTTTTGGCTTTGGCTTGCACGTTTTCGTGTTTGTTCCTTGTACGTCTTTTCCTTTCTTCCTAGTTGTTTGGGGTTTATTTTTCAAGATCTTTGCATGTACTAGTACTAGTAAACAGATATATGGAAATATGTTGCAAGTCTTTTTATTATATTGAAGATGTAAATGTTATTAATAGAGGGGGTTTTTTTTGTTTCTAAAGGAAAATGGGTCTGGACCTTTTGACTTGGTGGGCCAAATCAAATGATATGATAAGGATGAATGAATAAAACAAAAGTTTGTTTCCTCCTGGATGGGATTAATGGGATAAGACATAAAATGATAGAGTTTGTTTTTTTAAAATTAAATTGTGATTTGGATTTAATGATTTTATCGCTTTTTATAAAAGGAAAAGGAACCGAAAACAAATCCAACTCATCTCACCTTTTTTTTTCTTTTTTTTTTTGTTGTTGCTGGGACTGATATCATATGATTGAAACGTGAAAGTGAAACATTAATCCAAAAAACAGAGAGAGAGAAGAACTCAGAAGAAGATTGCTACTTTCTGAACCCAAAAAAAAAGAAAAAATCGGGGGGAGATTCATTGAATCCGCCATCGAAGATCCCTCCCTTTGTTGCCAACCCAAACAAAAGAAGAAGAATCACTCTCTCTCTCTCTCTGCATCTTCTTCTTCTTCCTCGACTTCTCTCTCTCTCTCTCTCATATAAAAATAGGTTTGGATTCTTTTCTTTTATTTCTTTCAATAATCTTTAATATTTATATATATAGAGACAGTAAAAACATCTTTGTTCTTGTATGTGTGTGTTTGCCTAATTTGATTGATTTAATTTGGGAATAAAATCTACTAAGTAGTAATTATAAACTAAAACGCCTCAGATTTTGTTTTGACTTCTATATCTATATTAATGACCTAAAAGCTACCATTTGTTGTTAACTGTTGTTGTTGTTGTTATCTTCTAGTAGTTGTCTTAATAGTTTCAAGGAATAAGGCAAAATAAAATCAAACGTAACGGCTCACGTCGGTGTTTGCAAGTAACGTGATTGATTTCTTCTTCTTCTTCTTCTTCTTCTTCATCTGCTCTCTTACGAGAACTAAGACTAAAAATATTAGGAGAGGGAGCCGCCGCCTCATTACACCTGTTTCATTTCGTTACTTACTATCGTCAAATTTTTCAACTTTATAATTGCCCTTAAGCTTTAAGGAAACCACAAGCCAAGTTTCAAGTTTTCTTTATCGACCAAATAATCAAAATCCCATAGGTATTTTGTTGTTGCATGTTGCATCGATTCTGTTTCTGTTGTTGTTGTTGTTGCGATTCCCTTTTTCTCTTGTCCCAAAAAAACAGAGAGTGGAGATAAAGCTGATTCTAAACATCCGAATCTTTTTTTCTATTATTATGCAATATGCAGGTCGCCTTTTGAGCCCTTTCATTGATAAAGTCTGATGGGAGGAGGGAATTCCAAAGAAGAGTCTCCATCTCCATCTTCATCGTCATGGGCTTCTCATCAGAGCTATACTCAATCTGGCCCTGGTAGCTACAACTATCCTCCTCCCCCCACTTTTTCTCCCGCTCCTGCTCCTTCTCCTTCTCCTTCTCCAGCTCCTGCTCCCAGTTTTGGCCATCATTATCAGCAGCCCTACCCCTATAGTCAAGAGGGATATCCTCCTTCACAGCCTTATCATCCTCCTTCACAGATTCCTCCTTCACAGATTCCTCCTGATAGGAAGAAGTTTGATCGGAGGTATTCCAAAATATCCGATAATTACTCCTCTTTAGATCAGGTACTCCTCTCTCTCTCTCTCTGTTTTCTTCACAATGTATAGAGCTTAAGTATACTGTTGGATATCTATCCTTATTTCCCTCAAACAAATGGTTAGCCTGAAAAATCTGAATTGTTTCCAGGTGTCCGAGGCTCTAGGGCGTGCTGGTCTTGAATCTTCTAATCTTATCGTTGGTATTGATTTTACCAAGAGCAATGAGTGGACAGGTTGGTTACAATTCTTCTTTCAGTGTCCCCAGTAATGAAAGAAAGAAAGCCTAACTAAATTGCTTCTCTTGCAGGGGCCAACTCTTTCAATAAGAAAAACTTGCATCACTTGAGCAATACCCCTAATCCATACGAACAAGCTATTACCATTGTTGGCAGAACCTTAGCCGCCTTTGACGAAGATAACTTAATTCCTTGTTATGGCTTTGGAGATGGTTACCACTCATTCTTTTTCTCTCTCTTTTTTTAATGTCTCTCAGATTTTCTAGATGATGTATATCAACATTTGCTCTCATCTCTTTGCAGCATCAACTCATGATCAAGACGTCTTTAGTTTCTATCCAGAGGGTAGATTCTGTAATGGATTTGAGGAAGTATTGGCTCGGTATAGAGAAATTGTGCCTCAGCTTAAGCTCGCAGGTTTGTTATCCTCTTTTGGTCTGCACTAGCGTTCTGTATCTCCTCACGTTGAGCACTTAAACCATGTTTTCTTTTTGCCATGGAATGTTGTGTTTCAGGACCAACCTCTTTTGCCCCCATCATTGAAATGGCGATGACAGTGGTTGAGCAAAGTAGTGGCCAATATCATGTGTTGGTGATTATAGCTGATGGCCAGGTACTGGTTGATATTTTGAATGCCTAAATTGTGGTATGATCTTCTGATTTTGTGTCTAGGGATATTCACACTTTGTCCTTTCAGGTTACAAGAAGTGTTGATACTGAACACGGGAAGCTAAGTCCACAAGAACAGAAGACAGTTGACGCAATTGTGAAAGCAAGGTAAGAATAATTCAATCTTTTGACTGTGATTCTTTTCTTTGTGTTGTTATGTGATCAATTTCTCCCTCTCTATTACAGTGCGCTTCCTTTGTCAATAGTCTTAATCGGGGTCGGGGACGGACCATGGGACATGATGCAGGAATTTGATGACAACATACCTGCCCGAGCTTTTGATAACTTTCAGGTAAGCTTCTTTTTTCATATCATGGCATTAAAGATTTTGCTTATTTTCTTCAGTTTCAAAACAATTATCTGATATGTAAGCTCTGTTTCTAGTTTGTGAACTTCACGGAGATCATGTCAAAGAACAAAGAGCAGTCTCGGAAGGAGACAGAATTTGCGCTCTCTGCTCTCATGGAGATTCCTATACAGTACAAAGCGACGATAGAGCTTAACCTTTTAGGGTAAGGACCCTTTAAAAACCCTGAAAATCGCTATATATTGTTATCAAAAACTCTCAACTACATCTTGCCCTTACATGTTTGCAGGGGAAGAAATGGGAGTATCCCAGAGAGAATCCCACTTCCGCCACCGGTGCAGAGTGGATCATCATTCTTTAATTCCCGGATACCAAGTTTTGAACCGAGTGTACCTACTTATCCAATTAGCAGTGGTGCAGACGATAGCCAGGTAATTTTAGTAGAAACTTGGAATCTTGTTTTAAATGTGTTATGTGTAGGAAAATGTTTGGAACTTAAAAATTCGTTTGTTAAAATGTCCTTTGAACAGCTATGTCCGATATGCTTGAGCAACCCGAAAAACATGGCGTTTGGTTGTGGCCATCAGACCTGTTGTGAATGCGGACCAGATCTTAAAATGTGTCCTATTTGTCGTGCGCCGATCCAGACCAGAATTAAGCTCTACTGACAACACACCATTGACAGTTCAGACACATTTCTCATAGAGATTTCATATCTTACTGTAAAAAGAATTGAAAAAAGTGTTCGTTTGTTCTTTGATTAAATTTCCGAAACTTGTCTTTGTTCTTATAAAATTCTTTTGTGACTTCTTTTAATGTTCTTTGAATGGACTGTAAGAATTATGTATCTATATATGGCTTACCGTATGTGGGATTTCTTGGATTAGAATGAACCAAAGTTGCTTATTATAAAATTTGTTATACGTATACAACCCGGAAAGGGCAATTAGGCGCTAGTTGTTTGGTTTCCCCTAAAATCTCTAATAGATAGATTTGGTTTCTTCTGAATAACCAAGAAAAGATGAAACGAATGGATAGTTAAATTGCCCAATAGAGGCCCATTAGCATTAAGTTGGGCTCAAAAGCAAACTGAATAAATTGAAGGAAATAGGCAGAAACAATCACCACTCATGAATTATCCATTCGTTTTATTAAGAAAAAAAGATTTGTCACTTTTCTGCAAACGATTCTTAGCTTCTGCGAAGTTTGATAAAAGCTAAAGTTTATTTTATTGTTGTTTTTGGAGAGAAACTTTTATGGATTCTCTTGGATTCAACCTCCAACAATCTCCAATCCGATTGAAATCCAGAATCCTCCGACCAAGAATCTCCAACATATCGAACCAAACCAATGAAACCGATCCTCGACCACCATCATCGGCCGGTAAGATCCGAAGGTTAGTACTCAACAACGAAGGTCGGACCAAACTAAACGCCGATCCTGACCGTGAATTCTATTCATACCCACGGTTCGTGAACCACGTGGACGACGGGTTCATATCCTCCTTAACCGAACTATACAGAAACCGGTTGAGACCCGGTTCGGTTGTACTAGACCTGATGAGCTCATGGGTTAGCCATCTACCAGAAGAAGTCAAGTACGAGAAAGTAGTGGGGCATGGTCTAAATGCGCAGGAGCTTGCGAGAAACCCTAGACTCGATTACTTCTTCGTCAAGGATCTTAACGAAGATCAGATATTCGAGTTCGAAGACAAGTATTTCGACGCTGTTTTATGTTCTGTCGGTGTTCAATACCTACAACATCCCGAACAGGTACGTGTTTTGTTCGGTTTTCGCTTTAACCGACAGTTATTGAGTACAGCTGTTTAAAAATGGGCAGGTGTTTGCACAAGTGTATAGAGTGTTGAAACCGGGAGGTCTGTTGATAGTGAGTTTCAGCAATCGGATGTTTTATGAGAAAGCGATTAGGGTTTGGCGAGATGGAAGCGAATACAGTCGGGTCCAATTGGTGGTTCAGTATTTTCAGTCTATTGAAGGGTTCACTCAGCCAGAGATCATCCGCCAACAGCAACCTCCTCCTGGATCTGCTCAGACTTCGCTTTTCACTTGGCTTATGGGTTTTATTGGTTTTGCTTCTACTCCCAACCCTTTCAACGCTGTCATTGCTTACAAGAATTTCAAACCACTGTATGAGTAAGAGTCCTGAAACGTGTTACATGGTTCTGCTTTTTCTTCTCCTATTATTATCAGTGCAAACAAAAAAAGTGTATAGGAATAATTAAGCAGTGGTTATTATTTAATAAGATGAGCTTGGTGTACTATATATGCAAGCCCAGCTGGAGAAACTTACAATGCAAATTTTAATATAGTGTAATTACAGGAATTTAAGCAACCCAATCAACTTGGAAGAACCTTTGATACAAAAGAAATAATCGAAAGAAAGAATATGAAAGATAAAATTCTTTGATTAGCATATGTTTTGTGTGTTATATTCGTTTTGTTAGTAGATTCATGGACAATATCCAAGCAAGGTAGCCCTTGTCCCTTTTCAACGAGTATCACGACACCAATTGCTTAATATATTTAGTATATGTTACGATTTATATCTTTTATATATACTCCCATAACATTACTAATTAAAGGAAGTCCTACTATATATAAAAACAAAATCCAATCATATACTATGGACACGTTAATCATGTTAGGCTTCTTAATTATAAGTAGCTACGTATTGCATATATATTAAATTTGGTTTATGTTTGACAAAAAAAAAGTTTTAGATAGTTTAAAAAAAATAGGGAAACTGTTTCTTGCCCATGTATTAGACTCACGAGTCGGAACACGTAACCAAAACATACTTTATATTATCAACAAACATATAATGATCAGATGACCCAGAAATTCTTATTATTATCAAAATCACTGAAATATGGATTAGGGACATATTGTCTATGGGAAGTGTAAAAGACACAAAACAAATATATATTGAACCAAAGGCGAAGCAAAGAAGTTGATTCAAAGTTGCCACTTTATATTTTTTTTCTAACCTTTTACACCTATATATATACACCCACACACACACATATTAACCACAATCAGTCACCACAGCACATCAGAATCCTTCACAAACCTATATTTCTCACCTTCTTGCCAATATGGCTCAACGCTTTCAGTTGAACTCGAAAGCCCTCCCAGCGGCCGACCCTCTCAAAAGGGTCTCTCTTATCCCAAGATCTGCCGAGCAGAAGCTACCTGAAAGCTCAGGTGAGAGGCGTCCCGTTGTCCCGAAAAATCACGAAGACAACCCCTTTGCTGATCAAACAAATGATCACCATGTTGCTGCTCCTGCGGAATATGGTAAGGTGATGGATCACGAGACCGATAAGCTCGGTTCCATCGTCCCTAAGACTGCACATCATCCTCATCCATCTGAGAATGTCCTTGATGCTAATAGCAGACATTCTTTGAATCCAAGATCATTGGGACACAATTCACTCGGTGGAAGATTTGGACCCGGAAAGAAACAAGCTTTCCACAAAAATGGCAGACCCATGTTTTCACTTTCTGATGACCGAGCCATGGCTGACAGAGTCTTGAAAACTCATACTCCAGACATGATCTTCTTTGATGTCAAAACACTTCTCTCCGTTGTTGATGACATCTTCAAGTCTCATGTCCCATCCATGGACTCCTCTGCTCCTAAGGTGAAGTTACTTGTTCAACAATTAATCTCCATTTCGGAATACTGATTTTTACAAGCTCTGATTCTACTCAAACTTCTGCAGCCGTCACTCGTGTTCAAGGACTACACTGATCATACCTCCTTTGAAACTTTCGCAGATCTCATCGATCAAATCTCTTGCGAGGTATATATAAAGCTTTCTTGTTCTAACATTTAACTCAGTTTCTAAATGTCAATGTCTCTGGCACAGATTGACTGCAAGTGTCTCCATGGCGGTGAGTCTCACGGAATGATGACATCAGGGCTTCATTTAGACAGTCGCAATACGACAACGTTTTCGGTTCTGTCTCTGGTCTCTAAATACCGTTGGGATGCAAAGCTAGTCCTTGTCCTAGCTGCTTTGGCCGTGAAATACGGTGTTTTTCTCCTCCTCGCGGAGACACACGCAACAAATCAGCTCACTAAATCTCTGGCTCTCATCAAACAGCTCCCTAGCATCTTCTCTAGGCAGAACACTCTGCACCAGCGTCTAGAAAAGACCCGAATTCTGATGCAAGACATGGTTGATCTCACCACTACCATCATCCAGATCTATCAACTCCCACCAAACCACATCACAACCGCGTTTACCGACCATGTCCCCACTGCGGTTTATTGGATCGTTCGCTGCGTTTTGATATGTGCTTCTCACATCAGTGGCGCGAGCGGTTTCATGCAGGAGTGAGTTGTTTTGCTTTCTTTCCGGTCATTCTTCATTCTTCAAGTAAATAACTTCTTAACACCTTCTCATCTGGCTTTTCAGTCAAAACATGTCTTTTATGGAAGTTTCAGAGATACATGAGAACAGCGAAAGGCTTAGGAAGATCAATGCTTACTTGTTAGAACAACTTCAGAAGAGCAAATTATCCATCGGTGAGATTTCTATGCAATACAACTTCGTTTTAACCTCTCTCTCTCTCTCTCTCTCTCTCTCTCTCTCTCTCTCTCTCTCTCTCTCTCTCTCTCTCTCTCTCTCTCTCTCTCTCTCTTCGTTTCTCTGTTCTCAAGCTCTGTTTTTGCTCTGTTACAGAGGAAAGCATAATCGAAGAAGAATATCAAGAACTCATTCAGACGTTCACTACTATCATTCACGTAGACGTTGTTCCTCCTCTGCTTCGTCTTCTCAGACCCATTGATTTTCTTTACCACGGAGCTGGTGTTTCTAAGAGACGCGTAAGACTTCCTCAAATCTCTTCCTCTGTTTTATGCCTTCTTTTGTCAGTGTCTCATCTGTTTTCAACATTAACCAGGTCGGGATCAACGTGCTCACCCAAAAGCACGTGCTGCTTCTGGTATCAGACCTTGAAAATATCGAAAAAGAGCTCTACATCTTGGAATCTCTCTACACAGAAGCATGGCAGCAATCGTTCGAGATTCTGTGGGTTCCAGTTCAAGATTTCTGGACAGAAGCTGACGATGCCAAGTTCGAGGCACTTCATATGAACATGAGGTGGTATGTTCTTGGAGAGCCTCGGAAACTAAGACGAGCGGCGATGACGTTCGTGAGGAAATGGTGGGGGTTCAAGAACAGGCCTATACTCGTTGCACTTGATCCCAAAGGTCAAGTTATGTCGACCAACGCTTTCCCTATGGTCTGGATTTGGCAACCCTTTGCGCACCCTTTCACGACCGCAAGGGAACGTGATCTATGGAGCGAACAGGACTGGAATCTTGAGTTCTTGATTGATGGCACTGATCCTCATTCCTTAAACCAGGTCTTCTTGATTGATACTTGTAAAATTTTCTGTTTCTTGATTTACACGTAACCTCAAAATATCAAATGTTCCTTTTTGTGATGTTTTTATATCAGCTTCTTGATGGAAAATTCATATGTCTCTACGGAGGGGAAGATCTGCAATGGATAAAGAATTTCACGAGTCTCTGGCGCAATGTAGCAAGGGCCGCAAACATTCAACTGGAGATGGTTTATGTCGGGAAAAGAAACCCTAAGAATGGAATCCAGCCTATCATCAACACAATCAGGGATGAAAACCTGAGCCATACGTTGCCGGACTTGTTCCAGATCTGGTTCTTCTGGACTAGGATCGAGAGCATGTGGGAATCGAAGCAAAGGATGCTGAAAGCGCGCGGAGCCAAGGGGAGGGAAGGGTTTAAAGATGGATTGAAAGAAGAGGAGAAGGACCATGTACTGCAAGAAGTCGTTGCAATGTTAGGTTACGGAGGAGAAGGAGATGGATGGGGACTGGTGAGTAAAGCTTCAGACTTGATGGTTAGAGCCAAAGGGAACTTGTTTTCCAAGGGTTTGGCTGAGTTCGACGAATGGGAAGTGAACATTCCCACAAAGGGTTTCTTGCCAGCACTCAATGACCATCTTTTAATGCGTCTCCCACCACATCACTGCACGAGGTTCATGCTCCCTGAGACTTCTGGGATTATACCCAATGAGGTCGAGTGCACCGAGTGCCGTAGGACCATGGAAAAGTATTACTTGTACCAATGCTGCCTTGAGTGAGCGATCCCAAAAATAATAATTAGTAGTTGATTCGCAAGCCAGATCAACTACTCGTTCCAGTTTGTGTCTTTTCTTTTTTTCCCCTTGTTGTAATTTCTCTCTTTTTTTCATATCATTTCTTGCTTGCTGCTGCTTCGTTGCAGAGTCTTTGTAATAAAATTTGTGTGTTTAAGATTTCAAAAATAATAAAATTTTATGTATGGGAAGCTTCTAAAACAATGAACTGGTTGAGTAATGCTTCTTTGTCGATTCCTTGAGCACTTGCCAGTAATAAACTTTCTAATAATAAACTTTCGTAAACTACCAAAGTAACTGACTCTTCTTCCTTTTTTTAATGCTCACTAAGTAAAGGGTTAAATACGCAAAGTAATAAAGAGGATCAATTAAAAAAAAAAAAGATGAACAGTCTTTTGACTTTTGAGCCTAAACTAATTTAGACATTATCCGCTTATTACATTATAAGAAGTCCGCAATATTAGTTACAACTTCATATTTATTTTTTTCAGACATATTATATATCTTCAATAAATAGATTACATATGAGATATGTGCAAGGTTTTAGAGTCCAAATCACATAATATTTAGGGGCATTATATTACAACGCTTAAACGATAAATCCTTCATTCCTAGCAATTAGTGGGTTAATTAAAAAAATTGTTCCAAAACATCAGTACTTTCCGAATATTTGCATACATTGTATTTGATTTAGAAGAAGTTCTCATACTAAGTATTTTCTGATGGAAACAACAAATATAATCCAAACTAAAAAAGTAGTTAATGCTAAAATTAACGAAAAACAAAAGTCTTGCGGAGAATAAACACCAGAGTATATACTATAGAATAACGATGTTACTTTTAGATACACATATATATCCTTTGGTTACTCATAGTTTTGCTTTTTTTAGCCTTATCCTAAGATAATATCATTGTATACATAAGAAATTTACTTAGTTTTACCCAAAAGAGAGCAAAGAATCTTAACCTCACACCCTTTTGTTCACTTCACTCTTGATGCTATTTTCAGAGACATCTTATCATATATAAAGTAACTAAAAGTAAATGACAGAAGCCATAAATTCTATGGTTTGAGGTGAAGTAACATAGGAATAAAAGCAAAGTAGCAAACAAAATGTCTTTTATAAAAAATGGTTGTCCAGTGATCATCAATGTGTTGGTTAAGATATAACATTTAAGTCATGAAATTCACATAAAAAAAAAAAATACGTATAGCCTATAGTCTGAACTCTAATTTGATCACACAAAAAACATGAGATTATTGATATCATTACAATATATCCATGTACACATAGATCAACATGAAATATATATTTGATTTTTAAACTGGTGTAGAACTAGAAAGATTGGGTTTGATGAAGCCGTATACGTCAACACAATATAAACTCTAGAGGCTAATTAATAGATTAAATTTTACTAGTGTTCGTTCAAGTGATGTTGGAGAGAGAATGGAGGGCATCATTGATGGTGGGATCTTAAGTTAAGATTTTGCAAAAAAATATTTTTTATATAAGATTTTGCAAAATTTTAGCTTAAGATCTCACCATTAATGATGGTTTGAAGAGTTTTCTCGTATTTTCAACTTTGAATTTTCTTTTTTTAGGATCTACATTTCTAGCTAGTTGGCAATGAATTTAAAATCATCTGTAGTTAATATTCAAAGTCAATGATTTTTATATGCATGCAAGAGTTTTACTCTCAATTATAAAATGTAAACGATCTATACATATGACTAGTTTAATTATCCTAGTTTTTAATATTTCTACATACATACATTCCTGTAAAAGTTGCTAGGTCTATATATAATTCACAGTTTGAGGCTTAATTAAAAACTTAAATGTAGTATCGACATTCACGTGGATATGAACTATATATCTCATAAGAACCATTCTTCTGTAATAAGCCAAACAAAAAGAAAAGCAAAAAAAAAAGAAAGAAAGAAACAAGATTTATTTTATTAGTAGATATATTCTTGTACATTTATTTTAATTGTTGCAGAAGCAAAGAAGTGGATTCTCAATTTCCAAAGAAGGGGGAAAAAACGATTATTTAAGGCTAACCTCAGGCATAGGCACAACAACATTACAAACCAATATATAAAAGCTGCTTCTTCTTTCCAACTCTTTCACCTGCACCAACAGAAGAAAGAATGGAGTCGCTTATCAAGTCCCAGCACGCTCAGCAACTTGCGGGTCACAACAGTTCGACCGGTAAAAACCATTCCACGGACATGATACCGGCGACGGGACTGGCCATGTCATCAGACGAAAACATGATGCTGAAACTGATCCAACAAACTCACTCCCCAGATGCTCGCGAAGTCCAAGTGCGTGGCCTTCTCTCTCTCGTTGAGGATATTCTCGATCGTGCCACTCTTGACTCTGAAGACACCAACGCCTCCGTTAGTTTTCTTACTACACACATTCAATACATTCCTTCTTAACTTGTACTTAAGATCTTGTTCCCTTTACCGCTTTATGTTCTCGCTTTGATTTTGCAGATGCTTCCATTGCCCACTGAGGATAAACTGATGCAGTCGAGCATGATGAGCGTTCTAGATAGTGTCTCCTATGCTATTGATCGCGTTGCCTGCGAGGTATAGCTACTTGCTTTTTTACTTTTCATTTCAAGATGATCTCTGTTTAAGAGTTCTTTTCTTTGGTTCACCAGAATAATATACCAAGTTAATTACTAGGTTTTCGTTCGGGCTAAATATGGTTTAGTTGGTTCAGATTCACTTATGTATATGGAATCCATAGGTTATTCTAAAATATTTTCAGTTTGACTAAGACGTTTCCCTATAGATATATGGATCACTCATCGCGGTTAATGAATCATACATATGATATGATGGTATAAATCGCACTCTCTAAAGATTGTTGTACACGTACCACCAGCAACCTATTTCCCAACCTAACTTGGAACATAAGCAACCCAATGTTTACGTGGTGCTCTTTATTAATTTTCAGATAGCTTACAAATCTCTGACGGGGTCAGACGCGCACGAGATCACAATGTCTGTGTTCGAGCACCTCTCGAGCTTCCACTGGGACGGCAAACTCGTCCTGACTCTAGCGGCGTTTGCGTTGAACTACGGAGAGTTCTGGCTTCTTGTCCAGTTCTACTCAAAGAACCAGCTTGCTAAGTCCCTAGCTATGCTCAAGCTCGTCCCTGTGCAGAACAGAGTGACTCTCGAGTCTGTGTCCCAAGGTCTCAACGATCTCATCCGAGAGATGAAGAGCGTCACGGCATGTGTAGTGGAACTTAGCGAGTTACCTGATCGGTACATTACACCAGACGTTCCTCAGTTGTCGAAAATCCTCTCTACAATCCCAATTGCTGTGTACTGGACCATAAGAAGCGTCGTGGCTTGTATTTCTCAGATCAACATGATCACTGCCATGGGACACGAGTATGACATTTAACTTCGTTTTATCCATTTTGTTATTGTATTTCTGATCAACCGCTAACGCTAAAAAAAATTATATATCAGGATGATGAACACTCAAATGGACTTATGGGAAACATCGATGTTAGCTAACAAGCTTAAGAACATTCACGATCATCTCTCTGAGACCTTGAGGCTTTGTTACCGTCACATAGGTTTGGTTCCCTCCCATTCATGAGCTATTCATCGCTCTGTTTCCTTACTGACAAAGAATGCATTTTGCAGAGAAGCAGAGGAGCTCAGAGTCCTTAAAAGTGTTGCATTCTCTATTCGACACCACTCACATTGATAACATGAAGATTCTCACGGCCTTGATTCACCCCAAATCCCACATCACTCCATTGCAAGATGGGATGACCAAGAGAAAGGTTTCTGTGTTGGATATATATTGTCAAGGTTCATCATCAATGTAAAGTGTTCAGCTGAGTACGTAATCTCTGATCTAAAATATACGGAATGTTGCAGGTACACTTGGATGTGTTGAGGAGGAAGACAGTGTTGCTGCTCATCTCTGATCTCAACATACTACTAGACGAGCTATCGATTTTCGAGCAAATCTACACAGAGTCAAGGAGGAACTTGGTCGGAGTCGACGGTAAGAGTCATATGCCGTACGAGGTTGTCTGGGTCCCAATCGTCGATCCTATCGAAGATTATGAAAGGTCTCCCAACCTGCAGAAGAAATTTGAGGCTCTCCGACAAGATATGCCATGGTATCCTAACACATTCAAAACACATGTAATTTTTGAAAGATGCCGTGAGAAGCAAGAATTGAAGGGTGCCTCTTTTTGTGTGTGTGTGTGGTGGCCAGGTACACAGTGGATAGCCCACAGCTGATAGAGAGACACGTGGTGGAGTTTGTGAGAGGGAGATGGCATTTCATGAACAAGCCGATACTTGTGGTGATTGATCCACAAGGCAATGAGGCTAGTCTCAATGCGCTTCACATGATCTGGATTTGGGGAACTGAAGCTTTCCCTTTCACCAAGTCTCGTGAGGAAGAGCTATGGAGGAAAGAGACTTTCTCGCTTAACCTCATCATCGATGGCATCGACTCTGTTATTTTCAACTGGGTAATTTTTTTAGCTTGTTTTTTCTTCTATGTGATTGGTCTCTGCACATATATATTGGGAACAGAGCAAAGCAGGCTGGGTTTGACCTAATCATTAAAGATCAACGCATGAATGATTGTGACCATTACAGATAAACCCGGATAATTACATTTTCTTGTACGGAGGAGATGACTTGGACTGGATAAGGAGATTCACAATGGCGGCCAAAGCAACGGCGAAAGATTCCAACGTGAAGCTGGAGATGGCTTATGTCGGAAAACGAAACCATAGCCACAGGGAACAGATCAGGCGTATCGGTGAAGTCATCAGGTCTGAAAATCTGAGCCACAGCTGGGCTGAACCCCCCTTGATGTGGTTCTTCTGGACTAGGCTCGAGAGCATGTTGTACTCCAAGATTCAACTCGGTAAAGCCGATGATCATGACGAGGCAAGAAAACTTATACAGACTACTACTAGCTAGCTAGGGTTCTATAATTTGGCTAATGAATATACTGATTCCTTTTGGGGAAAACAAATATAGGTGATGCAAGGAATCAAGAAGATACTGAGCTACGACAAGCTAGGAGGATGGGCACTGCTGAGCAAAGGACCTGAAATAATAATGATCGTTCACGGTGCCATAGAGAGGACTATGACAGTTTACGACAGGACCTGGAAAACCCATGTTCCGACGAAAGGCTACACCAAAGCAATGTACGACCACCACCACGATGAGGTCCTCCGGGAAACAGGAAAACCTTGTGGCCACTTTGATTTCCACATCACTGCTCGGAGCGGTCGGATTCCAGAGAAGATGAATTGCTTCGAGTGCCAGCGTCCGATGGAGAAGTACATGAGCTTCGCTTGTTGTCACGACGAAAAGCTCCACGAAGACGAGAACTATAACTTCTAAAAAAACGCTGCGATGATGAATGAGCCTCTTCCAGCTTCTTCCTTTTTTTTTCATAATCAAAATACTTTATCCATAATAATTTCTGAATTTCAATGTCACTCTGTATGAGAATTAGTCGGTCCATGTGTGTTGTTTGGCCTTTGTGGACATGTCCGATTGAAGTATTCCTAATAATTTTCAATAATAAACAATTTATTTTCTTAAATTTTTATATATATGATTTTGTTCGTAATAAAAACAACAATTTTGAATCAGTCACAAAGATGGGTGAGTGAAGACCCACCACAACAGTTTAAAAAAAAAAAAAAAATTGTTTTGCTTATCATAATGTTTCTAAAATTCCACTTTATTTATTTTAATGGACCCCCATGAATTAAGGGGAACACCAACATTAATAATATACTTTCTTTAAATTTATTCCTTCAAGGGTTTTGAAAGTTTCACTATTACCGTCACATGTATATACAATAGTCTTATATGTATCATTTTTTTTAATGATATTATCAATGTGTCATTTCTGGGCTTATCTTCTCATAAATGTTTATACATATGTGTTAGTTGTTGATATATCATTATCTTGTCCATCGAATTATAGCATTTCAATATGTGCCCCTCTTGTCGTCGTCAATATAATGTTTTGATGGTCGATATCATCATCATCTTCATGTGTGGTCCATCTTCAAATAATATTGTATAGTTTTATTTTAACTCCTGATAAAGGATGAATTGTTTTACTATTATTACACGCGATATTTTAAATTACTCTTTGGGGATAGTTACGTTTTGTGTTCTTATTAATTAAATACACACAAAATCTCCGTAACATCCTTCCTTTGGGTACTTTCATGTGTGTTTGGTATCTATCACAAGGTGGTGTCTACGTCTTATAGCTTGATGGATGTCTCTAAAGCTAAATCTAAGGCAAAAAAAAAGTTAAGTAAATGTCAGCACTCAGTAGTAGATCGCATATGTCTAATCACAACGCGCGTATGGGACGGGGTTTTAATCTAAATTACCAACCGTATCATATTATCCCACATGCGATTGTCACCTCTCGTTCTGTCTCAGGAAAACACTTTTGTGTTGTGAGTCTATTACTATAGATTTTTACTTTTTGTAAATTATTCATCAAACAGCTAAAACCTTTTTTTCTTAGAGTTAAAAAGAAAAGAAGATGGAAGAAGCTAAGTTGAATGATGTGTCCACTTCGACTTGACTTTTGATACATAGATTAGGGGTATAGTCTTCGTTCAGTTTTCACATATCTGCTAGCTATATTATATTTACATCATCAATGGAAATTAGTTTAGGTACATTACAATTACATACATACATAGTGCTTTTCAAATTAGATATTTTATGATTCAATATATCTAAATTATCAGAGTTTCCAAACACTCCGGGGTCTGTCTATTATATTCATTAATTTTCAAACTTTCATAGCAATATTTTTTCGTATACTGTATACATTTATTTACTTTGAGGTGATTATTTTTTTTTCTAAAGCAAAGTAAAGATATTTTTATGCTAAAGAGATATACGTAAACCAAACCAGATTGAGAAACTGTAGTGGTCACATTAATATAAGTCAAAAAGTAAACTATTTTGCTTATTTTAGCGTTAATAATGTAATTTATTGTTATGAAAAGAAACAAAGAAGAAGAAAGTAGTAAAACTAGTACTACTACTTAATTACTAGTGAAGTGTAGTCTCAACTCTGAAGAGATTAAAAAAAAAAAAGAAAGCCACTTTGTCAATTGCTTTTACTACTACAGTACTACAAGTCTCTTTCTTTCTCTCTCTCTGCCTCTGTTCCCAAGGAGAAAAGCTTCAATCTCAAAATCCAGAAGCTCAAAAAACCCCAAATAAAATGCAAGCTGTGTAGTAGCAACTAGAAAGCGAGAGTGAGGAGGAAGTAAGGAGATGGGAGGTGTGACGTCATCGGTGGCGGCTAAGTTCGCCTTCTTCCCTCCGAGTCCCCCGTCTTACAAGGTGGTTACCGACGAGCTCACCGGACTGTTGCTTCTCACCCCTTTCCCCCACCGCGAAAACGTAGAAATCGTAAAGCTCCCGACCCGGAGAGGCACGGAGGTCGTGGCTATGTACGTGAGGCACCCGATGGCTACCTCCACGCTCCTCTACTCCCATGGCAACGCCGCCGATCTGGGGCAGATGTATGAGCTCTTCATCGAGCTTAGCATCCATCTCAAGGTTAATCTCATGGGGTATCTTTCTTTCTCTAATTTCCCCCTCCCCTTCCCTTCAACTTCTTCTTCTTCTTACACTCTGCTTTTTTTTTTTTTAAACTAATTAATGCCTTCTTCCCCTGTCTTTACGATGCGGTTTTGTTTTCTTTCTAGGTTTTCGTCAATCTGATTCTGATTTCTTGTTTTAAGCTGCTGTAATAAGATTTTTAGCTTAGCTTGTTTCTGTATACAATCGCAATCCAATGCTATTAAAAAAAAAAAAAAAAGGGGATTTTGAGTGAAGTTTAGGGTAAGAGATCTGCTTCGTATCATTCAGTCTTTCTTTTGATATATTATTGGTTATATTTCAACTGTGATGTTTGCAGATACGACTACTCCGGGTATGGACAATCTACTGGAAAGGTTTGTCTTTTAGCTCATCAATCATATATTTGATCATGTGATGATGATCCCTTTTTGAGTTTTTTTAGGACTAACTTAAACCCCCAAACTCTTTGTTTCTTGATCGAAGCCGAGTGAGCATAACACCTATGCTGATATCGAAGCTGTTTATAAGTGTCTTGAAGAAACCTTCGGCTCTAAGCAGGAAGATGTCATCCTCTACGGACAATCTGTAGGCAGCGGACCAACATTAGACCTTGCTTCCCGGTTGCCTCACTTGAGAGCCGTCGTCCTTCACAGCCCCATTCTCTCCGGTTTAAGAGTTATGTACGCCGTTAAGAAAACCTACTGGTTTGACATCTACAAGGCAAGACCCCCCCTTTTAACACTTTTCATTTCTTCCATTGAATCCTTTCTGAATTCCGATTTTCGTTGATGTTTTCTGCAGAATATCGACAAAATCCCATATGTCGATTGCCCGGTTCTTATCATTCATGTAAGTTAGCTATAGGTTTCAAATATAGATACATTAGAGTCTTTTGCATTCTTGGGGGGGTTCTACATATATGTATTTGTATGTGCAGGGAACTTCTGATGAAGTAGTGGATTGCTCTCATGGGAAACAGCTATGGGAACTCTGCAAAGACAAGTACGAGCCGCTTTGGGTGAAAGGAGGGAACCACTGTGATCTTGAACACTACCCTGAATACATCAGACACCTTAAGAAATTCATCACGACGGTAGAGAGATTACCCTGTCCGAGGATGAGCAGCAGCGACCAAACAGAGAGGGTGAGAGATGAACCGAGGAAAAGTATGGACAGGAGGGTGAAGCCGAGGCAGAGCACAGAGCGTAGGGAGAGAGAGAAGGCGCCAAAGAGTCAGTGGAAGAAGAGTAGCAGCAAGCTCAAGATCTCTTTTGATCATCTTGATCGCTCGAGGAGGAGCGTTGACTGCCATGAAAAGACTCGGAAGAGCGTAGACCAGTCCCATCAGATTGAGAGGGGCAGGAAGAGTGTGGATAGGTTGGACTGACTTGGCTCCGAGTAAAAAAAAAAAAACAAAAACACACACACATAAATATATATATATATATATATATATGGAACACGTATAGAGATGAAGAGTACATAGCTGTGCTTTACCAAACAAAGACATGTGGCCGTGACAACTGATTTGTAATTTTCATGCAAAATTTGTGGGATCTATCTTTTTTATCTTGAATATCCTCTATTTTAAAAAGGAGTCTTTTTGGTGGTATATATGTAGGATTTTGATTGAGAGTTCTGATTAAAACACCTGGATTGACTTCATTAAGGCCATATCCTCTGGTTTTTTTTATACTTGCAAGCCATATCCAGATTCTTTCATGTCTTGTTTAGAAACCACAATTTGATCATATTAGTCATATTTATAACGGTTCCAAATCATGTCTAAAATTTTCTACTCGATATGAGACGTTATACATATATGTTTTTTCTTTTATCGATTGAGTAATATACGTCCGTTTTAAAATTTTCAAATTACTACATATGCGGAAAAAAAATTTGTATTTTTATTATACTTATGTTTTATGTAATAATTTAAATTTTTAAACAAATAAGATCATATAAAGATATTGGAGAGATATTCAATTTATTAGGGAGACATTTTAGAAAATTTTGTTAAATGTAATAAGTGTAATAAATATTAGTTTCTAATTTTGTGATTCTGGTGTAATTTAATTACAAATTTTATCTTAAAATTTTGTTATTTATTTAAATGGCAAAGATTTATTATGCAAATAATACAAAATAAAAAGTTATTTTCCAAAAACTACTTCAAAAATGTTAATATAGATATACACCTGAATTCTATTAAACCTATTTATGGCGGGTTTCTCAATTATTCTAGGAATATCTAAACATTTCAGGATCTATTTTTGCTATAAAAAAAATAATTGGTTCTAAAAATATATAAGGATAATAGTAGAGGAGGAGTAGATGGATGTCCGTAATCTTCTCCTAAAAAAACTGACTTTGTCTAAAACAATATAAAACCATTTCAATGCCCTCTTCCTTTTCTTCATCTGAAGCTTTTGCAGTATTCATTCATTTTTCCTCTTAATTAAATAAATATTTATTCTATTATATACTGCTTTAGCTTCGGAACAACAAAAAAAAATAATGGCACGTCAATTGGTCGTATTTGCTCTTTTGGCTTTGGCCGTGGCCACCGCATTCGCTGCCGATGCACCATCAGCTGCTCCCACCGCCTCTCCCACCAAAGCCCCCACCACCCCTACCAAGGCTCCAGCAGCTGCACCCAAATCCTCCGCCGCCGCACCTAAAGCATCTTCCCCTGTCGCTGAGGAACCCACTCCCGAAGACGACTACTCGGCTGCCACCCCCACTGACTCCGCCGACGCACCCACCGTCTCCTCCCCACCGGCTCCCACTCCCGAAGCCGATGGACCCTCATCCGACGCACCCACCGCCGAGTCCCCCAAAACTGACGCTGCGACCAATGTGAAGCTCTCTATCGCCGGCACCGTTGCCGCCGCTGGAATCTTCTTCTTCTCTCTCTAAGTTTCTTTTTAATTTTATATTTTTTATGATTTAAATCAAACTTGGCGGGAGGGACGTAACCATTATTTTGTGTAACACTATCAATCAATTCTCTCTCTAACTAACTAACTACTATACCAAAGATTATTACTATATAATTTATAATCAAATCAAAGATTGAATGGAGTTATTAGTTTTACTATTCAGAACAAAAGAGGGCATTTGGTCTAGTGGTATGATTCTCGCTTAGGGTGCGAGAGGTCCCGAGTTCAATTCTCGGAATGCCCCCTTTTCTTTATTTTTTTTTGGTTCTATTTCTAATCTCTAACAAACAAAAAAGGTTTGTTAGACGATCCAGTTTACAGATTATATAAACACGTTACAGAATACTAATACAGACAGGAGATGCAATGCCATTCAATGCAATATCTCTTCTTGACATAAAAACAAAAAAACCCAAAACATGTCAAACGATTCCAAACTAAATCCTTTTTTTTTTGGGAGGGTCCAATAAAAGGGTTCCATATATATTTCTCCCCAAATGCGCAAAGTCGTCGGCTACTGTAACAGAGCCTACCAAAAAAGACCACACAGATCTCTCAGACACATACATTTTGACGACGACTATTTCACTGAAAGTGATCGAGAGCTCACTTTCTTAATTTGGTCAGTGCATTTAGGTCTCTGTTTGTAGAAATTTGGAAGGGGCTTTGCTTTGAAGCATAGTCTTTGCCGTAGTTTACTCCCTTCCTTCTCCATACTCCTCTCCTCCTCCTCCTGCTTCTTGTCCTTGTCCTGTGTCTCATCCATTGCTTTGAATTTCTCCTCTAGCTTCTGCAACCACTCAAATGATGGTAAGACATATGTTATGTTAGCTACCAAATTTGACCTATAATATAATCACTCAAAATCTCTTCTTCTTCTTCTTGCCTTTTTTCTTCTCTCTGCTCTCTCCTCTGTTCTTAACCCAAACGGTGTAAAACAGCTCGGTGTCCTGCTTTTGTTTCCCAATAACTTAGTTAAAACATAAAAACTAATGAAAAGGCACAAGTTCTTAAACTCTTATTAGTAATCACTACTTACTCCGCAGGGAGGAAATTCCATCTTCCTCGACCAGCCGTCTTAGCAGAAGACTCAGCAGCCATCTTCCCTCTGCACTTGCTGTAACACCTGATTACTTCTCTAACCACACGACAACAAGAGTTTTTATTGAGCAGTGTCGTTTACCTTCTGTTACTCCATAAAGGTGTGGACAATGATGACTCCTCAGCGATTCCCTTTGCAGACACCTACAATCACAAGAGCATAAGCACTTGCTAGAGTGGAAACAACAATAATAAAAGAATTGCAGTCACCTCGTTTGATGATGGTGTCCGGAGAGGAGTTTTGCATTCTTTGGTTGGTTTTGAAGAAGCTCTTGACCCGTCAATCTTCCTTATAATGGACACTAATCTATTGAACTCTTTAGCAGGCGTGAAAGTGTAACTGCTCTTGTTGCTAGGCTTCTTCTGACTTGGAGTCCTCTCCGATGAGCTGGATTTAGAGACTCTTGGTTTGGTACTGCTCTTTGGCTGTGAATCTTTGGATTTCTTCTGCAAGGACGGTTACAGATCAAGAAGAGAAGAAGCCAGACCAGAGAGAAAGAAAGAAAACTCCTATGTCATCAACAACATTAATTAGTAATAATTAAGTATATACCTTAAGTATAGGCTTCTCCTCCTCCACTTGTGTAGAAACATTGCCATTGACATCAGACTCAGGCATCACACAGTTCTCTTTGTCATCGGATTGTCTATTAACAAATCTGCCGCCTTCTTTTGATCCTGATCTGTAACCGCCTTCTTTTGCAAGTAATATCATTTGAGTAGCATCTGAGGATCCTCCTCTAGGAAGCTGAAGATCCGGTTTTGAGACCAGCCGATCTCTATTACAAAGTCCATTGAAATCTTGTGGATGAAGAACAGCTGGAAGCTTATCTATTGGAGGGGATTGCTGTTGAAGCAAGAGGGCCTCTTCAGCAGCAGCTTTACGAGCAGCAGCAAGTTTCTTGTAGTGAGCTTCAAAAAAAGCTTTCTTCTGAGCAACAGAGCCCGGCTTAGAGTATCTCTCGGCCTCGGCCACATAAGGGTTCTGGGAAGAGAAAGCAGACCATTTTTCCCAGTCAAGTTTATCGGACATGAATCTCCCGAAGGACACAGACTGTCCTAAAGCAACAAGAGAATCTTCTCCTCCCTAAGATAAACACACAGATTAGATAGGAGAGAGGCAACAAGAGAGCTTAAAAGAAAGAAAGAAAGAAAGAAGAAGAAAACATGTGAATGAAGGAGTATTTATTAGGGTTATATGGAAAAGAAAGCATGGGCTTAAAAACTAAATGAACCTGAGGAGCTGCATACGAGAATGGTGGCTGCATGAGACAAGCCGATTCTCCCATTCTTTTGGAACCGAACAAACACAATATAATCTAGTTTTACAGATTGAGAGAATGAAGTGTGTGTGCGATCCTAAATTTATTTCTGTAAAAATAATAATGTAATGTGATGTATGTATATGTATCTGGTAGATGAAAAACAAAATAAAGGTGGGAATTTTTGTCCGTTGTAAGGAGAAAGAAAGAAAGAAAGAAGAAGAAGCTTTTTAATGTTTAAAATTTGAATTCAAAAAATTGGCAGGCTTCTCTGTTCTTGTGGGTTTCTCTCTCTCTCTCTTTTTCTTCCGGTGGTAGAAAAAAAAGGAAAAAGAGCCTTTTTTTTGAATAACATTTTTACTAATTAATTAAATTAAAGTATTATTAGCACCACAGAGTCTGTCAGGTCAGGTGGTCCTCTCTTTTTAGGAATGGTTTATACTGTTGTTTGGTTCGAGAGAGACGACGGGTGCGTGACAAAAAAGGTAATATCCCCATGAGTTGACTCCTATAGTCCTATTACCAGAGGCAAGAGGCCAGTGCTGTCTCACTCTCACAATTGGTAATTCAATTTTAATGTCCTAAATTTCTTTCTTTTTTCTTTTCTTTCCTTTCTTTGTTACAAAAATCTTGTCTTGTGCTTATGTTTATTTATGGATATTTAGCATCCAGACACCGTTTTTATCTTTCTATTTACCTATTAACACCGTTTGAAACCAACACACCCTTTCTCCTTATAATTTGTCTTTATTGCCCTTCTAACTAAGTCTCTCTTTACTAGTCAGGCAAATCTAATGTTTTTTCCTTTTTTTCTTTTAAATTTAATAATGATCTTTCTCATCCATCGATTCCAGAAAGGCAGAAACAATAGAAAAAAAAATCTAGACAATCTCCAGTTATTTTTTTTGGTTCGCCATTCTAACTCAGAAGAGAATTTAAGGACTTATGTTCTTTCTTTCTACTCCTCGATCATCAAACAAAAAAGGTTTCAGAGTCTCACTGGTGTTTCTTTTCCTAGTACCTTTATTTTTTTTTACTTTTCCTTTTGTTTCTTACTCAGATTTGTTTTGATGTCTGCTCTTTTATGAAATTTGATATTTTTATCGTCGAAAAACCTCTCAATCCTATGTGTTTCAGCCTGATTTTTAGGTCATGATACTCAGATCTTGCCAATTTTTAGAATTTCAAGGGTTCAATGAATATAACTAACCTGAATTTCAATAATTTTGATGCTTGACCGGCTTTTATTCTTTTGTTTTTGCTTAGTTTTGGTTTGAATAGACTTTTTATTTTTGGTTCTGAGGTTTGGAAGTGTACGGCAGTTTGATTTTTTTTTGTGGAGCTGATTTGATTTAGGTTTTATCAGAATGAGTTTCCGTTGGATTTGTTTAAGACAAATAAAAAAGAGAGCTTGTATGTAGATCAATTAATGTTTATTTCTTCGTTATAAATGCGTTTAAACCCACTTTGTGAAGATCAAATTTAGATATGTGATTTCGTTTGTAGGTTTTCAATTTGTTTGATACAAAGCACAATGTAATACTCAGGTTTGAGGAGTATGCCCGTGCTCTCTCCGTGTTTCACCCAAATAGATGACAAAATCCATTGTATGTCTTCAAAAACTTGGAGTAACATAAATCCCCGTTAATTTGGTTTCAAATTCATGGTATATGTATTGCTTTTGCAGTTTCATTTCAGTTATATGATCTTAAATAGCAAGGGTTCAATGAATATAACTAACCTTATGTTTTCTTGTGTAGTTGCACCTCAGATACCAAAGGCTCGGAGCGAAGTGCGCCTAGGCTCAGGGCTCAAACCACCCCTTCATTGCCTTACCTCGCCTCGCGCCATTTAAATCACATGGGTTCATCGAACGACAAGAGGTAAAGTGTCCATATCTTCTTCATTAATAACTTTGTAAAAGTGCACTTTATCATCCTCAGTGACATTTTCGTTAATCATTTGTACATGTGAAACAAATGGTTGTAGCTACGCTTGCTTAATCTAGAATGAATTTGAAGGCTGGGATGTGGTTTTTATGGATGCATTATCATGGATGTAGTATTATGGACATGGTCATATGGATGCAGTATTATGGATGTGCTCATGTGGATGCCTTGACGTTGTTGTATGTGAGGTGATGGGACTATGCGTATGGACGACTTGATTTTATGGATATAGACAATGAAATACTCTATATTCTTGAAATTCATGAGATAATTATAAAACAAACTCATAGATTGATAATGACTTTTTGTATAAACTATTTACAAACAATTTTGTTTGGTGTATGGTTATTTTTGTGCAAAAGAAAATGTAAGATAATGTTATAACTGAAGTCCATAAAGCCATGGCTTTAGCTTCTCCTCACGTACACAAAAAACATGATTATGGATCAAGACAGCAAAAAGACAAACACAAAACAAGAATCACTTGGACAATGCATGAAGATCTTCATCATCTCTTACAAACAGCAAAAAGAAAAAAAAATAGAATTGTTAGAAAAACACACACACAAACAAATTCAAATGACTTATGAAATGTGAAGAGAATAGATCTCTACTTCTCCCCCTTCGCTCTGTATTTTTCTGCAACTTAATGCTTTGAAAATTTTTGGAAGGATAAAAGCAGTACTTATTAGTTAAAGAACGTGACAATTGCTAACTTTAACGGTTGAATCTCTTCCTCCTTTGCATCTTCTCCAACAAGGTCGGAGCCTCGGAGGAATTGTGAATCCAACCATGCGTTGAAAGTGTTGTTGTGTGGACAAAACATAGCAAACTTAGTCTTTGTGGACATATTATCGTGGGATTCAGTTGTGTGGATTGCTTTGCTATGTATACCCATATCATTAATTTATTTCTTGAGGTGTCCTCCATAATGTTCTGTCTTAGACAATTAACGATATATGGTGCTTCCTTGGATACGATGGGTGTATAAGAGGCTAGCTTACTATGGTATTGTTGGGAATCTAATCACTTATCAAAGAAACGTTGCCGCTGCTACAATCGTCACCACATGGCAAGGGAATTTTATTTTTCTACTTGTTTCTTTAATTTCTAGATTTTGATTTATGTCATCTTTTTCTCTGTTGCGATCCTTTTATTATGTTCATTAGATAACTTTGTATGAATGATGATCATGAAACATTAACTTTGTGGACAACCATTTGTGGATTTTAACTTTGTAGACATACTTTAACTATGACCACATTAAATATACTTTTAATCAAAACCATGTTGAAACAGATAGCACTAGAAGAAGCTTGATTTCAGGAAAAAAAAACTAGAGTTGAATATACTAGATCAAAATGTGATAAGCATTGGGAGAAGGTGAACAAAACTGCGTTTTATCATAGTACATAAGACAAGCTACTTGAACAATCTTTAATTCACTAGATCCATGAGGTTAGTGGTAGAGACGCTTCAAACCTTAGTTTCCTTTGTGATTGTCGGCGGCGACGTTTCTAGCGATTCCGATAAAGAGGAATGATTTGGTGTAGCTGTTTTCGAATAGATCTCTAGAATTGTTGGGTTATAATGTTTTTTGTATTGTTTATAGATGAATTTGGTGTTTTTTGTAATTTCTGGATTTTGATCTTAACATCTGTACGTCTCCGAATCAACTACTTACTTTGTTGTTTTGGTTGTGAGAATCTCACATTTTACAGATGATTTACTTACTTTGGTGATTACCTGGATTAGAATAATCTAGAGATTTGATTCATGTCGGTGGTTTGGTACCATAAGCGACGATCTTCTACTCTTGTCTCTGTTATCCACAAAAACCCAGTTTCTAAACCTAGTTTAAACCCACAAGATGGGTGACGAAAAAGTTGTTTATCTAAGCCACACGATTGAACATGCTTTAGTTATGGTTAGACGGTTGAGATTTTATTATATCTAACAAGACTTCTAACGGTTCTGTTCTCTCGCCGCTTCATGTGTTGGGGCACAATTGTCTATTTTTTGCGTGTACAGTAAAAAAGCAACCCAAAAACGGTCTCCAAACATAAAAGGGTGCTATGATGTTATAGAAGTTAAAAAACGGTGTCTTTATGTAACATTCCCTTTATTTATCCACGACTCTGTTAAACAGGCTCCAGATTTTGAACCCTATTTACCTACCTAATCTTGACCTCCAGATACTATTGTTATCAATTTGCACTCAACATTGACATTTTAGGTCCCTTGGGCGCTTTATAAACCAGAATACGAATTCAGAAATATTCAGACAAAAAAAAAACACACACAAATCCCTGAAAAGAGTACAAATAAACCTATATGACTTTTGGGTAAAATCCAAGATTTTCAAGCAAAATGTCTCGCCATTTCTTTGTTTGTGTGGGTTTAATTGTATCTACACAATATGCTCGTGTTGTATTCTAACAGAAACCATCCACTCTTGTTGAATCAAGTAACCTGCCTTCTTCTTTCTCAGGTTTCTGTGTTACGAACATATCTATCTCGATCATTTGTGTCCAAGAAACCCGTGTTCGAGTACGAAGTTCGTCTTTTGTTTCTGTAACCTTTCCCTCTTGTTGTTCCTCTAACTTTACGAGTCGTGAACACCAATAGCATCACTACTAAGAACCCTACACCAGATATCAACCACAGAGCAATCACCCATAACTTCAACGTGCTGAATCTCCCTTCAGACTCTGACGAACCTGTTGTTTCTTTCAAATCATCGCTTCCTTTGGCTTGTCTCGTTTCAATGTTACCAACTTTTCTCGAAACCGATATCTTCTCCGTCGATTCAGATCCAGGTTCAGGACAATTTCTTCTCTTGTGATGCAGATACAGAGCTTCGTTTAGCTTCTGTCCACATTCAATGCTTAACAGGTCTCTTTGCCGCAGATCATTGTCTGTTTGATGAACTGCAGAGGGATTAGGCGGGTCTGGAAACTTTGCCCAGCATTTGTTGATCAAATCGGTGTTCCTCCAATTCGCCTTGTCGAAGCTCCAGTTTCCAACTTTGAACTCAAGACCATAATGGAAAACTCGATAGTCAACACCAGGTTCAGGAACATAACCGGGATAAATCAAAATGTCTTTGTTTATGATATGCCGCAAATTCAGCTGCACAAAAATGTTGTGTTTAGACCCCTGTTCGAAACCAATCATCATTGAGCAGAAAAATTAAAAACTGTGATAAGTTTCACCTCTGCAGCGCCAAACGAATAACCGTACATTTCGCTGATCCAGCCGGATTCATATATATCCCCAGTTAATTCCTTCCCGTAGTGTTCTTTGTCTGCTCGAACCTCCTGGGTTTTAAGCAACCAGTACATTGCGAATTTCCGGAGATCCTCTATGTGCATTATAATGACTCCACCAACTTTATCACAAGCCTCTGGATTACGCGTGTGAAGTCTTGCAAGGTCATTATCACATCCAATCAGATAGCTAAAACAAAAGAAAAGAGAGAATGTTAAAACAGATTTCTGCATCATCTATAAAATGGAAAAGAGTGAAATTTTTTTTTGTTGTTTCTCAAGATTTTACTCGTAAGGAGTTGAAACTGGTCGGCCTCGAGCTGCCTTAAACTCCCAAGGAGTGATGGGTCCACGGAGGATCATGTCAGCATCAAGAATTACTATGTACTCTGCATCAATGTTCGTGTGGTGAAGCCAATGGACAACTGCTGCTGGTTTGTTAATTGCCGGGTACCTGATTGAGTCAAGACCATGGCAAAATCAGATGCAGATCACGTTATAACTTCAAAACCCGAGGTTTAACTGCTAATCGTACCAGTCGCCTGTTAGAGGATGTCTGCTCATTGAAGGAACATAATGCGTCGGGGCCAAGTCATGACCTTTATAGTTTTTAAGATCTTTATCTGTGCAACTGAGAAGACGAGTGACATTTCCGGGTTGGCCACTCAAGCTGAAACTGTGCATGAAGCCAACGGTTTGCCAATCGAAATAAGTTGTGCACTCAGTAGAAAACAGTGTGTGAATCTTTGGATAAGTTCCTTTGAATTCATCAACTGGTGGCGGCTCATGTTGGTCTGGCAAGATATGTACACTTCCTGGTGCAAGCAGTTTAGGCTTTGTTAACTCTATGAAAGTTTTGCTTTTCAGAAAGCTCAAGTATTTGGACCACTTTGGTTTCGGACACCCATTTTCTGCATGACGCAGTATGAGTCCTTCGTTCAGCGTATCCATGCATTCCAGACTCAAAATTAGACCTCTTCGCTTATAAGGATCAGGTTCCATCATTTTCACCTATTCAGTGACAATAATTTTGTTGGTAATTCCACCCAATTAATAGAGATACATGAAATGGAGTTGCGAACTTATGAAGGTTACCTCTCTTGGATATGGAGGCTCGGGGAAGAGACGGTTGCAGTCATATACTATATTATCTTCGTGGTGGTCAAGTTTAGTGAAAGACCAGTTCCCAATGGAAAAAGGCAAACCGTAATGCAGAAGAACAGGCTCAACACCTTCTCGTGGGACATATCCGGGATATATCATCAAGTCGTCGTTAATCTTGTGCTTAAGTCCTGCCTGTGGATCAAAAACAAAATCACACACAGAGATGTAATAACCGAAACCAAAGGTGGTGAAGAAGGTCAGTGTCAGAGGATAAGCAAGAGAATAAAGGAAGGCGGTGACATTACTTCAGCAGCACCGAAAGAGTAACCATACATCTCACTGATCCAACCTTTGCCGTAAACATCTCCGGTAATATTGGTGGCCCAGTGAGCAGTATCTTGGCGAACGTCTTCAGTTTTTGAAAGCCAAAGAGGGGCCAAGACGCGAAGATCGTGGATATGCATGGCGAGAAGACCGCCGACTTTGTCACAGAGTTCAGGATGCTTTGTATGCAATCGCACAAGGATGTTATCGCAGCCAACCAAGTAGCTATTGTGAGCAGAAGAAATGAAGGTTATTTTTAAGCTTTGAGCGAAAGTGAAGAATGTAGACAGAGAGGGAGAGAGAGAGAGATACCCGTAATGGGCAGCAAAGGGTCTTCCGATTTCTGCACCGAGCTCCCAAGGGATGATGGGACCTCTAATGATCATGTCAGCATCGAGAATAACGACCCAGTCCACGTTCTTGGCATCTTCGCTGTGTTGAAGCCAGTAAAGAACTCCAACTGGTTTGTTAATGGCTGGGTACCTAAGGAAAAGACAATGATGCTAAACATCCATATCTAAACACCCTAGCCTTTAATTTGAATGACCAGAAAACACATCACCACAACAAAATTGGGAGTATAGAGATTTATACCAGTCACCGGTCTTAGGATGTGTGCTCCAAGAGGGAACCTCGAAAGTGGGAGCGAGATTCATGCCTCTGTAAACCTTCTTCTGCTTGTCGGTACAGCTCAATAACCGGGTAATCGGACCGGGTTGTCCGGATTTCTTGAAGCTGTGCATCAAACCAACCGTCTGCCAATCGAAGTAGTTCTGGCACTCGACCGAGAAGAGAGTGTGGATCCGATACGGTGCCCTTTGACCCGATTCATCCGCCAAACACGAAGATACCACCAGCGCAGCCACAATCGCCGCGATCATATCACACCGCCGCATCTCCATCGCCTTGGATTTCAAACCCTCTTTTCACTAAATTTGCATTTTTCTTCTTCTTCTTCTTCTTGATTTGATCTCTTAAGTAAGGAGACTTTTTTTTTTATATAAAAAAAAAAGAACAAAAAAAAAAAAAAAGTCAATGCATGGAAGATAGATCCATGGCGATGCGTTGTTACCTTCTTCTTCTTCTTTGTATAAAACCCGATGGGGGAGGTTATGATTAGGTAGTGGCGACCACGAACGAACTGCAACTTGTAATTTACAATTTTTTAAGAAAATTGTAAAAAATAATCAAAGAAGATTCTATGAAATTTTGGGTTTCTGAATCGCGCAAGTTTGAAGAAGGCTGCCATGGAGTCCGGCAACACGTGTGTACTTCTTCTAAACTTCCCCATTTTTCTTACATACCTCCAAAACTCGGCGAGTCGCTATCAATTTATTTTTATTTTTATTCTCACTCTCACCCATTTGCCAATTACTAATATAAAAAAATTGATTTTAGGAGAAAAAAACACAACTACATACAAATTGATCTTTTAGTCTATTAGACGCAGTCAATGAATACACCTTCATTAGCATTTTATTACTATTTGTACATGGTGTATTTTTATTACTGTAAAAGTGTAAGAATATTTTGTTTTTTTGGTAAGAAAGTGTAAGAATATTTATCACTCGTTGTTGGTCGTTTGATTTTTTTCTTTTCGTTTTACAGTGTCTAACAAATTTGTAGGAGATCACGTGGTTATGTTACTTAAAATATATACATAAGTCACTACTAATAAGACCATAATCACGTATCTTTCAGGGCCCAATCCAACACGAATAAATAGGGCCCAATCCAATACGAATAATTAAGGCTAACACTAGAACATGGTTTGTTTAAGAGGGCCCAATCCCAAAAAGATTTGGGCTGGGTTAAAAGATTACAGAAAAAATGGTGTTGGTCTTCTTCGCTCTCTCGCCGCTCTGAAACTCGCCGCCAGTGTAAGCTTGGTCCTTTTTCTTCATCACTTGTGCTCTTAGACGTAAGTTTTCTCTAATTCTCCATATCTCTGGGTCTGGTTCGATTAGCTCATTGGGGTAGGCATCTAAACCCTAATTTAACCTGGAAATGGAAATATAGTGATAAAAAATTGATGTGTTTATGGTCCGCTGTAGGAAATGAACCGTATTGGATTGATAAGTGGATCATCCAAGGATGTAGTGCGGAGAACGTTTGCTGCGGCAGCGAGTAAAGCCAAGAAAGGTGGGAAAGGAGGAGGAGCCAGCGACGCTCCTAAAGGTTCCAGCTTGAGCAAAGAGATCAAATCCACCACTGTTGTTGGTGCTAATACCCTCAAAGACGGATCTGATCCCAAGATCTTGCCTGATTCTGATTACCCTGATTGGCTCTGGCATCTCCTCGATAAGCGCCCTGCTCTTAGTGAACTTCGGAGGAAGAACGTCGAGACTCTTCCCTACGATGATCTCAAGCGTTTTGTCAAGCTTGACACTCGTGCTAAAATCAAAGACAACAACTCCGTCAAGGCCAAGAACTGAGACGCTTTCCCCATCAATACTCTTTTTTTTTTTTTTCTCTTGTAAGATTCGTCTTCTCTCACCCTCTCCATGCTCTCTCTTCCTCTTGCGCTTTTATTTCATCTTCTTTGTTTTGTTTGTGGAACCCTGATGCTTGCTAATAACTTAGATTACTTTTCAAGTGTATCATGTTCTTGTAAGTTCTCAGACGCTTATTAGAGTTTATCCAAGAAATTGCTGCTTCCTTTTCTCTGATTTGAATGTGGAGCCTTAACTAAATCGGTCTATCATGCTTGCTATATAATTAAGTTCTGTCTGGTAAGTTACATTTCAGAGTCGGTAGCATTATGCTCTTGTAAGTTGTTGATCCTTGGACTCTTTACTAGCAAAACCAAGAAAACTGCTGCTTCTGTCTTGGCTCTTGTTTAACCATATGCTTGTCCGGAGGATAGATGAGATAATGATTATTAGGTCGGCTCTTAAAGATACTACAGGTGTACCTGATCCATCTAACAATCAGATTAACTGTAATAGCAATACATGGGACCTAGCTCACTGATATGGAATCACTATTCTCTAGGTGGATACCAACTCTTGTTGTCTACCTCTTGTGGGGTTTAATACCTTGAAAAGAAAGAAAAGGTAAAGCAAAGTTTGGATCATTATCTTCCTTTTGCTCTTCCATTATTGCTCTGATTGTTACTCGTCCTGTGACTTGCTCAGTGACGATTTCATATCGTGTTGCTGTCAACTTACTTTCTGGCTAAACACAAAACTAGAGCCAAACCATCATCTGTCTTCAACCTATGAATGGTTTGTTTGGGGGAAGTTTCAATTAGAACTGTTTAAGATAGATGTACACTCCCTGATAGGTTTAAGTGTAATGTGACAAGTGCTGCTACTGGTTATTCCTTTATGGCTATACATATATATATATATATATATATATGTATCCCAGGAGACGGCCACCTCCATTCATCTTCATTCACATGCTTTTGCTGGTATAACAAAAAAATAAAGCTAACTTTTTTCTCCTCACATGCTTATTTTCCTTTCTTTCTTTTTTTGACACCTTTAACCGGATAAATACATATAGAGAGTAGTGTTGGTTTTGTTTCTGCATGTTTCCATTTCTTATCTGAAATACTACTTTGTATGCTAACCTAATCTCTGATTCATAGTCCAAATGAAATCCAAGGTCATGATCTCTAAAGACCGACGAGAGGGTCCTGGGGGAAATGGATCAACAACATTTTTAAATAGCTCGCTGATACAGAATGTGTAGATTACTAGTATATATATATATAATAATAATATAGAATAGAAAGGCGGCATTGATGAAATTGGGTGTGGTTGGCCAACCCGTAAATCATATCACACATTAAAAAACATTGTTACGTTGGCTTTTACAAGTAAGTTAATAGTAGTAATTTAAAAGCTACGAACCGTTAATTGTCGTTTAAATAAACTAGTATTCAATTCATGCGTATCACATCATGCGTATCTGGTATAAATCACCTTATAAGGGCAACGGTATTTTCCAGAAATTACAAATTGTTCATGACTATAAGTTGTTGTAGTTTTAGATGGATAATTTGAAAATTAGTGATGTATTTCTCTAACGGTTTAGTACGATAATAATGTGGTCAGATCCTGAAATAAAAACGACGAATTATGAGATATTATAATATCAAACGATGTAAGAAATATTAAGAAGATACAACTTTGATTATTAATGAATTTTTTACCTTGGAGAAAAGAAACAAATTACTAGTAGCAACTCAACTCCTCAACTCGACTCAATTCGGGTGGTCGTCTTGTTGATTAGAAAGAAAAAAAAAGGTCCATCTTTTTCCCCATGTGTTGTCTCCATCATTACAATCGGTCCTTTTTCACTTTATAGAATGAATTAGGCAAAACCCTATTTTGTTTCTTTCTTTCTTTCTTTTTTTCTTCGAAATTATTATTGTTTGTGTAAAATTTACAATCACCTTTTGTACTCCTTAATGATACGCGTTAAACATTTATTCAGTTAGAGTTTTTATATGTAACAAATATGTGTTAAAAAGATTAGATATTTTATTTGTCCAATAATTCCTTGAAATATTGGGTAATTAAGCCGTGTAATAAAGACACCCGATTTTCCCAAGTTCGGTTACAAAATAATATAACTTTTTTTGGGAGTTTTATACTGGGGGGGGGGGGGTTCCCTTATATAGCCTCCTAGTAGTAGTACTAGCCTAGTAGTAGTAGACAAGACAGACCCAAAAGTGCTTACGATTTACGAACGATATAATAATAATAATAACAAATAATATTCTCTTTGGTTTTCCTCACAGATATATTCTCCGGTGACCAAATCCTTTCTCCGTCCGTCTTGATCACCACGAAGAAGAAATCGCTTTTGTCTCTTCTTCTTACTCCTCTCTCCCTTTTCCTTTACACTCTCTCTCTCTCTCTCTCTATGCCTCCGTCCTACTTTCCTCTCCGGTGGGAGAGCACCGGCGACCAGTGGTGGTACGCCACTCCCATTGATTACGCTGCCGCCAACTGCCAGTACGATTTAGTCCGCGAGCTTCTCCGCATCGACTCCAACAACCTCATGAAGCTCACTTCCCTCCGCAGGATTCGCCGCCTCGAGACCGTCTGGGACGACGATTCTCTCTTCCACGACGTCGCCGCCTCCAGATCATCCGTCGCTAAAAGACTCCTCTCCGCCTGCGACGGTCCCAACTCCAACACCCTCATCCGCTCTGGCTACGGTGGCTGGCTTATGTACACCGCTGCCTCCGCCGGAGATCTTGCGTTTGTCCGCGATCTCCTCGACAGAAACCCTCTGCTCGTCTTCGGCGAAGGAGAGTACGGCGTCACCGATATACTCTACGCAGCTGCCAGGAGCAAGAACGACCACGTTTTCCGCCTCATTTACGATTTCGCGGTTACTCCGAGGTTCGGTTCCGAGCAGCAAACCGGAGATATTCCGGCGGCATACAAACGGGAGATGAAGAACAGAGCGGTCCACTCTGCTTCTAGAGGAGGCAATTTGATCCTTCTCAAAGAACTTCTCACTGATTGCTCTCTTGAAGATGTCTTGGCCTTCCGAGACAAGCAGGGCTCCACTATCCTCCACGCTGCTGCCGGCAAAGGAAAAACTCAGGTAAGCCTCTCCGCCTACACCATCTACATATCACTCCATAGGTAGCTAAACTAGTTTTGGATCTTGATGCAGGTGGTTAAAGAGCTTGTGGCTTCATACGGTTTGGTCGAGGCTGTGGACAACCGAGGGAACACGGCTTTGCACGTCGCAGCCTACCGTGGCCACGCTGATCTTGTGGACGCTCTGATCTCTGCGTCTCCATCTTTGATCCCCGCTAGAAACAACGCCGGAGACACTTTCCTCCACGCTGGAATCTCCGGTTTCCAGACTCCGGCCTTCGAGAGGCTTGACAAGCACACGGAGCTCATGAACCGTCTCATCACATCCGCTGCCTCCAAATCTCCTGGAGATTTTGTTAATTATAGGAACAACGAGGGACGCACGGCTATTCACTTGGCCATCTCTGGGAATGTTCCTCTGGAGTTCGTTGAGATGCTCATGTCTGTGAAATCCATCGATATTAACATACGTGACAACGCTGGTATGACTCCGCTTGATCTCATCAGGCAGAAGCCGCTATCTCCTACGTCGGATCTCCTGTTCCGACGGCTGGTATCAGCCGGAGGGATGTTCAGTTCTCGTGATCAAAGCATCACAAGTGTGGTCGCGTCGCACTTGAAGGACAGAGGAAACTTTTACAGCCCAGGAGCTCGTTTCAAGACATCGGACGCTGACATGTTCCTAAGCACCCGACTTGATGTCGCGTCGGACAACAATGGTGTTGTTTTGGTCCCTAGACACGTGAGATCCAGCTCCTGTTCCATTGAGATTGGTCAGCGAAACGTGATGGATGAGAGTCATCATTTCAAGAAATGCAGAAACGCTTCTGTTAACTCTGCAACGGAGAGATTGAAGAGCGTTTTCCACTGGCCGCGAATCATCAAGAAACAACCAGATCATTCCAAGAACGATTCTGAGATAAGCCTCGCTTCGGCAGCTCTTGAGACGCAAGAAACTCCGGTTCCACTCCGACAGAGATTCTCAAAAAGCACCACCTGCTCGCTTGCTCTGCCTAATAACAATAAAAGAACGTTATCGGTAAGAAGTAACCAGTCGAGTCCGAGAGCGAAGAAGAAGCGGATTGGTACAGTGCGGTCTCGTTCTAGTTCATTCTCGAAAATATCCATGCACTCGTCATCCACTTCTTCAACTTCGAGCATGGTTGATCTTAAGCAGAAGGGAGTGATGATGGATACGGGCATAGTAGCGGGACCGTCGAAACCAGGGTTGAACCGGGCTGAGGTAACGGAGCCAGTGAAAAGTAAGGTAACGGAGAAGCAGGGTTCGTTAAGGAGGAGACTGAAGAAGAGCCATTACTTTTGCTTTGGTGCTTCAGCTTTGTCTGTGAAAACGCCGACTACGGTCTTGGTATAAAACCCCTGAAAGAAAGAGATAGGTTTGGTTTGGTTTCTCTTTTAGTTTCTTTCTAAATGTAGTAATAGAGTCCTGAAGTTAAACTACACGCCGTTTTCGTTTCTAGTTCTATCAAGCAGTCTGGACTCTGGAGGACTCCTCCTTGCTAGTGATTAATATTGAAAATATATAATAATTATATACAGTATGCTCTAAATCATGAGAAGGGATTATGGGATCAATAACTAAACTTATTAGTATATGCATATTCCGGATTATATCTTATTCCAAATTATGTATTAATGTGTATGTAGACTAGAGAAAACCACTTGCTCTGTTTCAAGATGATTCATAAAAGATGATGGTGAAAATACACACACACACAAAGGGGAAACATGCTGGCTGACTCTAAAAAATGGAAATACCCACACCTGACTTATTCAATCGACTACCAATTATTAGTCTTTTACTTTGAAAACTTGATTTTTATTTTTATCTGTCATTGACTTGAAGAATGATTTATAAGTTAACTAAACAATGATTGGAGAATTACATAAATCTTCCAATAGTGACATAAAATCATATACAATAGCGTAACCAATGAAGTCATTATGAACATGTATCCCAACCAACGACCATTTCAACACTAAGAGAAAATTTCCAGGTAATTTCGAACTAATTACAACTTCAAGATCATCATCATCGGCAGCACAGCTAATGAGGTCAAGGTCAACTTAATTCATTCTCTCTCTCTTTCTCTTGTACCCAACTTTTGGAACTACAGACGAAAAAAAAAGCAGAAAGATTGACGCACAAGCAAGTCAGAACATTCCTAAGTTTTGCAATGAAGGGAATCCCACACCATATCCACAATCAAGATTTTGTTGAGGTATTTATGCCTACTTTTGTGACCGATCATGTCTCGTAGGTTCTTACTAATGATCCTGTTTTCAAAGTAAAAGACTTAATTATGATATGTCTAGTATATCTACAATCAAGATCTTGTTTCGAAACTTTGGTCTTCGTTCCCCTTAGTTTTGATGATCATTTTGACTTGTGAAAGACTTACTTACTTACAGGATCAATCTTTTGATCTGGATGATTGGCTTCCGATCACAGCATCACGGAATGCCAATTGGTATTATTCAGCTTTTCACAACGTGACTGCCATTGTTGGTGCCGGGGTTCTCGGGCTCCCTTATGCCATGTCAGAGCTTGGATGGTAATTTTATATCTCATCTTTCTCCCAAAAAATACCAAACTCCTTTGTGGACATGCACAACACAAGTTGCTTTGCTTTGCTTTTTGTTTCCAGGGGACCTGGGGTTGTGGTGTTGATCCTTTCATGGGTCATCACGTTATACACCCTCTGGCAAATGATTGAGATGCACGAGATGTTTGAAGGCCAACGTTTTGATAGGTACCATGAGCTGGGTCAGGCCGCCTTTGGGAAAAAGCTTGGTTTGTACATCATCGTTCCCCTACAACTTCTTGTCGAAATCAGTGTCTGCATAGTCTACATGGTCACAGGAGGTAAATCCCTCAAGAATGTACATGACCTTGCTGTGGGAGATGACGACAGCTGCACCAATATGACTATTCGACACTTCATTTTGATCTTTGCCTCTTCACAGTTTCTTCTCTCCCTTCTTAAGAACTTCAACTCCATTTCTGGAGTCTCTTTGGTAGCTGCTGTCATGTCAGTAAGGTAAACAGCCACCCTTTTGCTTATACTTTTCTTGTGCAAAGCATTAACATAACATGATCAAGAATGACGTTTAATTACTTTCCCACAGCTACTCCACAATTGCTTGGGTAGCCTCCCTGAGGAAAGGGGCTGCCACAGGGAGTGTAGAGTACGGGTATAAAAAAAAAACAACCTCAGTGCCATTAGACTTCTTAAGTGCACTAGGGGAGATGGCTTTCGCTTACGCAGGTCATAACGTTGTTTTAGAGATACAAGCAACGATCCCGTCAACACCAGAGAATCCATCAAAGCGGCCCATGTGGAAGGGAGCCGTTGTAGCCTATATCATTGTAGCTTTCTGCTACTTCCCTGTTGCCCTTGTAGGGTTCCGGACGTTTGGAAACAATGTTCAAGAAAACATCCTCGAATCACTCACAAAACCAAAGGCACTTGTCATTGTTGCCAACATGTTTGTGGTCATACACCTCCTGGGAAGCTATCAGGTACACCAGCAAATTAACGCCTTTAACTGTTAGATAACTTGTAACGAAACAGGCCGCCTCAACTCTTTTTGCTCTAGGTCTACGCAATGCCTGTGTTTGACATGATCGAATCTGTGATGATAAAGAAATGGCACTTCAGTCCAACAAGAGTTCTACGCTATACCATCCGGTGGACTTTTGTGGGTAAATTAAAGTCTCTCTTTTTTATTTGCATACCAAAAAAAATTGAATTCACATCTTTTCTCAGAGGAGTAGCATTAATCCATTATTTGACATTCCTCTCTCTATATATATCATGGCAGCCGCCACGATGGGAATAGCAGTCGGTTTACCGTATTACAGTGCGTTGCTCTCTTTTTTTGGGGGATTTGTGTTCGCCCCGACCACATACTTTGTAAGCTCCTAAACTGCTCTTGATATCAACAAGCATGTTTTAAAATCATTAGCTCTAAGTCTCTAACAAACATAATGATGTTTTCTTTCAGATCCCATGCATCATGTGGCTGATCTTAAAGAAACCAAAGAGATTTAGTCTATCATGGTGCATCAACTGGGTAAGTTGAACTCCTCTCCTCTCTCTGGTAATCTGGTATTATCAAAAGCTAAATACTGTGAGTTATAAACTAAATATAGCTAGGTAATATCTTCTTTCTTTTGCAGTTCTGCATCATTCTTGGGATTGTTTTGATGATCATTGCACCTATTGGGGGACTCGCCAAACTAATCTTTCATATTAGAAAGGGCAGTCTACCTAACTCCAAATGCAAACTACCTAAACACTGAATGCACTGGGCTCTGCGGCGTGATTTCCTTAGTTGGTTTGATGCAACGATTTCACTTGTACTAGAGTACAAATATTTAGAGCCTCTTTCTCTCGTGGGTACATTTTTCAATATAACTATCGTTTTTTACAATAACTCTCTGATTCATGTACACTTGCTGCTATTACCCGAATTACAACACTCGTCAATCTCAGTCAATTTCACCCTCTTCTACTTCGTTGCTGGGAGTGGGATCTGTCAAAAGCAAGCAGGTCGACTTCATCTTCATCTTCATCCTCATCATGTTTCATATATAGCCCCAGCTGCTCTAGAGGATTGCTTCCTCCAAACCCAAAAACACCCAGCCCATCAGAGTCATGGCCAACCTCTCTTAGATTTGTCAAGTGGTCCGTGTTAACCAGTTCTAGGTCCTTGAGAAACCTTGAGTTGTCATTTATTTCAACCGACTTCTCCATCTGTGTACCATTCAACCATGGCAATAATCAATATATATATATATGCAGTAAAAGAAAAAAAGAAAAACAAATTGCAGCTATTTTGATATACCTCAAGCAATGCCTGCCGGGCTGCTTCTCTTTCATGTTCCAGTTTCCTCTTAGCCTCAGCCGCAGCTTGTGCCTTAGCTTTTCTTCGAGCTTCTTCAGCTTCCTTGGCTTCTGCTTGTGACCGTGCTTTTTCTGGTGCAAAATAAAAGAGGACAAGTTTATGTACGTATGTACTTGGTATATTAACATCAATCACAGACTTGGAATTAGTAAATCAAGAATACCTTTCTTCTTTTGCAATTCGAGTTCATCCTCTCAAGCCGCAGTTTTTCTGGGCTTCGTTTCTCATTCTGATATGTGATATCATTCACAATTTTTCAGGAACCAGTTTTTAGAGCTAATATGGGAGGGCTAACTAAATACAGCTCACAGCTCCACAAACACAGGTAACCTGATTAAGAGTTTTCTCTTGAGCCGCCTTCAAGATTATATCCGCAAATCGATTTTTCAATAGAGCAGCCCTGTAACGCTTTTCCGGAGGTAGTTGCTTCTCATTCTGAGCACTATTTCCTAAATTATTAACAGGTCAACAAGAGTGAGATGCCACCCCCAGAAATTAGAGCACGGACATTTCTCTATCACACTCCTGAGCTTACCATCTTTATGACCACCTACCCCTTCAACATGACTTAGCTTCCCTTTGGATGCATCTTCCAACTGATTCAATCCACCAACGGACGCTGCTTTTAGAAAAGGAATAGGTAAACCAACAAAATTAACATCTATTGCACATAAATTAAAGTCCGCTCACGTTTTCTCCTTGGGGAACTGCTTGTAGCTCCATCCAAGGGAGATTCCGAATCCATGCTCTCAAGAACCTGTGTCAGTGGATAAAAGGAAAAGGAAAAAACGATCAGAACCAACACTTTCTGACCAAATTTCAGACTAGGTTAACTCAACTGTCAGGTATTAAAAATATATGAAGCTTTGTATGTATCTGTCAAGTATTAAGAATATATCAAGCTTCATATCATGACCAATATTGCTTGCCCAATCAAATTGTGGTATGGTATCTAAGACCTCTGCAGAGGCATAAAATATTTTTACTTATAATCCAACAATGATGTTTACCTTTGATGAACTCAATAATCTTGTGGTTTTAGGATCTTCTGGTAAACTCTCCGAGCTACTAGAGCCTAATCAGTTACATGCACCATAAGAAGAGTAAACACTGATTAAAGCAGTCCAATTAATAATATGATCACTAAAGAAAACACTGACATGGGAGTAAAATAAGCAGAAAATATCGTAGGTCTATCACTATCAAACTAGGTGTGTATTATGAGGAGGTGCTATCAGCTAATAGGTTATTTGAATAAGAATAGGAAGTTTCACTCCAGAAGAAACATTAAGATGGACGGCCACTTCTAAGAAAAGTGAATTAAGATGGTTCTGAGGATTAAGTGCATATAAGCACTGCAACAATCAAATATCTGCAAAAGTACCATAGAGAAAGAGACTAATATAATGTAACAAGATTGAACAAACCACTGGAATTCTTAGCGCCATACCTATATCTGTCCTGACAGATGTGATGTGAGATCTAGATCTAGGGTGCTCATACTCACCAACGTCAACATCCTCGTTCTCGAACTCAGTCTCTTCAAGTAAGGAAGAAGAAATGACAACTTAGTAACAGAGCAGGTCATGAGAATTTTCTCAAACAACAAAACCAACGTATGCTAACCATCACAATGTTGCATCAATGAATTTCCTGGCCCTGACCCATGTAAAAGCTACATGAAAGTATCCACTGTTTTGTCAGTCATGTTAACAAATGGATCAAGAATGAGATATATAAAAGGGTGATTACCTCTAGCTCACAGAGTTCACCGTTTGAATCTTTCTTATTGTTTCCTATCAAGTACTCATCAAAGAGATCCCGCAACTGGAACAAGGCATCATGACTGAGCTCATTAATGTCAATCTCAATCTCATCGTCTCCAAATCCCCCTTCATTGGAGCTGTGATCTCTCAGAAAATTTATTATATGTACCGGGAATTCTGTCAAGGACCCCAAATCTCTGCCAAGCTTTACCCTATCCTCATCTGCCATAACCCGTTTAGCAGGCTCTAAGAGGCAGTCATGGTTCACAGCACTCATCTTCCTCTTCTTAGCCAGAGGCTCAGGCATTACAGTCTCTTTGTCAGCATACGTTCCCAAGTTAGTTGGTTCGGAATAGGTTCCAGATGACTTCTTCTCAAAAGTTTTCCACCCCACCTCGAAAAATTTGGTGAGAGTATGAGCCATGTTATAAACCTTGTTTCCGATGGGGTTATAAGTCATAGCGTTTCGAAAAGTAAGACATCAGCAGAAAAGTCAGATGGGTTAGAATATGTGCCGGAGGTTAACTTGGTCTTAACAGTTCCTAAATCCATAGGATGTTTGATAATGGTAAAATAATCAGGTATGTTGAGCTTGACAACATCAACAGGAGTTTTAAAAAGCCAACCATGCTGATGCGACATCAATCGTTTCAAGAGGGTCTCACAATGCTTCATCTTTGACATACCAAAACTCTTGGCTCGAGGCAAACTGCATGCAGGTGTACTAGTGACAGACATAAACTTAGGAAGGTCAACATTCTTCTGAAAGGAGCGTAACTGTTGCAGCTCCTGTCGAAGCGTAAGAAGCAACTTCTTCCTTTCCGATGATGACAAGCCCAGACAAGGGTAAAACCATTCTCGGGACACCATAAGTGTCTCCTTCAGCATTATGCCTATCATCATAGCCGCCCGGAGAGTCAAAATTATGACGATCGTAATCTACTGGGAAACCACCGTACCTCACAGTCATATCGCCCAAGGAAGCGACAACCTCCTCTCCTGCTCACTCAAATCAAAACCTCTTAACACTTCAAACTACTGATAGCAATTCAACTCTAAAACGAATCCGGAAATAATAAAACGAACTAACCGACTCGAACTTCTGAGCAGCCGCTCGAACCGAGGGGGAGCCAGAGAAGCGTAAATCTCGACCAGAGAGAGGAGAACGTTAAGAGTTTGATGATATTAAGAGAAGACGAAGAAGTAAAACCCTAGACGACCAGAGAGATGCAGAGAGAGAACAAAACCGCTCTCTGTCTCTACCCCTCTCTAGAGTGTCCAAGTCCCACCCTCCCGAAACGCCGTTTTGGAGCTCAATCTACACCGTCGAATGCAATATTCCCGGCGAGCGTCCTGGGCTTTATTATACTGGGCTTTATGTTAACATAGTACTGGGCCTTTTATTGGGTCTAAGTATAACATTCGACACGGCACGCTTTGAAAGCTCACATCGCAGGAACGCCACGCTGTTTGTTTTTTTCTGTTTCTTCTTCTTCTTCTTCTTCAGTCGATGGAATGAATGATGATTTACACATCCTTCTTCCACTTCCATGTCGCATCCGTACACAGATAGCCAGCACAGATAGCTAGCTGAGGTTCATCGCCTTGGATCTCGAATTTTTTGGTTGATTCGATCCGGTTATGGACATTCTTTTCGCCCAGATCCAGGCGGACCTCCGCTCTAATGACGCGCTTCGCCAGTCATCGGCGCTTCTTCAGGCCCTGCAGCAATCCGCCGCCGGGCGTGATATCTCCGTGATCGCTAAGTCTGCTGTGGAGGAGATTGTTGCCTCTCCGGCGTCGGCTGTTTGTAAGAAGCTCGCATTCGATCTCATCCGATCTACCCGCCTGACTCCGGATCTTTGGGACACCGTTTGTTCAGGTGTCAAAACGGATCTTCATTTCCCAGACCCTGATGTCACCGCCGCTGCCGTCTCCATCCTTGCTGCCCTCCCTTCCTTCTCGCTTCCTAAACTCATCTCTGATTGTAGCACAGAGATTGCTTCATGCTTCGATTCCCCATCTGACAATCTTCGTTTTTCCATTACTGAGACACTTGGCTGCATCCTCGCGCGTGATGATCTCGTTACACTGTGCGAGAACAATGTGGGTCTTCTCGACAAGGTCTCCAACTGGTGGGCTCGCATAGGCCAGAATATGCTCGACAAATCCGACGCTGTCTCCAAGGTTGCCTTTGAATCCGTTGGTAGACTCTTCCAGGAGTTCGACTCCAAGCGGATGAGCCGTCTTGCTGGCGACAAGCTCGTTGACAGCGAGAATTCCCTCGCCATCAGGTCCAAGTGGGTCTCTTCTATGGTTGACATTGTATGGAAAAAAAGGAGCGCTTTGATGGCTAGGTCTCTAGTCCTTCCTGTTGAATCCTTCAGAGCCACTGCTTTCCCTCTTGTCTTTGTTGTCAAGGCTGTTGCTTCGGGTAGTGTCGAAGTGATTAGACAGCTTTCCAAGGCTTCTTCTGCTCCTGCAGCAGCTAATGCCACCGTTGTGGACTCGAACGCCGAGAAGCTGGTTGGCGTATCAGATTTGGTTACCCATTTGGCGCCATTCTTGGCTTCCTCTTTGGATCCAGCTGTGATATTTGAAGTCGGAATTAACATGCTTTACCTGGCAGATGTTGCCGGAGGGAAGCCAGAGTGGGCTTCACAGTCCATTATTGCAATTTTAACACTCTGGGACCGCCAAGAGTTTTCTTCTGCTAGAGAGAGTATTGTCAGGGCGGTAGTCACGAACCTGCACTTGCTTGATCTGCACATGCAAGTATGTCATTTCTCTACCTCTTTCAATACGTATTTGAATTCTCGATTGGTTGTTGTGTATAGTTGTTTTCAAGCTGTGGCCTATGATTTCTGAATCATTCCTTTCGGAACTTGTTACAAAGGTCTCTTTGTTTAGAAGACTGCTGCTTATGGTGAGGAACTTGAGAGCAGAATCCGACAGGATGCACGCATTAGCCTGTATCTGCCGTACAGCTCTATGTGTTCACCTTTTTGCCAGAGAAAGTGCCAGAAGAGGTCAGAAGCCTCTGCCTGGAACAGATATTATTTCTCTCTTTGAAGATGCAAGGGTTAAAGATGATCTCAATAGTGTTACCAGTAAAAGCCTATTCCGGGAAGAACTGGTGGCAATGCTTGTGGAAAGTTGCTTCCAGTTATCTCTACCTTTGCCTGAACAAAAAAACTCGGGTATGGAGAGCAGAGTGATTGGTGCACTAGCATATGGCACTGGTTATGGTGCTCTGAACTGGACAGAACCAGCCCTTGAAGTTGTGGAAGTTTGCAGGCCTTGTGTCAGATGGGATTGTGATGGCAGGACATACGCTATAGATTGCTATTTGAAGTTGCTTGTTAGGCTCTGCCATATCTATGATACCCGTGGAGGAGTAAAGAGGATCAAAGACGGTGCTTCCCAGGATCAAATATTAAATGAGACGCGATTGCAGAACTTGCAGCGTGAGCTTGTCAAGGATCTCCAAGAGGTAATGAAGCCTCAGCTGAAAGTTTAAAGTCACTTTTAGTAACTTTCTTCTGTTAAATATCTTCATCATTGAAGAGGTTTAGCTATGACTTTATACTAAACCGTAGAGTAACTATTTCCTGGGGACGGAAACTTTGTCAATTTCCTGTTTCTCCCATGTATTAGTAAATTTTGATCTCAACGTGGCAGGTAAATACCCCTAGAATTCTTGGGCGTCTTATATGGACCATCGCAGAACATATTGATCTAGAAGGCCTGGATCCACTTTTGGCTGATGACCCCGATGATCCATTGAATATTATCGTAGCAAATATACACAAGGTTCTCTTCAACTTGGATGCCGCTGCAACTACATCGAATAGGCTACAGGATGTTCAGGCAGTCTTATTATGCGCCCAGAGGATGGGATCACGTCATGCAAGAGCTGGCCAATTAATAACCAAAGAGCTTGAGGAGTATAGGAACCATGCTGCTGCAGATACAGTTAGCAAACATCAAACCCGTCTAATATTGCAGAGGATCAAATATGTTTCAAATCTTCCTGAAAGAAAGTGAGCTTTCTCCTTTGCTTGTAATCCCTTTGTTGTGTGAGTTTTACTGCATTTCTGGAACTTACACAACCTATTAATTTCCAGGTGGGCTGGAGTTAGTGAGACAAGAGGAGATTACCCATTTAGCCATCATAAGCTTACTGTTCAGTTTTACGAACCATCAGCTGCTCAAGATAGAAAATTAGAAGGTCTAATTCATAAGGCCATTCTAGAGCTGTGGAGGCCGAAGCCCACTGAATTAACTCTCTTTCTTACGAAAGGAGTCGATGCGACTTCTGTTAAGGTTCCTCCCACAGCATATCCTTTGACTGGAAGCAGTGATCCTTGCTATATAGAAGCTTACCATTTAGCAGATACAAATGATGGAAGGGTCACTTTGCACTTGAAGGTTGGTATACTTGATTTAGTTTTGTTAGTAAAGTTTATCGTCTCAACATATTCTTATGCTTTATGTTACCTTCAGATAATTAATTTGACAGAACTTGAACTGAATCGTGTGGATATACGGGTTGGATTATCTGGTGCCCTATATTTCATGGATGGTTCTCCTCAAGCAGTGCGGCAGCTGCGTAATCTTGTCTCACAGGTTGGATTTCAGTCTTCAATGCTTATATATTCCCATCTCGTTACAGTTCTCTAGTATCTAAAGTTTTGCCAGTTGTTTAACAATTTCTGTTCTTACAGATCAATCAGTTTAGCTGTCTTATCATCCTGTCTGTGCTTTACTCCTGTAGGATCCTGTACAATGCAGTGTCACCGTTGGTGTTTCCCAATTTGAAAGATGTGGTTTCTGGGTTCAAGTCCTCTACTATCCATTCCGTGGTGCTAGGGGAGATTATGATGGTGACTACATAGAAGAGGATCCACAGATCATGAAGCAGAAGAGAGGCTCAAAAGCAGAACTCGGAGAGCCTGTGATCTTAAGATGTCAGCCTTACAAAATTCCACTGACTGAGCTTCTTCTCCCGCACAAAATCTCACCTGTCGAGTTCTTTCGTTTGTGGCCTAGCTTGCCAGCTGTTGCAGAGTACACTGGCACATACATGTATGAAGGAAGCGGCTTCATGGCGACAGCTGCACAACAGTATGGTGCTTCACCATTTTTAAGCGGACTCAAATCATTATCCTCCAAGCCATTCCACAGAGTCTGTTCCCACATTATACGCACTGTTGCTGGCTTTCAGGTGATTTGTTAGTTCCACCATGGTCTTATTGTCCTTCTTGTTCCTTGATTGGATTGATGGTCTAATAAACCCTAACTTGATGTCACTACAGCTTTGTTACGCTGCAAAAACGTGGCATGGAGGGTTTGTTGGCATGATGATCTTTGGGGCTAGTGAAGTGAGCAGGAACATGGATCTGGGTGACGAGACAACAACCATGATGTGCAAGTTCGTGGTTAGAGCCTCAGAAGCGTCAATTACAAAGCAAATAGAGTCGGATCTTCAGGGATGGTGTGATGATCTAACTGACGGGGGAGTTGAGTACATGCCGGAGGATGAAGTGAAGGCAACCGCGGTCGAGAAGCTGAAGATCTCCATGGAGAGGATAGCTTTGTTGAAGGCAGCTCAGCCGAAGAAGACTCCGAAGACAGAGGAGGAATCAGAGAAGGAAGAAGAAGAAGAAGACGATGATGAAGAAGAACAAGAGAAAAAGGAGAAAGAAGAGGGAAAGGACAAAGAAGAGAAGAAGGAAAAAGGAACACTGTCAAAGTTGACAGCAGAAGAAACAGAACACATGGCACTTCAGGCTGCGGTGCTCCAAGAATGGCACATCTTGTGTAAAGATAGAAAATATACAAAAGTTAACTAAGAGAGAGTTACTGTTTCCAAGATGAAAATGTTTGTTTTCTTTTTTGTGTGTGGTTTGTTTGTAGGTGTAGATGTATTCTCTTGTTATTGAAGAAAAGAAACGAGGATGTTACTGTTATTGCCACTCATACGAAATCTTCTTATCTTACTATCAAATTTAGCATGCTTAATGCATTTACGCATTTTTCAAAGATTAAATTCTCAACGATGAGAGAAAAGCGAGCTTGATTCTCAAACCAAGAAGCCATCGATATTACTCTGGTTTGCAACAACGAAAACTGAAAGATAACCAGTAGCAAATCCATGTTCCAGCAAGACGGTTCATGCGTGATAGAAACAGGTCCATGTGTACTGTCCAGTACTCAATAAACAAGAGCCTTAAAAACTTATTCACGCCTTCATTATGAACCTTGCTTACAGATAATAAGACTAGTCGCATTACTAGGTTTCTCTGAAGTAATCCTTCTACGCAGTTACTTGAGAGGAGGTCCTCTTCTTTCCTTTCTTTACCTCTGTCCCATCAATTTCTGCCTGCTCTGCCTTCTTCTGGGCACGGATCATTGCTCGCCTTGCGCGCGGTCGCATCTCTCTAACTCTACGAGGTGGCATCACAAATGGCTCAAGTGGCTTGTCTCCAAAGGGATGCTCACCACCTTCAAATATCCTTAGCTTCCGATCCCTGTCCTATATCCACACAAAGAAAGAAAAACTCAGCACATTCTTGTCTTTTTAGCAACAAATCCTTAACTATGAGAGCAACTCATCTAGGAGCTGAGAAGTCAGGATGTATCAATACAAAAAAAAAAGTCAGTTTTCCCACTAAAAATAAAAGGTAAACAACAAATAACATAATGATCGAAAATCAGAAATTCTCCTCAAACCCATATCCTTGGCAAATCAAAAGTATATCTCATTCAGTAAGACCGATGTGTGAGGAGAGACAACCCACTAGTAACAAGGAATCAAGAATCTTATATATCATCAACCAATTCATGAGGGATTCCAACAAGTAAGAGTAAAAGCCAGGTTTGGGGTAAATTTCTGTAGCCACAGGGGATTAGAAGATATTTCAGTCAATAGGGTACTCACATCACGCAAATTGTTACTTGGAAGCATGCGCCAGACAGCCTTGCGTATGACCTCTGTGGGATCTTTGGCCATCTGATCTTTCAGACTCCGTTCCTTCAGGTGTCCAATGTACCTGTAAACAGAGGTTAATAGTTCAATAAAGTAGAAGCAAATGGGAGATATAGGCTAGAAAAGAGATGATAAATCCCTCATCTTGCAGCTAAGATTTACAGAAGCAACAAGAAAAAAAAAAGTGTGTTACTTGCCCGGTATGCCAACGGTAGAATTTGTCGGTGAGCTTTCTTCCTGTGAAGCCAATTTCCTTAGCATTGAGAACAATACAGATGTCCCCATCGTCGCGGTTGGGACAGTAAGTTGGCTTGTCTTTGGCTTGAAGCACGGTTGATATCTGGGATGCTAGTCTACCAAGAACCTAGAGTAGACATGATAAAATGAAATGTTACAACAAATGAAAGCCAATAATACAAAGACACAGGCGAGATGTGTTTGAAGTTCAAGGTTGAATAAGATAAAGGCGGTTTAGTGGAAACGTGTAATGTTTAATAACGTTTACTACTGTGGACGTTATAAAACAAACCAAGCAAGCTCAAGCTCAAAAGCGGAGAGAAGAAGAAAGAAAAGAAAGAAAAACCTGGCCTCTGGCATCAAAAACTCGCCAACGAAGACCGTCGAGATTGATACGCTTGATACCTGCCATAGCTTTCTGCAGAAGCGACAAGACATAGTTTCGAGTAAGTTTGTAACATCTACTCATGATCTCAGAATTACCATAGTACAGGTGACAGAGACAATCTGAAAAGGTAAAATCACTGTTGAGGGATGATTAAGTAGGAAAATGTAAGAAGAAGACATCAAATGTGCGAACCGATCATAATCTAAGAGGATGGAAAGCTCGAATTTAGAAGTAGAGAACCTTTAGGTTGCCATTGAATGAGGCGGCAGCAGCAGCCTGAGTGGCCATCGTTCGTTCTTCAGCTGGAAAAGAAAGCGGACGGAGAGAGATGACTCACAGAGTAACCGGAGAGAGTGCCGGCGGAGGTGAGAATGGAAAGATCTAAGCAGTGGAATAAAGGGTTTTAGGTAGGAGGAGGCGCATCTGAGGGCTAGTTTTGGTATTTCCTTTTTCTTTAATAAAGCTTATTTACTAAATTGATTTTGAGGACTACTAGTCTCACTAGTCGTCGAGGGTTTTAGAAGCCAAATCAAAGCAAAACCTCAGCTCAGACGAAGAATTAAGGATGATGGCTATGTTGGTGAGACGAGCTCTGTCTTCGAGTCGAAGTACGATTGGGTTTCTCAGAAGAAGCTCCTCCGTTGTTGCTCTTCAGTCTCGCGATTTCTCCATGATGATTGGCCGCCCTGATTCCCAACTCGATTTGGCCATGCCCGATTTCCTCAGAGATGCTCGTCGAGGCTTCGCAAAAGGCAAAAAATCAAGTACAGCTACCTAATAATAACTTTACTCCCTAATCTTATGAATGATTTGGAATGATGATATGTAGATTCAAGCTTCTCTTCTGTGGTACTAACAACTCTTTCTTCTTCTTCAGGGGACGATTCATCAGCAGCAACGGGGATGGTCGACGCTTCTCCAGATATCGGGCCTACCGTGAAAGCAGCAGCCTCTTCTCAAATGGAGGCAGCCATTGATGCATTGTCTCGTGATTTAACTAAACTTCGAACCGGAAGAGCAGCTCCTGGTTTTTCTTTGCTCTCTCTTCTTTCTTTCCTGTGTTAGATCCTCCTGAGTCCTGATCATATATCTAAGCTCTGCTTCTTCTTGTTATTGTTAGTTACATATTGCCGAGATTTTTGAATTATTGGCAGGAATGCTTGATCATATTGTCGTTGAAACGGGAGGTGTCAAGATGCCTCTCAATCACTTAGCTTTGGTCTCTGTGCTCGATCCTAAGACTTTGTCTGTCAATCCATATGATCCCGATGTAAATCCCTCCCCACTTTTTTATGCTTTCTCTCTTTGTTTTGTTCACTGCAACCTTTTTTTTTTTACTAGCAAAGGTCTCAGTTACTACGTTGTGACATCTTTCCTTCCAACAACCCCATTAGATTTTTACCTCACTTTGTGTGTTCTCCAGACTGTGAAAGAACTTGAGAAAGCAATTGTCTCATCTCCATTAGGATTAAACCCGAAACTTGATGGGCAACGACTCATCGCATCTATCCCTGCGTACGTTACGTAATTATTCTCTTCCCTCTCTTCATTCTATTCACTTTCTCTGATCTCCCCCTTCCTATTTTTGAGCAGATTGACCAAGGAGCATATTCAGGTAAACCAGCCAAATTATGTGTGATTATTGTGTGTTTTTTTGTTTAGCCGCTGAGGTTCAGTCTCTTGACCTTGTAATGAAATCCAGGCAATGTGCAAAATTGTAACCAAGTCTAGTGAAGTTGTCAAACAAAGCATAAGAAGAGCGAGGCAAAAGGTAGTATGAACACTGTATGTTGTCAACTGTATCCCATGCGTCAGAATATCTAATGATCAGATACGATTTTATCAGGCACTAGACACGATAAAGAAAGCAGGGCCGAGTCTACCAAAGGATGAAGTGAAAAGACTGGAGAAAGAAGTGAGTAGTATCCATGTGTGTGATCTTTGTGCAAATGGGATTCCTAAATAATTTATTGAATCTTTCTCTTTGTGTTGACGTGACAGGTGGAGGAGCTGACGAAGAAGTATGTAAAGTCAGCAGAGGAGATGTGCAAGTCCAAAGAGAAAGAGATCACCCAAGCGTGAGCCATCTCATTTCTATCCATCATAAGCCTTGAAGAGTGTTCTGTTTACTCATTTAGTCAGAGTCATTACGATGATTTGCTTAAATGTTGTTGTTATTCATTTTTAAATTGCAAATTGATTGTGCGGGAAGGCCCTTCAAAGGCCCCAGGAAAGGCGTTAAAAAAGAGTCCAACATTGATGTTATATCAGAGTGAAAAATAGGGAATTAACACTTCATTCATATACATATTACATAATGCTGTTTGTAGTTGAGAAGAAGTTTCCGAAACTTGAAAACCAAGTTAAGGAAGGGAGGGAGGTAGGAGATAAGTCAATTTTGTTACCAATAATTTTACATCATAAGGAAATTGATGTTTTGGTAAATTTGTTCCAACCCATTTCTTTCAATGAAGTGTTTTTAAATATAAAAGAAAAGTTTCCATATATTATAAAAATAAGCTGATCTAAACATGCCAAATACATACATAGTGCTTAAAAACTTATTATAAAATTCTGAACTATAAACTCGGTCCATCTCTGCAACAGAGTTAATAAAAGAAGAAGAGAGAAAACTGTCATCACCAACCACAAAAAAAAAAAGAAGAAAAGTCTTTTATAAGTAATTAAGAATGCATTAGATGACTATAAATAAAATGTAGGTAATCGTAATACTGTATATAAGCTGTATGTGTTTTGTCGGCAAAAAGATATCAAAACATGTATATAGAAAACAATTAAAGACGTAATGTAATGGTTATCCGATCTTTCTTTTGCCCACTCGCAGTCGGCAAAATCAAAGCCAAGGGGAGGTATTGACTATTGACCAAGCGCGTCAGAAGAAGAGACTTATCGTAACGTCGTCGTTTAGATCTTTGCACGATCAATTAAAACCTCCATTTTCTTTTCTTTTTTAACAGTATTTTTTTTTGTTATGTCGTGAGATGGCGTCATCATAAATTTCTAAATTCTTAATTCTCTGTTTTTTAATTTTATTTCTAAAATTTCTCTTTTGTATAGATTCTTCATCATTCTGTGTCAGTGGCTCACATCCTCTGATTAAACCAAAACGCACACACGAAGAAGGCAAAATCAAAGAAAAACCTATGAGAGAAGAGGAAAATACTAAAGGGGAAAGCAGCTCAGTATAAGTTGTGTGTAAAAGCAAGAAGAAGAACCGAAACGAATATTTCACATTTTCATCTCAAGATTCTGTATCTGTAGCTGCTGTTGTTGTCTGGGTATTCATTCTCTCTCTCTCTCAGCTTTGTGTTTTCTGTGACTCCAATGCTGTGCAATTAACATTCTCTCAGCTTGCTAATATCTCTCTCTATCTATTGGGTTTCCTTTCACCTGCTGTTTGGATCTGATGTACTATTATTAGCTCCAAAATCTCTCTTCATAGCGCTTTTATTTTCCCCTTCTACTTGTTCACTTTTTGGATCTTTTATCAATTCTAATTTTTATTTAGTAATGTTTATGGAATGACTTAACCATGAGTCAATGTTCATGCATGTCTAAACATTTGAAGGAAGGTTTCGCTTGCTTACTTTTTTGGTTAGGCAAAGTGTTCAATGGCGTTGGGGTGTGTTTTTTTATGCAGGTACTGACTGATTCGGGACTTGCTTTTTTATTTTATTTTGAGATTGGCAAAATGGTTTTGGGTTTAAGCTCCAAGAACAGAAGAGGCTCATCGACGATACAAGTTGATTACCTGATCCACATTCATGACATCAAGCCTTGGCCACCTTCTCAGTCCCTTACATCACTGCGCTCTGTTGTCATCCAATGGGAGAACGGTGACCGCAATTCTGGTACAACTAATGCAGTTGCTCCTTCCCTTGCCCAAGGCAAAATCGAATTCAACGAATCCTTTAAGCTTCCCCTCACCTTGATCAAGGATGCTTCTGCTCGGAACAAGCCTGCTGATCTTTTCTTCAAGAACCTCTTAGAGCTCAACTTATACGAGCCTCGCAGAGAGAAAACTCATCAGCTTTTGGCTACTGCCACCATTGATTTGGCTGATTACGGTATTCTCAAAGATGCTTTGACCGTATCTGCTCCCATGAACAGTAAGAGAAGCTACCGGAATACCACTCAGCCTGTTCTCTTCCTCACTATCCAACCCGTTGATAGACGCCGCCCCAAGACCGGTGGTGGATCTGTTTCTGCCTTGATGAATGAGGAATACTACAAGGAAGCTGAGATTGCATCCATCACAGATGATGACGTTTCCTCCCACTCCTCCTTGACGGTTTCATCTTCAACTTTAGAGTCTAACGGTGGTTTCTCTGTGCGAACCGAAGAGGTCAGATGTCGATGTTCTCTTGATAACTTTTTGAGGTGAAATGTTTCTAAATGAGTTGATGCCTTCCTATTTGCAGGAAGAACATGAGAGGGTAAACAAGACTTCTAAAGGAAATGGCCACGAGAGATCACAATCAGCATCAGAGAGCAGACAAGGAGAAATTGCTAACCAGACTCCGTCTCGCTCCTCCTCAATAGATCTGTCTTCTGTGTTTCATCTCCCATCGGACATTCCTATTCCTGCACCCAACACTTCTGTGTCTGGGCTGGAGGACTGTGAGAATGTCTTTGTAACCGATATTAACGAGAGCTCTAAGCTGGTAAACAGCCTTCCACACAATAACGGAGAGACCAAGTCTGTGCCTTTTCAAGTTGATGATCCAGCAGGTAACGCTTCGCCTAGAGCTTCTGACGATAGTCAAGATATGATCAGTGATCAGGAATCAGAGACTGTAGTTGAGAAATCCAGAAAGGTGAAGTCTGTTCGGTCATCCCTGGATATTTCCCGGAGCAATAGCCGGTTGAGTCTATCCAGTGAACGAAAAGAAACTAAGGTGTATCCAAAGTCCACCCGCGACACAACTTTGGAGAGCAAAGTCAAGAACTTGGAAAATAAAGTAAAGAAGCTTGAGGGTGAGTTACGTGAGGCTGCAGCAATAGAAGCAGCTCTCTACTCCGTGGTTGCAGAGCATGGAAGTTCATCAAGTAAAGTCCATGCGCCTGCTAGACGTCTTTTGAGGCTGTATCTTCATGCTTCTAGAGAAAACCATCTCTCAAGAAGAGCCAATGCAGCTAAAAGTGCTGTCTCCGGGCTAGTTCTTGTCGCCAAAGCGTGTGGAAACGATGTCCCCAGGTATTGTGATATTCTAATTTGCATAGTCACTACTCTTTGAGTAAAAAAATTCAGAGCTCCAAAAAAAATTATTGTCCGGGGATTGCAGGTTGACATTTTGGTTGTCAAACACTATTGTTCTGAGGACGATCGTAAGTGATACTAGTGCAGGAGAGGAGTTGCCTGTTTCTGCTGGCCCTGGATCAAGGAAACAGAAGGTTGAAAGAGAAACCGACAAACAATCGTCCTTGAAGTGGAAAGATTCCCCTTTGAGGAGAAAGGACATTGAGATTTTTGGTACCTGGGATGACCCTGTAACTTTCATAGCTGCGCTTGAGAAGGTTGAAGCTTGGATCTTCTCACGCGTGGTAGAATCAATTTGGTGGCAGGTAATGTTGCTCTGTTCTCTCTGCTTTCAATTTCACTTTCTTAACCAACTAATAATACTCACGTTCTTTTACTTTGGTTGCAGACTTTAACACCACGTATGCAGTCTTCAGCAGCATCGACTAGAGAGTTTGATAAAGCCAATGGATCTGCATCAAAGAAAATTTTTGGTAGGTCTCCGAGTTCTGTGAACCAAGAGCAAGGTGACTTCTCATTAGAGCTTTGGAAAAAGGCTTTCAGGGATGCTCACGAACGTTTGTGCCCTCTGCGAGCTAGTGGCCATGAATGTGGTTGTCTGCCCGTGCCTGCGCGTCTGGTAAACATTTCTCCTTTCGAATTTTTCACTTTGATACCTTACTCTTGATTCACAAAATAATGCCCACACTTTTTCACGCAGATAATGGAACAATGTGTGGCTCGGCTAGATGTTGCCATGTTCAATGCCATCCTTCGTGATTCCGATGACAATTTCCCAACGGACCCTGTATCTGATCCCATTGCAGACTCGAGGGTCTTGCCAATTCCTTCTACAACGTCAAGTTTTGGTTCTGGAGCCCAGTTGAAAAACTCGGTCAGTATACTGAACTCAAATACTTGGCAATGATACTTTAGTCTTTGTAACCCTCATGCGTTTCTAATTTTAAACAGATAGGAAACTGGTCTAGGTGGCTCACTGATCTGTTTGGCATTGATGACGAAGATGAAGACAATAGCGATGAGAATAGCTATGTTGATACATCGTTCAAGACATTCCATCTTCTTAAGGCGTTAAGTGATCTGATGATGCTTCCCAAAGATATGCTCCTCAACAGTTCTGTGAGAAAAGAGGTGCTAAGGCAACGCAGAACTCATCACTTTGTAACCAGTAAATTTTATTCTTTTACTTGATCAAATATGTCTCGTCGTTGTGTAGGTTTGCCCGATGTTTGGTGCACCGTTGATCAAGAGAGTGTTGAACAATTTTGTCCCAGATGAGTTTTGCCCTGACCCAGTTCCTGATGCTGTTCTTGAAGCTCTTGAATCCGAGGTAAGACCATTTTTTTTAATGATGGATCTTAGGCGAAGAAGATAATTTTGCTAACAGAAACGTGATGGCCATTGTAGGAGGAAGCTGAGAAGGCTATGATCACAAGCTACCCATGCACTGCACCTCCTCCACTGTACTCTCCACCTTCAGGGACTTCAATCTCCACCATCATTGGAGAGTTTGGACAGCCTCAAGTGCCGCAATTATGCAGAATCAGGTCATCGGTAACAAGAAAAGCGTACACAAGCGATGACGAGCTCGATGAGCTGAGTTCACCATTGGCTGTTGTTGTTCTTCAACAAACGGGTTGTAAGAAGGTCAATAATGGCGGTGCAGATGAGACAGTCAGGTATCAACTTCTCAGAGAATGTTGGATGAACGGCGAATGATCAGACATCGATGTGTTTGGTCTTTCTGTTTTGTGACTGGTTGTAAATGTCTGATGTGTCATAAATCTTTGTTGTTGTTGGTGATGCCATATTAAGTAATATTGGTGATGCGATGTATAGAATGTAGCACAAACTTTTGTTCAACAGTAGTACCAGTCCAGAGAAATATTTGATACACGCAGATTAACATTTTGATCGCAGAGATGCACAAGACTGTTGCAAGGGAAGCAAATATATACTTATCAAAAGACAAAAAAGAATTGCTCCGTATAGACTCATTACAAGCTTCAGTGTACATTCTCGTCACTTTGAATCTCTCACAAGACTTTGCATTACAGAAATTAAAACAAAAAATATTAGACAACCCAAAAGAAGACCCATAAAATGAAGGAGAAAGATCAAAATTTTGTAAAGCAAGGCTCAAAAGGATATAATTCTAGCCTTAGCGATATTGACTGTTGTCATCATCACACAGTCAGTTTATGTGAGGTCGTCAAATTCACCTGCTTGAGATGTAAAGCTGCCAACAAGCCCTGCCATGTTTCAGCTGATGTGGCAGTGCCAACATGAAAGTCTAGAAGTTTGCTCTGCTTCCTGTAGTAGTCTTCTAGGGGCTTCACCTGATGCATCACCGTAAGATATTAGGATGAAACCAAACCACCTTGTAAAGTAATTATATATCAACGACATTGATAACAAACAAGAAAAGTACCTCCTGTGCATAGACATCGAGACACTCCCTCTGAGGTTTGATAGCAACAGGTGAGTGAAACATAGAGCCGAGGAAATCTTGACGAGGCAGAACTGTTTCATTAAGAACATTTCGGTTCACTTGGACATTTTGAGATTCCTCAGAGCATTTGAGATTCACAACGAGGTCAATCTGAGCGATTTGATCAAGAGTTTCCTGCAAACATTGAGAATAGCTTGGGGAATGACTACAGGAGAATACTCTTTAGGACATTTTCAGGCCAAAAGTAATATAATCGAGGATATTTGTGGATTTATTCAAAGAAACTCACAGCTTGAAAACGAGTGCGGGGAATGCCATCAAGAATGAAACCTGTTTCCCCTTTAACGTATCCTTCCTCGAGCCTCTTTGATAGCAAAGCAAAGACTACGCTCTTTGGAACAAGCTTTCGTTCGTTTACAGCACTTGCAATCTATAAAACAAGAGTCGGTTAGTTGAACTAGAACAGGGGAGAATAAAAGCATTACAAAACAAAACCCTAAACTGGAACGATGTTATGTTCTCTTTACAAGTTTCCACGGGACAAATCACAGCATGAATGAATGATGTTTTAAGGAACAAGACATTGCCATAAGAGAAAAAGTTTAGTTATAATCAGGGAGGGGAGTGTGTAGACAATTAAACATCTTATGAGAAAAATAAAAAGCAAAAGAAGAAAAAAGAGAGAGAGAGAGTGGAATCTAATTAAAATTAAAAGAGGAGAGTAGCAGTAGTAAGAACCTCCCGGTAGAGAGAAGATCTAGGGTTAAGTTCTTGACGGACAAGGGATCCCATGGAGATGTGAGGAACTTCAAGAAGCTTGGAGAGCCTCTGGGCGAAGACGTGCCTCCAATCTCCGGGGGCGCCCATAAGCACCCACTGCACTCCTCTATCTGGCCCCGATCCATCCAAACCAAGTCTCGGCTCCGCGAAACGGCGATCATCGCCGTACAAGTAGTCGTCATCGGAGTCGTAGTCGAACTCCAAGGCGGCCGCTGATCCGAAAGATCGTGGAGGCGCGACGAGCCTTGATACCGGAGAAACTCCTCTCACGCGGCTCAGCCATGCCATGGTGGTCAAGGCGTGGCGGCGGCTGATTCGGAGAGAGAAGAATGGCCACAGAGAAAAGAAGGGGCTTCTCTTCTCTTTGAAGCTGGGCACCCGAGGTTTATGGGGACAGCTGGCACTCCCTTCTTCTCTTTCTCAATACACTAATTGCCCTTTCTAACCCTCGAAATCACGGAACTGCCACTGACTGACCCAGCCCTTTTCCCACGTGATTGTGATTCCTTCGCTACTTTCTTGAATGGACCACATTATTACACGACGTATTAGTAAGGCAAGGGAGTCCATATGACCCAGACCTCTCAAAGCCCATTCCAGGCCCAACTTTAATCAACGACCGAATTTGGTCAACCGTTGCTTTTTTCCTTTTTATTTCCGTCAACGCATGTTAACCACCCAAAAAAACACACACACTAGAGTATTCACATGAAATTTCTTTTTAAGTAATACTAGTCAAAGTCAGCAGAATCTTCCTCCTCATCACCAAGAAAGAAGAAGTTGTTAAAATGTATAAGAAACCAAAAAATAATAAAAATCAGAGAAGATGTTAAAGAAACTTGTCAACATAGATAATTAGAAGCCGCGGAAACTTTGTGTGATCCCCGCCGTAAAGATATTAACAAGTCCGCATATGTTAAAAGTAAGGTCCACAAAAAAAAAAAAAAAAAAAAAAAGGTAAGGTCCACGAGGAATGGTCTTCTTCTTCTTCTTCTTCTTCTTCTTCTTCTACTTCAACGTTTTCCAACCGTCTCTATAAAAAGCTCCTCCATCTTCTTCTAATAATCTATCTCTATTGAAACCATAATCATCATTCTCTCCCTCTCCCGATCCAAAGTCTTCTATGAAGAGTGACAACGTTACCAAACGTCAAGAGTATCAACGTGTCTTTAGTCGCTTTGACATGACCCAACAGGGCAAGGTTTCGGTTTCTTCCATTGAAAGATGCGTCGAAGCTATTCAATCTGGCAAACGTCCAATAGTGCCAGAAGACACCTCAATTCCAAATCCAGAGACGACCACTGACGATAACTCCTTGCAACTCGAGGAATTCGTCAACTTGGTGGAAGACGGAGAGGAAGAAGATAAGGAGAAGGACCTCAAGCAAGCTTTCAAGTTGTATGAAGAGAGTGACGGCATCACACCAAAAAGCTTGAAGAGGATGCTTAGTTTGTTGGGTGAGTCCAAAACTCTCAAGGAATGCGAGGTTATGATTTCCCAATTCGATATCAATATGGATGGGATTATTAACTTTGATGAGTTTAGGGTCATGATGCAATAACATACATATTACTCTTGTTTATATATATATATATATATATATATTTAATTAGTCTATACTAGTCTTCTTTACCAAAGGCTTGTATGAACTCTCTGAAATTAAGGTACTTTCCCTCTCTATTACCGCTTCATTTTCTTCGTCTTCGTCGTCATCCACCAGTCTTGAAACCCTCTCTGCAATCTCAGCCGCACTCGGCCTTGACTCCGGTTCTTCTCTAGTACAATCTCTTGCAATACTTGCGACTTCAAATGCGCAATCAACCGAGTAACTATCTCCCAGTGTGCTGTCCATCACTTCCCTCAGCATTTCCTTGTCCCCGAGAACCCTTCTCAATCTCTTCCATTCGGAAACACACGTGTCTTGTGTCCCAAGGGATGTTGTCTCTTCTTCTCCTTGCAATCCAAGCAACATCTCTGGAGTTTGTCCTGACAAAGCCTCCATTACCATAATCCCGTAAGCGAATATGTCAGTAGCTAGAGAAAGCGAACCTTGTAGAATGTTCTCCTCAGTCGCGAATTCATTGTTTACGCACTTTGACATCCCAAATTTTCCGACTTTACCTCTGAGATCTTCGTTTAAGAATATGTTTGTGCTCTTGATGTTTCCGTGGACGTAGTTGATCCGATGCATATACTTTAACGCGATGGCGACATCATGGCAGATCTTGATCCTCTGTTTCCATGCCAAGAAGCAGTAACAAGACTCGATGAATTGATTCTTGATCGCCAATTTGTTCTGAATCCAATCCCACAGGGACCCATTCCTTGCATACTCGAAAACCAGAAAAGAGTCCTGATCGATTTCTCTAAAACAGGTCCCAAGAACCCTAATCAGATTGTGGTTATAGTAGTGTGATTGATCGTTGAGAAGCCCAAAATCGAATCTTTTCATTACATCTGCACTCACTTGCTTTATAGCCAAGTCTTTGCCTTTAAACGAACCAAAATAAACCGAACCTTTGATATGATTGCTTGAGCTGAAATTCTCAGTGGCTTTCTCTAACTCTTCAAATGCGTAAATCTCCAGAACTGGTTTTCGTGGTGTGGTGGTGCCAACAGTGTTGTGAGAATCCAATATCGAGCCGTCCTGTGACCCTTCGAACGAGATTTTCTTGTCACTAGTGGTTCGGATGCTCAGACTCAGCTGCCGCGTCTCGGGGTCTTTGTTGCTGATCCAGTTCTGCGTTTGCGTTTGCATCCGCGTCTCTTTCTTCCAGTGTAAGTAAACAAACACGATGAGAGTGATAAGACCGCAGACTCCAGCAATCGCACTGCTCACAGCGATCATGAGCTTCATCTTTGACCGCTTCTTCTTGGATGGTTGTTTTTTATGGAGATTCTCGGTGGTTACGTTCCGTGATCCTGGCGGCTTTCCCGGTTTGGCCAACTGATCAAGAACCGGTCTGTGGTCAAGAGGGATCAGAGCAGGCTTGAGTGGAACCACGCCAGATTTGTTGTTGGCAGAGGCAATAGCATCCTCTGTTGTGTTGAACTTCAGCGCCAGGCTGGAAACGCTGTCGCGGAGGCTCACGGGATACGTGACGAGAAAACTAGCGTTTGAAACGCCTTCTTCTGGACAAGAGCACCTGATGGCCAAACGCAGCTTAACGTTGTCGCCGAGTTTGTCCTCGGAAATGTGTGGATTCTTCTCTATGATAGATCTGCAGTGAAAATAGCACTCACTCATCAGTCGATAAACAAAATAAATTCATAATTAGAAAACTTGGAAAAGTGTTAGCTCACAAGCACGTGGTCAAGCCTTGCAGAGACTGAGAGACAGAGCGAAAGGTGTCTCCTTTGACGCAAGTTTTGATGAGATGGGCCTCGTAGAACCGTCCGTTACATCTGCAGTCGATTGGGATCAAGAGTAACTGACCTTGTGGAACAAACTCGTCGGCGTCTACAGAGGAGTCGAGACCGAGATGGTAACTAAGGTTGGAGAGAGAAGAATCGGCTCTGAGGATGGCGAAAGTGTGGCACTTTTGGAGGTTTGAGTGGCAAACGTAGCTGAAGGAGGAGGCTGCTTCATCTTCATCTTCAGGGTGGCAGATGTGTGAAGTTGCAAAGAGAGATGATGAGGAGAGGAAGAGCAAGATCACTACAAGATTCGCCATGTACTGCTTACTAACTGAACCCGTAGCCATATCGACCGACTGTTGTTAGAGCTCCGATATTAAATCATCCTTCGGGTTTTAGGAAGAAAGATAGATTGATTCATGCACGGTTTAAATTACTATAAACCATATTATTGGTTTATGATATTCTTTTTTTTTTTCTTAAAGAAGAAGAAAGATTGTTGGAGCCGTGGAGGATTGTCGACGGGAGGGGTGGCTATGAATCCCAAGTAAAAAAGGAATTAAAATAGTTATATAAGAAAGGACTTTTTCTTGTGCTTGGAACCTGTTCTTCCTAAACACAACAACATTTCACAGAGTGCAACGTCCAAGCTAAGTGAATCTAAATAGTACAAACTCGCTTTGTCCTAAGAAGATTTATATCATTTAGAGATATGCGATATCTGTTGTTTCGGAACAAGTTTTAGGCCGATTTAGGAGCCCACTTGTTATAAAACTAATTAAAAAAAAGTTTGGTTGGGGTATCACACTGCTTGTACGTAGTCATGGCCTTTTGTTTCTTTATCTATATATCCAGGGTGAAAGCCATGTGCAATAGTTTATAGAGTACGGAGATCTATACTTTCAGAATTAATTCATACCTAATTTGTATGTAGATTGCAAAGTAATAACCATAAGTTCAAACGCGTATACATTTTATCCTAGCCGTCTGGTAAAAATATTGCCTTAATGTTTGAGACGGCGTGATCACTTCACACTTGAATGTTGTTCAAACCAGGTTTGGACATATAATATAGCGACTAACTATAGACTTTAGTAGTAAGTCTTTTTTTTTTTTTTGTCTTCGGCCAAGATCATTACGGGAATTAAATCAACGTTTTAGGAAATGTGATAAGATTGCTCGAAAGGAAAAGCCAAAAAACGTAGACAAAAGCTTTAAGATCCAAAACATATTTTTGTGGAGAATGCAGATTTTGGGAACTGATAGTAGGGGGAAAACAGAAAAACATTATCAAGAAACTGTAAAGACATGCCATACAAAGCAACGACAAGGCGCTCAATGGTAGGATATTACATGTGTATCTTAGGATTAATTTAGTAATAAACTGAAAAGTGTAAAATTTAAGATTTGTATTTTTGTTTTTTGTTTTTATGCAGTATCATTGGTAGGTTCTTAAGTTGTACATCTTAGAATAAAAAATATTAATATTTTTTTTTACAATTTAATTATTAAAAACATAATAATTATTGCAAACTAAATTTTAAAACATATATGGAATATATTTTATTGCATAAATAACATAAAACACAATTAATTTAAACGTAATTTGTGGAATATTTTGTCCATATGTGATCAACCAAATCGTTCTTCAATTATTCATGCATAGCTCGATCACAAATTCGAGTTCT